CATGCACCCAGACCCCCCCCCCCCCCCCCAGCACGCCTTCACTCAACTCCCCTTCATATCACCCCCTTACCGTTTCCTGAAAGTTAGATCCGCCCCTGGCTTGTTAATTTATTCTTTATTATAGGTTTTCCCTGTCATTTTAACACGTGTATCACACGAATTCCCTATATCGATACTTTAATTTCGTCCCCGAACATCACCAAGCTCAATTCTCAATTTGAATTTCAGAAAGCCACCACTAGATTTCACTGAAGTTTCAGTATAGTTCAATTTTTTAGCATACCGATTCGTCCGAAATTTTTGAAATTTGTCTCGTGTAGCAGTCGGCGTTGAATCGAAAAAGCAAATTCGTTTTTGTTAAAATAACCGGGATGAGTTGAATTTCCTGATGTGCACTCGACTTTAAACAGTCCTAAGAGCTGAAGAAGTAAATACTGAGCTAAGATTTTCAAACCTAATATCCGGAAATTGGACCGAAGTAAGGCAGATCAAAGCATATCACACACACAAAATACTTAAGGAAGTCAATTAAAGGTTTTCAATTTACAACCATGATTAATTTTAATAAACTGAAAATCATGTCTACTAGAAACCCTTTGTTTCGTACTTTAACGTCTAATTACAATTTGGGCCTTTACACCGTGGCCTTTAGAATAAATAGGGAACGCAAAATTAACACATAACAGTACTATGCAATGCACTTGAAATCTGTAAAATTCAGGGGTTCGTTCCAGTCACACAAACGTGTTTGCGTTCGGTGGAATGATAATGACATCGGATGTGTTCTGTACGTCTACATGGTGAGTCAAAAAGAAAGTGACTTGGATGAATGGTTTTCTTTTCCTTCCTAAAAACCAATCAAATTTTAAGTACACCAATAATTATTATGTCTTAAAAAGAGCATGTTCTTTCTCACATCTAAACAATATAAAAGAATTATTGCAATTGATCGATGATATCAGAAGTTATGCATGTTTTACTAAAATAACCTATTTTACAGCTGTCCATGGAATGCCATTGGAAGCTACTGAGCTGAGTGAAAATTACAGATTACACAGCGACATTAAAGTACAAAATGAGATATTAATCAGTTGAGTCAAAACTGAAACACTATTTTTACTGTCAGATTTTGTTTTTAATATGTGGAACAAGCCAACCCTTTGTCTTGTCTGAAAAATTGGTGCAATTTGTTTGTTTACTGTTTTCCTTTGCAAGTTTTCGTTTATTCATGGAGGTGGGAAAACGTCCATGTTTCATTACATTTAATGGGTGATCCTCAGTTTGTACCGGACGGTAAATGAGCAGTGGTGGACAGCTGAATTATGTGATGTTTTTATTAAAATAGACATAACTTGGGAAACGAGTATGCAAATTACGTGAAATGTTCATGATTACTAGTCAATAACATGTACTTTGTTTTTCTAATTAGGTCACTTTCTTTTTCACTTACCCTGTAAACCACAGAGTTTCGCTGTTTGGATAGTAGCCTTTAAAACGAAGTGAAATATTGCAAGGAAACTATTAACACACCGGGAATGTATCAATCTGAAAGCATCAGCCCAACAGGCCATTTTTGGAAAACAAAGCGAACGACTACGACTGTTCGTTTGGCTAGAACTTTGCAACAAGTCTCAATGAAAATTGGAAATTTGGTTACATATAATTTCCAGTGTATTACAGCAGTCCTACTTTACTCATCAATTGAAAAGGCGATTGACTGCCATGCATCTTTTAAAGGCGTTTACGTAATTCCGGCTCATACAGGGTGAGTAAAAATAAAACCGAAACCCAAATGTTGGGACCATTGTTTTAGTTAAGTTTTAAATGTAACACTTTCAAAATCTAGGATATGAAAGCTCAATTCATAAGCTTTCTTTTAGTATAAGAATCATTCAAATCACTTAGGGCCTATGTACTTTTCAAGTTTACGGACTCTTAAATGCAACCACCACTTTAGAGTTCTGTCCACGAAAACAAATCACATAAGGATGTGTGTGAATTGTTTTCGTTTTGCCGAAAGAACGCACATCCGTGGACTGAACATTAAAATGGTGGTTGTGTTTAAAATTCCGTAACTTAAAAAGTACATAAGTGATTTGAATGATTCTTGTACTAAACGAAAGCTTATGAATTGGGCTTTCACATTCTAGATTTTGAAAGTGCTACATGTAGAACTTCACTAAAACAATAGTCCCGACATTTGGGTTTCGTATTTTTTTACTGACCCTGTAGAGGCGTACAGGTATAGATCGATGCAGATATTGGTACACAGCATATTAATAAGCACATGGTGAACCTTTTAGGCTTTAATGTTCGACCTTTCGTAATGACTCTACCAATCATCGCGGGGCTACTGTTGCTTTGCTTGTTTAGTTGCTATTATTTTGTCTGTTTGTTGGGTTGGTTTTTTAAATATTTGTTTAATTCTAAAGTCGTTACACATACAACATAATTTGCAAATTCTTTATTTTCTTCCCCCTTTTTTTCCAGTCGAAAAATTAATCGGCCAAGTTTGCTTGGCCGCCGCCTTATTTTGACGTCGATACCCACGTCTGCGATCGTTGGCAGCCTCGAAATATGATTTCGCCAGCCATAATAAATTGAGTGTTATTAAGAAAGTGTCATATATTGGCATAATACAGAGTCCTTATGGTTGCCATAGAGAATGTTGGCTACGACAGGAATCACCAAGCTTCGCCAGTTGGAACCTGAATTCATACCAATCGGGCCATTCATGATGCAGCCTTGCCTTGCTGTATTGTGGCGGTATATGCAGGCCGAGCCTTTTCAGAGAAGTTGGTCACGCTTCTTGCCTAACGATTGGATCTCCGCGGTAATAATGAACTATTCAACAAGTATTGATCAAATTTTAAAAGGAATGTTTTTTATGTACTACAGAGGTTGAGCCAGTCGTTATGACAATAAATATAATGTCAGGCGTGCTGAGTCGAATATTCCTGGTGGTGCGCTTCGTCTTACAAAAATCGGACGAACTGAAGACGAATTTAAAACCATTCTAAGATTTCTAAAAACTATTATCTAAACTATTATTAGAAGTAAGGTAGATCAAAGCATATCACAAAAACTTAAGCAAGTCCACACAAGGCTTTCAATTTACAACCATGAGTAATTTTCATAAACTGAAAATCATAATAAGGCCAAAAAAAGTCTCCGGTTTCTGGTATGCGCGCGCGTCGCCGTAGCCATGCGCGTCGGCAAAATGAAAAAGCTTTTTTTTCAATGAAAGATGATGTCTCAAAACCGCCAAACTCACTGGTTTGACTGGAATCATGCTGCTGCACAATTTTAACGTGTTTTTAAATGGGGTTATGATCGAGAATAAGCTTTATGTGGCCTCGCTGGACTCCCATATATTTGCACTAAGTCTAGTCGGGCACCAGTCATCAGCTAGTCATCAGCTTACATTTTGAGGCAAAAAATCAGGTAAAAAAAAAAAAAAGCCGCGTCGCCGCACCACTTTTTGGGCAAGCTCCATACCAGAAACCGGAGACTTATTTTGTTGGGCCTAATCAGAAACTTTTTTTTCGTGTTTCAGTGTACTAACAAATTAGGCCACTTTGCCTTTGGAATTAATATGGTAAACGCGCAATTAACACGTAACCTAAATTTTCAAAGCACTTGAAATCTGTAAAATCATGCTGTCTGCAATTTGGGATCCGTTTCAGTCACGAAAACGTGTCTGCGTTCGGTGGAACGATAATGGTGTGGGTTAGTCAAAATGGCGGCGCCCTGTGTACATGCAACAATAGTGTCGCTGTTTGGATAGTAGCCTTTAAAATGAAGTGAAATGTTGCCAGGAAAATATGAACACTGTATTGGGGATGTAGACAACGGAAAATATCAGCCCGACAGGCAGTTTTGGAAACAGCGAACGCCTCAGGACTGTTCGCCTTGGTTTCTAACGTTCGCTAACGTTGCTGACAAACACTAACTGGCACAAACTTTTTGTTGGAGCGCGTTAGCATTATACGCGTTAGTGCTTAGCTGCTTCAAAATGAAATATTTGTCGCGAAGCACTTCATGCTATAGGTGACATCGAAAAAAAATCACTTAAAACTGATTTTTCACGGAAGTGTATCGAACTTTGCCACATGTCTCAATGAAAATTTGAAATTTGGTTACATTTACTTTCCATTCATAAATACCCGAGACAGTTTACGCATTCTATTGGTCGAGAGCCCGTCACGTGGCCGGTCTTAAACGGATGATAAAGACATGGCTAGCTTGTCTTAAACACTTTTCCAGTGTCACAATAAAATGTGGACTCCTAAAAATCCAGTGCCTCTTATCGTTTCATTGGTTGAACGTTCACAATCCTCACGTAGACATGCGCAACACTTCCAGGGAGTCAAAATTTTATAGTTCTAAATTAAAAACGCAACGCGCCAGGTGCGTTCTGCGCGACATCGCGCAGAACGTGATACGCGCGCGTCAATCTCCATAAAAGGATTGTTTACATCTTACTCGCCAGCTGAACACTCCATTATTTTGCAAGAGGGATGTTTCAAAAAGCATAACGTGAGTTGTTGAACAAAATCGGGATGTTTTGAACGAATTATATGATTTTTTCTTACCGAAAAGGTATTTATGAATGGGAATAAATATGTGCTCCGTCGGTATTTATCACTCTGTTTAATACCACTTAGAGTCTGGGTGCTGATAATTACCCTCGCCTCCGGCTCGGGTAATTATCAGCACCCAGACTCTAAGTGGTCTTAAACAGAGTGATAAAAACCTCCGAAGCACACATTTATTCCCTTAGTGTATACAACAATGATAGCGATGTAGGCTAACTGTCCACGGGCAGTCCTCTACAGCCTGTCTAAAAAAAAATGGTACAATCAGAAAACAAAATTGGAAAGTATTGGAAAGCCTGGTCTTTTTTCTTTAATGTGATGCTCAAAACGACTTACTTATGTTGAGATTTAATATTGAAAAAAAAAATCGTTTTCAATTGTACCATTTTTTGAGACAGGCTGTTTATCTTAAGGCTTCTCATCGATTGAAAAGACGATTGACTGCCAGGCATTTTCTGAAGGCTTTTCTGTAATTCCGGCTCATGGAGGCGTACAAGTACGGATTGATACAGCTATTTGTCCACAGCATATTGATCAGCACATGGTGAACCGATACTGGGGCATCGACGTAGGGTTCAATTAGACTCAGGATACACCAAGGCAGCCAGCAGCAAATGTAGGCACAGAATATCAACAGTAGATTCCTGGTGATTTTCACGCTCTCCTTCGTCGGTCCTTTCTTGGGGCGAACGCGAGCTGCGTTCTTGGGTGCCGGTACCGGTCGGCTCACTGGTGCTTCGGCAGCTGAATTGACTGTGGCTGGTATTTCTATCGTCATTTTGTCTGTCAAATGCCTTTGGTCTCCTGAGCTGTTGTTGCCTCTTGTGGTGCTTTCATGTTGACAGGTCGTAAGTGTTTCGGTAGCTTGTCCTGTTGTGATTACCGACAAAGCCATTCCATCACTTTGAAACTCGGTGTTCTCCGGTTGGATACTCCCACCACCCAGCCCTCTCCAGTTACCGACTCGTCTCCGGTGTGCGCGAACGTGTAAGAAAGTAAGTCCATAGAACATGGGTATCATGCCCAGAGCCGAAACAATGGACAGGATAGCCAGCAGTTGCTGGTTACGTCCCGTAAATATGCAAAAGTGAACCTTCGAACTGTAACCGACGGAACCGAAGTCGGAATACAGAGGGAGAAGTCCCACAATACAGGTGCCGCACACGGCGTAGACTTGCAGGCCGATTACTGCAGGCTTGGAGGTAAATCTCCGGTACACGGCATCGGATTTGGTCACTCGCAGGTAGCGGATCTGTGCCAGGAACGTCAGCTGTTGCAGCGAGAAGCCAATGAAGAAGATGGCAAGATAGGCCAAGAAGTGACACCAAGGCACGTGGCGAGGCCACTGGCCCGAGAAGTACTCCGTAGCAATGCGACATGGCACGATCACCGCCGTCACGACGAAATCTACGGCAGCCAGGATGGTGATGTGAAGCTGGGTGGACGTACGAAGAGACGGGGTTGTGGCCACGGCACAGAGTGCCAACAAATTACCAATCACACCAGCAATGGAAACCAGGCCCAACCATACAGCATCAACATAATACAGAACTGGGTACTCCACTGGAAAATTCTCCATGATAACAAATCAGCAAGTTATTTCGCAGGTACGGTGGCCACTGAGTACATTAAAATAGTGTATCTGGCAATACGTATAACGCGAGTTGCTCTGTTGACAAGATTAGTTAATTGAACATCGTTAACCACCTTTCAACGATATTGAATTGCGTTGAAATGTTTTCATCAGTCTTTTCCCTTCGTAATGAGGTCTTAAATGAGGTCGGTGGAAAGATGATTGAAAAAGCAAACCAAGCAAGTATATGAACTCACTGCGTATATACAGTTACCTCTATCGCCATCAGCTCGTCTGCAGAGTTATTTCTCGGTGTATTCTTCCTTTGTAGCAAACACTTCCACATCCTTCCAAATGACATCAAACCTGTACCATGTTGTTCAAGCCAAAGCTGCCTGTCATGTGTAACATCGGTGTTGTACATGTATGTTATATCATCCATTCGATGCGTGATCACACGAAGACGTGAGCAATTTTGAAGCTCGGATGTGCCGAGACTGAAGTGGCAATAAAAACGTGACTCAATTTGTTTGTCGTGACAAATTGATTGAACTTGGCTGATCGAGCTCCGGCTGAACTATGATGGTTGAGGTGCGTCAAACAGACAAGAGAACGCCACACAGTCATCGGGATGAGGTCTCCCTATGGCCACTCGAGGATAGACCACGAGGTCATTGCTACAAATTCATGACATATGGATTTCACTGGCTTGAATGGTTGTTTGGAATAGACCACACAATTCAATGGTATCAAACAATATTGAGCTGCCCGGTTGATAACAGATAAGGGTTACATGTATAGAGTCAATGATGATGAGCGCGGTGCCGCAGATCCACGCCACTGCAATCAGCCAACCACCAAGCTGCTCTGAACTGCTTTAAAATAAAACACAACAGCAACTTGGGGACGAAAATAAGTAGACTCGTTCAAGTCTGACAACATTACTGCCCCAAACAGTGTTTCTCTCTGCTCTACAACACACGATTGAAAATAGATTGAGTGCGGCGTAAAAGTATGATGCAGGACCATAATTTACGCATTACTTTGTTTACAGTGTTCGTAACGTTATTAATGAACGTTGAAACTGTGTCACTATTCTCGCGTGATATTCAATTATAAGGAGATGCGGATGGAATTGGAGTGTTTGACACTCAAATGACGCCCCAGTTTTCTTCTTTGTGCCTCACTATTTTCATGACCGCAACACACTAATCAGCGCACTAACGCACTAAACGAGACTGCATTAGCGTTTTTGAAGTATGGCGGACACAAAAGGAGCGTGCTATATTTGGTGTGGTTAAACTCTTTTTGTGTTTACCCAAAATTACCACAGACGTATAAATGCATACACCGCCAGCTCGTATTCAAAACTGCACGGGCATTTCGTGATCTGCGCGGCGCCCGACTAAAATCAAAACTATATGGACAAATTCACCTCTCGATATAAGGAATATACACACTGTCAAAACTCTATGGAGCTGTTCGATTGAAGAGAAATGTCCTTAATTGCTAAATCACGTTCACGTATATTCAAAACAATGCGGCGTCCAACATTTTCATACAGATTTTGAGTATAAAAAAGTCTCTTTTAAGTATCTACAGTACATGTATTAACGTAAGCGTGTTACACATTAGGCCGAGGTGCTCTCTGATTGCGTCCACCATACTTCCGAAAGGCTAATGAATGGCAGGTGTAACAGCTAAAAGTGGTACACAAGTTCATTTTCTTTTCGGAGGGGGAGGTTGTTTAGGCGAAACAAACAATTAGTGGGACAGATAGGGGAAATATTTGGGGGAATTGTGCACTTGATGATACACGCATGGCATTTGGCAAACAGTCAGGGTATGTCTTACAAGAAGATATTTAGCTACACGGCCATCGCGAGTTTTTCCTTTGAAAAAAATCGAGGTAGAACAACAAGCAATTTGCAAAACTTTCAAAATGACTACCATTGCTTGTTATATCAATACTTTTTCAAAGGACACGTCTGCGATGGCCCAATAGCCAAACGTCTTTCTCATGACATACCCTGACTGTGTTCCAAATGCCATGCTTGTATCTATCATCAAAGACACAATCACATCGCCTATCTGCCATACTAAATCATATAACACGGTTAATGGTAGTTCTTTATATCCATTTTCCATCATGGTTCTAATTTTTCACTTTTGCTAATGGCAGGTCGTTGAGATTGTGAATTCAGATGGAATGAAATGCCCGTTAACTAATGGAGATTCTCAATGGACCGTATGTCAATGGTAAAAGCTTTGATTTAATCATGGAGGAAGAAAATGATTTAATCCGTAGTCTTACAAATTCCAAAGTTCCGTTTCGAACAAATAAACTCAATCGTCAACCACACGAAAAACATCCAAATGATTTTTTGAAAGTGATTCTTAAAGAAAACCATACGTTTATTTAAGGAACACACTCTATAGGCCTTTACTCTGATACATAGTTTTGGATTCATCAACATCTTTTTTTTTTAAAAGCGGTACGCTCATTAATTGACACAATTACGTCCAATTACATGCATGCACTACGTAAGTGCTGCCCAGATCATCAATGCGTCACTCGTCTGACATATTTGCATATAGCGGAGGGTATAAAACAGGATAAATCAGTGGTGCGCCGCCAATAACAATGAAGGTAATTGACGCTCAGATGGGATTGCCATGGAGACTATTGGAAATAATCGCCGTTCGTAAGGAGACTTGACTTATTGCCGTATATCATTATAGGCAGTGGCGTAAATCTGTGCCGGCGAGGGGGGGGGGGGGGTTGACCAAAATCCTAAAATTGCCCGGCCTTGGAAATTCGCCAAAATTACCTCCCATCCCCCCCCCCCCTCGGACTTATGCCCCTGGTTAAAGGATACGGAACAAACGGCCGGTCTCGTAAAACTGTCACAAGTCAGTCGATGAGATACCGGGTAAACAGTTTAATTCACAAATGACAATCAGTAAGTCATGATAGGTTACTGGTTCAATTGACAAGCGACGTTCAGTCAATGAGATAGGTAACCAGTTTAATTGACAAGCAACAGTCAGTGAGATAGGTAAACAGTTTAATTGGCAAACGATGTGAGATAGGTAACCAGTTTAATTGACAAGCGACGGTCAGTTAGTGATGAGAATCAGCCAGTGTGAGACTTAAAGATAATGTCCCGTGCTCTTAAAAAAATACTGTTTCTCCAAACGTATATTCAATTTGTATAAAAAAAAAAAAATTACAAATACTATATTCCGATTTTTGGCGTTTGCAACCCTCTAAAAAAGGTGTTCGTTTGGTGTGCAAATTACCTACCTTACTAGAGCCGAACTGTTTGGAAGCCAATAATTCGAATTTGGTGAAGAAAATAATTCAATGACTAAACGCTGGTGTATATTTTTGTTCAACATCTCACTCAAATGTGAATATCTTATATATTGCTCACAAAATAGCAATTGAACAATTAAATTTACTTTCGAGGTGAAACTCGAAAATAGCCTCTAAAAGCAAGTCTAATTCACAAATGACAGTCGATGACAACCTCGTCCTCATTGCGTCGAGCAGTACGCTCACACTACTGATGTCTTGCCCTGGTATTGGACCATGCAATTACGTGTTCAAAAATCTTGAACATAACAATTAGGTGCGGTATAGTCGGGTGCCTTAATTTATAACACTGCGGGTAAATGTTATGTTCAAGATGCAGTGTATAGGGTACTGAATGAAGAAATTTGTCGCGGCAATAGATCGAAAAAGAAATTTGCCGTGGCATTAGATCGAAAAAAAATATATATATGATTTTTTTTGGTTTAAAGTTATATCTGAATATACCTGAATATACCTGAATATTGAATATCTGAATACCATCCAAAATACATTATTACACTGAATACAATTAGCAAATGGAAAATAGGGAGATGTTTTCGGGAAGATTACTAGATATAGCAATTCACAATGAATGTTAAAAAAAATGTTGCACACATCGGAAATGATATCTCAAAGTACACGATATATAATTCAATTACTTTCTATTTCGGGATCGAATCACAATACAGGAAGTAAGTCCCTCCCAGGGTCTACGAGAGGTTGCAGTCAGTCAGTGAGATACAATGAGAACTACACGCTGGGCCCTCTGGGACCAGCGAAGAAAATTAACATCTTGATTTGTTTCGCTGGCAGGTGCAGCTGGAATACCGCGCTGGCTTAAATGAATAATACCGAGACACTGGAAAAGACACGTACCTGATAGGAAGAAATGATTAGTTTTCAGTTCCTCTGACCAGCTCTGACCTTGCATCTGTGTTCAGCTAACTCGGACCTGTGCAGGTGACAGCAAAGAAAATACTTTGGGGTTTGGTCCAGCTTGCAGAAGCACAAAATATGTTGCACTCTGAAAGAGAATGTAAAATAATGCGGACAATTCAGATCAGCAACTTCTGGTTTGGGATTTCAATAGATCGATTGCATTCAGCTGTCATGTTTGAGGTGCGTTATGTTAATTCATTAACAATGAATACGCGAGAGGTTGAACAAATTTGGTTGCAGCGCCAAAAGATAAAAAGGTCATTGTGGCGATTCCATTATTCGGGCCTTATTATTAAGGCTTTTTGATTACCAAAGTATTGGGGGGGGGGGGGGCACGGCGTACGTAGCCTGGGTTCTCAGGCGAGGGGGGGGGGGGGTTGTTGGATCAGTGGGGTGGATGGGGAAATCTCTGGTACATCCATTAACCATTGTTACTGATAAAGCTAAAAAAAATCTAGTTGGAGTGGCGACTTGGGGGCGACGCCTTTTTTAAGGGGGGGGGGCGTGCGTACGGAAAAGTGTAGATTCCTATCTACGAATCTTTAGGCCTAGTAGATTTTGGTAGAAGTGTGGATCTGGAACTACGAATCCACACTTTGCACATACAGTACACTTTGAACAATTTACAGCATGTTTGACCACAAAAACAATTATCAGCTTTGGTTAATTATTATTCTTTTTAACACAAACATTAAAAACACAATTAAAGAAATGTTTTCCAGTATTCATTATTTTTCCTTTTTGTGAAATGCACGACACACTAAACAAGTTAACGCATTGCATTGACCACTGAAAATGTATAACCTTATGGATGCGTTATACATTATTATTCGTTTTTAACACAGCATTCAAAACGTACGTTTACACATTTTGTTCCATTTGTTCACCTCTTTATTTTCAGGTGACATGTGGAAACAGAAATGGGAAGGGGCGTTTGGCTATGATAAACGCATTAACGCATACTCACGAAGGAAAGTCCAAATAATTGAAAGGGGCGTTGGGGAAAACACCGAGAAGAATGCAGGTATCCTTCTCTGTAAATTTACGGTGATTTTCAATTTAGAATAACCACGGGGTTACAGCTGTACTTTTTTTAAATCCTCAAATCAGACTCCGATTTGATGTTAAACAAAGCTTATAAAAAGCCTTATATTATACCCTTTTCCCGGTGATTTTGACGCCACATCAGATTCCGGTATCAGGTATTCCCGGGTACTCCAAAATCGTTGCGTGCTACATATAGAGTTTCTGCTGACTACGTATACCAGGATATCAATTCATTACGTCATGATCCGAAACGTCGGAGAATATTTGTATTCCATAAGGAGCTTAGTAAGAAGGGCTCAAGGCAAATTTCCCAGTAAAATATTATATACGACGTTTCCACGATCAGATTCTCCCGATATGAGCCTCATTACTGCGAAAACTTTGCACTAAAAGCCGAACTCATCGTCTGAACTATCCGCATGTTTCAAGGGGTGCGGACCGCGGTGACACACATAAACACACTCCTCACTTAAACACACTGGTATACAAATTTCCTTTTCGTGGCAAAATAAAGAATTCCTGGTTTTTCATCTTACCTGAACTTAAACAATACGAATCCACGGTTTGTCATTTTCTTAGTATTGCTTCTCCGCTTTATTACGTAAGATCCTCGCAGACGCCCTTCATGTAAATGTATTACCATGCTACGAATGTATGCCTTTTCATCTCGACTCGACTCAACAGTTCGAGACAATACTTCTTTCAACAATGGTTTAAGAAGGTATCCCATGTCCCTATACCCTATACACACCCTAGAACATTGCTACCGAGCACATTCCATAAATCTCAAAAGAATTCCCGAAATTCTTTCATGTGCATTCTCCTCAAATGAACATTCAGGTACATGTATACTTTGCGTCGAGCTATGGTGATTAAATTTCACTTGAGGCTACTTCAGAGCCGAAATTTGACAAATATTAGATCAATAAATAGATAAAAATTTAAATTAAAAATAAAATTGATAAAGAAAAAAACCCTCAGAAAACTGCATTAAATTGACTTTTGTCTTTTTACAGCAAGGTGGGAAGTATAGATTTCCGCCGATTTCCACCTACATTTCTACATTTACTTGTAGCAAAGTCTGTTAGCTACATTTAGATATCAAATTTAGCCATGACGACATGCGAAGCGCGATTTTATCGCATTTTCTTCTGAAACGATTCCCTCGGTTTTGATTAAATGCTATTTTGACTACACCGCGCGGCTTGCCAAATGGACAACTTTTCCAAAACAACATTTTCATCGCGTTTATGACAATTGGTGAGCATACATACAGCACTGTTGTATTTTGAAATCCTTTATACTATATCACTGCAGCGATTCATGCAATTGCCACCTTTTCATGAGAGAATATTTCTTTTTCTTGATTGATTGTAACACATACAAACACATAAGATAAAATTCACCAATAAAATCACGCCATACGCTGATAAAAGCATCACCATTGGATTCTACATTGATTCTGTATTTAATTTTGCCGAACTTTGATCCCATTCTTGGTCCACAGTGCGCGCTGTTAAAGCCATTCATTTTATTGCATAATTTGTACGTGATCGTAGAAAAAAAATCCGATATCTCGAAATGGTTATCCATTGCCTTGAGATTAGACTAATCGAGACTGTATTCCCAGCACGCATTTACTGTTTTCTCACGTAGCCCCCCTTCAATGGCGAAATCATTGTGCGAGCTATCGTACTAAGGATCAGGAACTGTCACAATAAGGATTATTTGAACAATAGGGGGCGTCTGTGATGGACAGTGATAACGGGCCTGGAATGGTCTATAAAGATCGGCGCGTGTTTCAGTTCTCAAGAACCAGAGAAACCAGTACTTTGTTTTATTTTATACATTGACAGGTGTCAAATCTTAATGACACATAGCTGTCACTTTTAGCACACCTCAACGGCATTGAGCTCGACTTTGATTCTTTCCGAGTTCAAAGTACGAAGTTAAGCTTCGCTATTCCATAATACTGAAATACATGTAAGAGGCACAGTTAACTATTCATTTCCCTACATTTTTTCATATACGATATAATGTTACTGACTATTAAAATGTCAAAGACTATATAACGAACAAGACAATTTAAAGAGAAGCTAAGCATTGAAATGTTTATAAGCTGATGCTATGATGTATGGTTTAATATCACCCTTAATTAATGAAAAATACTTGGTTGAAAAATACAGCTACTTTTAATAATCATACATTGTATACACCACAATCTACTTGTACGTACATGTAACTGTGATAATGAAGTTCTAAGCAGGAGGCACTTTTATGGCGCTGCTAAACAGTTTAGCGGCGCCACAAAATTGGCCCATCATAAAATTTCAAAATGGCTGAAATTTTCATAAAGTTAGCATTCTTCATAAGATAATCTCGGTGCTTTTGTTATTTACATATTCAGAAAAGTAAACGAAGAAGCTAATGCTCCATGATGTTGTATCTGCAACATTTTGGCTGAAGTCGGTAAATTGGGACGGCTTTAAACACGGGTCCTGTTTACTTTCCTTCTGCGCATGTCTCTTTAGTGCATGTCCCGTCAACAGAACCGCCCTCTTTCGTCCATTTGCGGCCAGACTCCGTGAACTCACGACACTTTTTAACTTTCTCTGAAACGACACAAAAGGGACAAAGTAACTTACGGTTGGTCTATCTTCAAAGTATATACTCAATAATAAGTACCTTATTTATCACATAGGTAATATACTTATGTACCTATAAGCACATTTTCAATAAAAACGTTACCTGTAAGTTTGACAAGTTTTGGTATGAATTCGTTCCACATGCGGCATTCCCTAGCCTTGATAGCACGTCCATTCAGCATGGCCGGTGACAGGTCTTTGTAGGTAAGTTCCTGGAGGCTAAACACCGGCCATTCTGCCTCTTTCTCCCCGTCTGTCGGCTTGTCATTCAGGGAAGAAAGGTTGGGATTGCTGGGGAGGAAAAACACCCAAAAATATAAGAAAAATCAAGTCCTACGATTGAGCACTAATTATAATATCCAAGTCTTATTTTACTTTCCATTGAGCTAGTGACAATATTGTTGCCCTCGTTGTGATGTCTATAAAACCATTAGAATCAGTTTTTCGTCCTGCATCCAACCACAATGGAATAGTAAGTACGGTGCATGATGGGAGTGGGAAAAGAAAGGTTGGTTGATTTTAAAGACCAAGAGGTTGTTTCAGAGCCAAATTCCACGGACTTGCTAAGCAGAAAATACTGCGGAAATCAGCCGGGAACCAGTCACAACCAATGTACACGTGCGTAGTGTGACATTTTGACTGGTAACCTGTTTTTGCTTAGCACATAATTTGAAAGCTTATCAAACTTCTGTGCTTAGCAGCCAAAGAAATTGGCTTCAATTTTCATGGGTAAACCTAAAATCCATAAATTTGTTATTAACATTATCATTATTATGTTCTTCCAGGATAAGCGTTTATAGTAGACATTTCGTCTATTCGTAGTTTCCAATGGACCTTTATCATGCTTCCATCATTTAAGTCATGTTCCCTGTATCCAATAATAGGACTGAATGATAATGTTTTTGTTCAAAAAGGAACCAGACTATTTTTCCTTCCAGCCTCGCTTTGGTTACATTGATCTGAATGGCAAAAAATCAAATGGCTGCAACATGATAATGGTCTATTGAAATGAACGAAGACCCTCTAAGGATGCGTTCGAGTAGCTCACCCGGATCGAATCGGGTTAGCCCCATGCCGTTCGATTATAGCTCGGACGTCATTCTAGGGGCTCCCCCGGGTCAGCCACCACAGATCTCTGCTCGAGGAGCGGAGTCAGTGCAGTGGAAATACGTCACACGCATGTTTTGTTCATTCCAAGAAACAGACAAATATGGCGGCCGGACAGAGGGAATCTGAAGTGGGCTAAAAAATAACTTTATTGAAGTCTAAATGTATTTCATTGAGTTCATTGCGACTTTAGAGGCTATAATTCCAGCCCAACTTTGTTATTTTTTTTCAATAGACGAAAAAAGCAGTAAATCTCACATCAAGACCCAGTGCGAAACAACGGGCCAAAGGTTGTGCCAGTGCAGTGGCTACGGCCGGTTCTACGGACATCGAGTGAAGATCGTGATGGCCCGCTGTTAACGTTCGATTAGCCCGGATGTCGTGGCTAACCCGTCTGCCTTTACCAGGGCGATCCGGGTGAGCTACTCGAACAAACCCTAAGATGGAAGCCAATGTTTATGGTTGATACTCACCCAGTCTTGGCCATATTTGTCCAGTATTTGATAATCCTCAGTGACATACGGGCCTCATCCTCAGTGTACGTGAACTTATCAGACGCTACGAGGGGAACGCCAAAGACGAACGGAATCTCGTCCGCGTGGGCACTCCCCGTCCATTTGCTCGCGAGATAATGCGAGGTCGGCGCGTGGGTCATGTGGTAACGGTACACTTTACGCCCGGCCGCTGTGAAAGCCCTGGCCGCTGAATCCTGCGGACACACAAAGACTCCGTCACTCACAACTTGAACGGTGCTGTCCAGGCAGTCGCATGAGTGGTGGTCGTCATTACAGGAGGTGTTGCGGTACATCACCCTCACAGCGTCTGCGACTATCGGTTCTGCGCTAATCATCGATATCCAGGGTCGCGTAAGGGTCTCGTAGGCGGTGGTGTCCACAAAGGGCGCCCTATCGGTGTGGTCAGGGTAAGCACGGACGGCAACCATCACTCCGTCGTCTGCCGTCGATCCTATGATGGACGCTGCGTCGTTGATGGCGCCCTCGGCGAAAAGATCGCTGGGTTTGCCGGGGAGGAAATTCCCATCAACCACCGGTGCAAAGACGATGAATGCTGTCTCACCCAGCTCTTGGAGTAACTGGTGTCAAGGCACAGAAGGAAATGCAAGTGTTAGACCAAAGTAATTCTGAATAAGAGTGTTCGCGATGTCTCAGCAACTGTTTGGAACAATATAATGCTTAAAGATGGAAAAAAATGTGCACAATAAGAAACTTTGAAATTCCCACCGACGTCAAAAGCAGCGTCTGCGTAAACTCACACGATACGCGAGTGGAAATGCCATGACTGGTTGTCGTAAATCAGTTTTTCAATTATTTATCACATAGATCATCATCCAAGGCATTACACAACCGACCATCATGGAAGGTTAACATAATGACTTTTCACACTGTTTGATGACGTCGCAATCTAATTTGAATAAAAAGTCTCATCTGTGCCCAAACACTTGTTACCGCTGGCTACAAGTAAATTGCCAGGGAGTTATGGGCAGCTGTGTGCTGTATGTTAATTTATGATGGCCCACGTGGACGTAGATTAAGTTTGTACACCGCAATGGTGAAAGTTGAAACGAATTACATCACGCCTAGTAGTACTACCTTTTGATACTGATTTTCGACAATAGTGTCGAAGTCCACCCGCTGTAGACAATCCAGTAACTCCTGGGATGTTTCTCGTTCACAGTCCACCAGCTTCCCTAGGGCGAAGGCCCGTCTGCGGGCCACTTCAGCCGGCAGTGTACCCCACGGAGACGAGATATCACCACTCTGTGGAAAAGAAAAATTCAATAAGATCAACATATCCAAGGGAAATGCCAATCCCACTTCGAAGAGGGATAGTCAGTCATATTGTGCAACTCGGGGCTGTGTTTAAGATTCACACTATTATCATCACACTATTGTCCCCTTTATCCATAAATAACTGGGACAGTTTACCTATTATCTATCGATAAATAATGTCCTATCAAGTTTTGTACAACACAATTCCATAGTCACGTCACACTACGTCTGTGAGATTATTCGAAAGAAATATTGTGAATAAAATAATTAAAAACGAGTTATCGTCTTTGGTATTGCGGGATATACCTCCATGATTGCAGCGTGGAAGAGCCCCGCGCTGCCCGGCGACACCATGTGGGCGCTTACACTCGCCGCGCCGGCACTCTCCCCGAAGATGGCTACTCGCTCCGGATCACCGCCAAAAGCTTATGGAAAGGAACAACAGTAGGGTCTAGTGACATAAGATGTATCTAATATACAATTAGGGTACTCCGGTCCATATCCAAACCATTTCACTCAGGGAGGGAAACGGTAATCTGAAGAAGATATTATTTGGTGGATTGGCTGCAACAGAATACAACAGCATCAGCATTTAGTACAGACCGGCTCAAACTAGGCGCGAAATTGGACGCGAACGCAAATGTGCGTCTTCACGGCAAGTGTTCGGGTTGCGAATTCGCACAAGTTGAACACGCTTCAACTACGCCGAATTTCGAAGCGAAGGTTTTGTGACGTCAAGTTCGCTTCGCGCTCGGTTTGGTGTGAAGTATGAACTGTCCTTTACTTTAATTTCGGTGTGAAAAGAATGCCATTTCGTACCTACTCGAATTTACAAAGTGTTATTAATAAGGCCGGTTCATACTCGGCGCGAAAGTGTTTGTAGCAAATTCGCTTGTGCTGAGATGTGATATATTCAACTTTGAGAATTTGCAGTATGGAAACTTGACGTGACGCTAGAAATTGTCTTTCGCGTTTACATTCGCATTCGGCTCTAGTATGAAGCAGTGTCATATAAAACTTTGACTCCTACGAAATCTGGTCTCTTTTACCTTATATGGACATTAACCCTGACACCAGACATATCACTGTCCTAGTTCAAGTTATCTTCACTTAGGCGTGCGCAATACAACCAGTGAGTCTGTCAAAGGTGTATTCAATATAATTATAGTGCCGGGAACTTTTGAAAATGTCAAATCACGACATGTCAAATGATAGCCTATCCTCAGCATCTTGTCCAGTACAAGGAGTGCGACGAGGCAGTACCTTGGATGTTGTCTCGGATCCACTCCAGTGCAAGGCGTTGGTCAAACAGTCCCATGTTACCCGGCATGACGTCATCACCTGTAAGAATTCAAAGTAAGACTTGAATCAGAGGCCGGCTGTTCTCCGCATTTTTCACAGTGGGATAGGCCTACATAAAACCTCCGACACGTGCTGCAGGATATCAATAATCAATACTTTGATAACTATTTGATTCTTTTGTTTAAATAGAAGTCGCCAATTTGTAAGGGGCTACAAAATGACGGGCGAAAAGGTCGTTTGCCCCTGTACCTAAAAATCACACATGAACAGTGCGGTAGAGGTACCCGCTATGCATGAATTAAACTGAAATCACCAAAAGGGACTCCAAAAATAGACAGGGAAAACAATTGCAGGTTAACCTCAATTATAATTTTAGCGAACATACATAGGAGCATGTGCTTTTTGTGTACTTTTTTCTTTGAAGCAACAAATTTGCACAAAATCTGAAGAAGGGTGCAAAACAAATAACTTGATGAAGTTTCAACTCAGTGGATAGAGAAAATGATAGGCACAGTTTTTGGAGTCTGGATTCCATTGCTAACGCACGTTAAAAGCTATGCTCGGGGCAAACTTTCTTAAACCACATTCAATGATTTTCTTCCGAATGATACCATTTCAGGCGGAATCAGTTTACAGGATATTTGGTACCAGTCCTGTCTTCACTTTGAGTAAGTTTTGTTTTCGATAAATCGTACGTACCTGGAAACTATAAGGCTAGCCATACATTATCTTCTGCGGAGGTTGTTCTACTATATACGGACGGAGTATGTTTTCTTAATATGGAACATCGTTGGTATGATTTGGGTTAGTTTAGTTTATATCTTTTCAAAAGACTTCTGTTTAAAACCAGGTTGGATAAACACTCTTCAAAAGCTTACCAGTGGACAGAAACCCGAGCGCCCCCAGTCGATAGTTGACAGCCACCACAATGACGTCACCAACAGCAGCCAGGGCGGTACCGTAGAAGTTCTCCATGCTTCCGGTTCCAACGAAAAAGCCTCCGCCATGGATGTACACCAGAACGGCAGCTTTGACGGGCTGCAATATTGTGGGAAAATATTATCGATCCACTGCATTTTAATTAACTAGACAATAGTCTCTCTCTTACAGTGGCTAATTAAGCACCTGTGGGCACACTCAAAATTATACACTGACTTTATGGAATACCACAGAACTAGGGCGGGAAATTTAGTCGGAAACCCGTTTTTTAAACCATGCACTGTGTAGAAGGCTCTTAGAACTTTGTGCATTTATTTTGTTTGTTTCAAGCAACAGAACCCTTTAAATTGATCAGTGAGGCAGTTCATAGCAATTAGTAACCGTATAAGCTAAGTGGCTACTGTGCATTATTGGAGAGGAAAACTGAGAAAACATGCATTTCAGGCGGAATAATTTAACAGGTTACAGTCCTTTCTTTACTTTGGGTAAATTTGGTCTCCTCATATCAACCGATAGGTCATTTATTTCTGCAGGTAATTACCAATTACCCGACCTTGTCTCTTTTTACATTTACTGTACATCCAATGTAGCCTTCAATATCCTGTATGATGGATTTTGCATCAAGCATATAGAAATCCTAGTTTGGGTGTTTGTCCTGACGGCCTGAGTTGAACCCAGCCTCGGTGGTAAGTGGCGATGACGTCTGCACTTATGATCACACGGTCGCGGGTTTAATAGAGTCACTGAATCAAACGAGATTGTCAAATACAAGAATATATTGCACTTGATGTAACAATATTGCACGAGTCGATTATAGTTCGTGCAATATGTCCTTGTATCCCCCTCAAAGCAATCCAATATTATAATTGTATTCTCGCGAGCTCCTAGTGGATACAACAAAATAATGACAGGCCTACAGTACGTGCTTATACAATTAGGTCCGCGAAGAGCAAAATAACATCATAGTACAAGGCCAAAAAAAAAAGTCTCCGGTTTCTGGTATGCGCGCGCGTCGCCGTTGCCATGCGCGTCGGCAAAATGAAAAAGTTTTTTTTTTCAATGAAAGATGATGTCTCAAAACCGCCAAACTCACTGGTTTGACTGGAATCATGCTGCTGCACAATTTTAACGTGTTTTTAGATTGGGTTATGGTCGAGAATAAGCTTTATGTGGCCTCTCTGGACTCCCATATATTTGCACTAAGTTTAGTCGGGCACCATTTGCAGTCATCAGCCGACATTTGAAGCAAAAAATCAGGTAAAAAAGAAAAAAAAAGCCGCGTCGCCACACCACTTTTTTGGCAAGCTCCATACCAGAAACCGGAGACTTTTTTGGCCTTAGAAGACAAACGAAGGACGCTCACAGGGGGAACGGAATGATAGAAACGCGTTAAAGGGAATGAAACGAACTCCAGTGATGTGCACTGAATGAGACACAATAGCATGAATCTGGCAAAGGGACAGAGACAATGAGCATACAGGATGGAATAATACATTATTTATTCAGATTAAATGGTAAAAACACCTGTCTCCCAAAAATACAACTATCCAATTAAAAGTAGTATACCAAATTTGATTAAAAACCGTCCAACAGAGTAAAAATACATTAACAACAATAATTCCCTTAATGACAATAAAAGCCGCGTCGCCGCACCACTTTTTGGGCAAGCTCCATACCAGAAACCGGAGACTTTTTTTTTTGGCCCAAAGTATCTGACCGTTCTTCTAAATGATGCGAATCTGCTGTGCGTAAATCATGCACTTCCGAATGCTCATGACCTTGCTCTTTATCACGGCAGAATGTCAACGTCTAATAGAAAATGCCCACCTAGGGAGGCAAGGGTATAGTGACCTTGTGTCAGCTGTTTGCATCCGTATCCTCGTGATTCCAATATATTTTGTCTGCTTAATACTACGCCAAGGCCATATTGTTAGTACACCCAAAAGAAATACTCACATAAATGGTGAAGAATCCTTAAAAAAATAATCCTGGATCCAGACCCAGACCCGGATCACTTCCAAAATCCAACTTGTACTTGTACCAAGGACCACCCCTAAATTGATTTCATGCAAATCCGTCCATAACTTTTTGAGTTATCTTGTCAACAGGCAAACGAACCAACCAACAAACGAACCAAATCTGATGAAAACATAACCTCCATGGCGGTAATTATTCATTTGGTAAAAAGCCGCCGAGTTTCGTTGGGCATAAGAAGCTAAATAGCCTGACCGAAATTGTGCTAAAATGCATTTCCACGGCTACATGTCGATATTCTCACGATTGCATTTTTTTCTGGCAAACAATATAGTGTACCTCGTTCATATTTTAACTTCATAAATTATCATTAATTTACTTTATTCCAAAAAGACAGTGAGGCATAAGTTTTTTTCTAATGCCTACACAACGGGAAAAACACGAAAAGACTCCTTTCGGAAGTAATGCACAGTTTTACTTACGACTGGCCGAGGAACGAATACGTTGATAGAGAGACAATCTTCAGCTTGTTTTCCAGTAAGCATTCCATTATTTCCCATCGGCATCAGCGGCTGAGGGCATCGATTGCCCACCTCTGTCGCTTGCAGCTCCCCGCTCCACGGTGACTTGGCCACGGGAGGCTTGAAGCGTAACGTACCGACGGGCGGCTCGGCGTACGGTATACCGAGGTAAGCGTCCACACTACGGCGAAGCTCCGGCCGCGCGGCGGGGTTAAACTGCAGCCGAGTGCCCACGATACGGCCCAGCCTGGTCGTAACCGCCGGTGGGTCCACACAACAAGTCACCTGAACCAGAATTTGTAGCATCAGCCATAAAACGCAGGCGATTTGAAGCGTCATATTTTTTTCACGGTTGATGTATCCGGAAAATCGCACTGAAAAACTACGATTTGAAGCTAATTGTATGATGGATGCCGGGATACAGAAATGAGATTTCGGAAAAATATATAACCATGGAATCTTTCAAGAAGAAATATTGACATTAAACAGATTCCGATGCACTCTCCCGGATCAGATGGCGGAGTGCATTGACGTGACAGAGCGATACTTCTTTATTGAAGACATGTAAAATGCATTGTTGTCCACGAATAACTGAACAGTCTGCACACGCACACTGCGATGTATATAGTGCGATGTGAATGGACATTTTACTAATAAATTCATTATTATGCACGCATGCGCATAAATGGTCTAGCGGCAAGAAGCGAAAGCGGTCCATTGAAAATTGTATCTCAACTTCTCCAGAATTTGTCGCTTTTTTATATAGAAGCCCCTAAAATCGTCGAAGGCCTTACTTTCTGGCCCAGCCGGACGTGTGGACGGGTACCCTGAAGCACAAGGTTATTTTTTTCAACTGGTGCGGAAAGGAGCCATGCTGATTTCGTTCGCCCTCGTGCGCACGACGACAGAAATTATTACAATTATTATTCTGTGCCCAAAAACCACTCAGACCAGGAGGTAATGCTTCTGACGATTTGAGGGGAGTTTTTGTTTAAATAACACCCACCGACAAATCATGGAGAACAAGAAATTGAGAGAAATGACCCGAATATTTGGACCCGTGTATTGTATTGTATTATATTGTTTTATTTCCATTTGTCACAAATTAATATAATGCAAATGCAACAGTTTATTTACAACAACAATAACTAAACTTAATAGAATGCTAATACATGTACAACACTTTGATCAATTCAAACATAAATGGTGACAGATGGGGGAACCAGGAACCAGGAAAAGCCTAGGCTTATACAGAGCCTGGTCCCGTTTGTGAATAACTTAGTTGTACATTTTCATAGACCGCTTTCGCTTCTTGCCGCCAAGCAGGCCCCGCGGCATGCGCACATGATTATCAATTTCTTAGTAAAAGTGCATTGTATTCTAACATACATATTAATATCGCACGTAGTGTCGTTAAAGGGAAGGGGCCCACCCCCGCCTTCCTCATTCGGAAATTTGGAGAAGAAAAGATGCAGTAAGTAACAATAGTTACGAAACCGATTTGTTTAGGCCAAAAAAAAAAAGTCTCCGGTTTCTGGTATGGAGCTTGTCCAAAAAGTGGTGCGGCGACGCGGCTTTTTTTTTTTTTTACCCGACTTTTTTGCTTCAAATTTGCTTCAAATGTCGGCTGATGACTGCAAATGGTGCCCGACTAATCTTAGTGCAAATATATGGGAGTCCAGAGAGGCCACTTATTCTCGATCATAACCCCATCTAAAAACACGTTGAACTTGCGCAGCAGCAGAATTCCAGTCAAACCAGTAAGTTTGGCGGTTTTGAGACATCATCTTTCATTGAAAAAAAACCTTTTTCATTTTGCCGACGCGCATGGCTACGGCGACGCGCGCGCATACCAGAAACCGGAGACTTTTTTTTTTTGGCCTTAACTTTCCTTTTTTATTATGGGTCAGTTTAGGATAGATCGTCATTACACAAAAAACACAAGCAATAATTCATAATCGCACAAGGTCGAACGAAGTCCACCCTGAATTTAAAATTCATCATTTATAAAAATGCCAAATTATAACACTGCGTTTTACGCCATGCATTATTCAGTTTTATTATAATTCATAACAATAAACCACCGCTGTATTTCACATGTACTTATACAATTCAGGTGCACAACCCAAATAGTTATAATCAATTCAGTTTTATATCAAATGAATAATTCGCGACCGTTGTATTTAAAGCTGCAGTTTTGTTTGGGGCATAATGTATGCACCGTTCCTATACTAGCTAGCATTATTCTATGGGCAAAAGATTATGAAGAAAACCTATTTCAAACGACATCAAATTATTTAATCAGCTTTTCATTTTTCTTTTCAGAATTAGAATAAAAAAAATTGAAACGCATATTTTGAACAACGGAATTATTTATGAAACTGGAATGAGTAAAGATCTAACGTGTGTTTTAATGAACGGAATGCGTTTTCTAAAAGGCAATTTATTTAAAGGTGTATGTTTACAGCCCGAATGCATTTTCAAAAACAAGGTGTATTTTGAAAAACTAAACTTACATCCTTACGAATCGAGTGAATTTTCCAAAACGGAATGCAATTTTAAAAATCGAACGTACAACTTTACGAATCAATGCATTTTCAAAATGGAATGCGTTTGAAACCCGAACGTACATCTCCAAGCATCGAATGCATTTTGTTCCGACATAAAACATTCGCTGGTTTTGAATTAGTACATTACATTCGACATGAAAATGCACTCGATCCTCCAAAACGCATTCGGGTTTTTACATACGTTCGTTGGAAAAAAAAACGCGACCTTTTTGACCGTGTGTACGTGTTCGGCCGAGGATCCACATACAGACTCCTGCTTTTGAGAAAGTGTTCGACGGGCAAATCTCCGTTTTCGGCCAGTCAGATATCAACTCCATATTTCAGGGGTATGACAATTTCAGGGATTATTAATGAAACACTATAGAACCCAGATCCAGTTCATGCCATTTTACCTACTCCAGAAGGTTGTTTTCGGAGTATTGTTTTTTGGGCTAAAATGAAGAACGTGCAGTTAGATAACCATTTTACTCCGACCTTTTTGTGGGCGAGACGTCCATTTGGAAAAGTTGGCGAAATAAACCCAAAAGAAGAGTCATTCATCAAGACTTTTTGAATCAGATGAAAAACTGGAGTTTAGAATTATTTGTATTATGTTGGAACACAATTTTGGACAAACTTTTTCCCTAGGGGCGGGGACACCTTTCATAATTTGGAGGGTGGGGAAAACAGAAATTACAAGATACTACAACATTAATCCAAACTTATGTCAATCTTTTTTTGTGAATTTGGCCTGAGCAGTCTAATACGCAATACATTCAAAGTTTGATGCACGTGTTCCGTCTGCGCAGTGTATTATGTCTATCGATAATGCTTGCCGCGTCTTTGACTTTTCTTTCATTGGCGTTTTCAGGTTCAGGTCCTTGGGTGCTATATGTGTGCAAAATGAGTACCGGTAAATCTGAAAAGAAAATATACATCAATTGTTTCGTTCGTAAAAGCGGTTAAAGTGGGGAGGGTGCAACTACTAATACCGGTTTAGGTGCTGGCGCATTAAACAAATAATAAAGGCGAGCCTAGTCCAGCTAGTCCCAGACCAGATTTGATCTAAGGGGTCTACTACTACTAGTAATTGGTAGTTAATCAGACTTGCTGTAAGCTTCACCTTGGCCAAAACAGGTTCACTCAAATGACATCTGAGTGAAATGTTTTGGCCAAGGTGAAGCTTAGAGCAAGCAAGTCTGATTAACAAGTGACATTCGGTCAGTGAGTCAATGAGAGTACAAAGACGACCGTAGGTTAGTCCTCAGGGCCCGACAAAACCCCTCGAAAGGCACGCCTCCAAGACAGCTGTTTTCCTCTATTCCTCGGGACAGCTTTCTTTCGTGCATGTCTCGTCGCTTGAGCCCCCGTCTTTGTTCATTTTCTGTACCGACGCCGATACTTCCCGCCAATTCTTGGCTTCCTCTGAAATTTAAAATCCACAATCATCAAAGCTTTTGCCAAATCGGATATCAATGAAACATCAGCAGGATGTCACAGTACATAGAAAATGAGGATAAAGAACGATGTGAACAACACAATTTAAAGATGTATTCCATGTGCTATTTTCGAGTTTTACCTCGAAAAATAGATGTGTTTCTTCCAAATGCTATGTTTCTAGCAAAACAAACGTTATTCAGTTTTGGATGGGACATTGAACAAAACAATCCACAGATGTTTATTTACTGAATTATTTCTTCACGAAATTTGAATTATTGGCTACCAGACAATAATTCGGCTCTCGGAGGGCGGGTTATTTGTGCACAAAATGAAAGTCCCTTTTCAGAGGGTTGCAGACGTCCAAAATCAGAATAAAGAGGTTTTTTCGTTAAAACAAAACAAATTAAAACTTCGTTAGAAAAAAAAAAAAGATTTTGGAAAATAACGGGGTACACTTCTTTAATGTTAAGCTTATAATCATGAGAAAACAGAATCCGTAATTCTGTATTTAATTCTCAGAATAAAAGTGTGCACAGTTTATTTTTTTGGTGGGGGAATAACATGATGGACAATATGCAGCAATGTCAACTTTCCTTGTTAGATTATGAAATGAGGGATTTAAGTAAACAGTTAACAAAATGGGGGGGGGGGAGGCGTACTCATAAGTGAAGGAGAATAATCGCATTTTGCGATAAATTAATAATTCTAAAATGCATGTCCAGTTCAGAAAAAGTACAATACTTCGTAGGACCTCAAAACTATCAGGGGAATAGTTTGGCAACTAAAAACGACGCTCATGAAATTAACACTAATTCTAAATCCTTAAACAAGCTAGGGTAATTTGAATGGTAACATGGAGGTGCTACATATGTATATGCAGAAAATATTGCTTAACAAATTAACGTGCTATAGTACAAAACGGCCGAGACTTTTTACTTTTTATTAATGATATACATAAATAACAATTTGGCAGGTGACAGATTCTGCTGAGCGAGTACTTTCTATGGTTAGCAAATTGCTGTTCGCATCGGCTCTATGGAATTGGACCCTTGATAAGATTTAATACTCACCTGCCAATTGGACAAGTTTTGGTATGAATTCGTTCCACACGCGGCATTCCTTAGCCTTGATACCACGTCCATTCGGCATGGCCGGTGACAGGTCTTTGTAGGCGAGTTCCTGGAGACTAAACACCGGCCACTCTGTCTCCTTCTCACCGTCTGTCGGCTCGTCATCCAGGGAAGAAAGGTTGGGATTGCTGGGGAGCAAAATCGGGGGCAAAACCGACGGTTAAAAGGCACAGTTTTTAGGTGGCACGTGACGTAATAAAGGGGGTTACTTCGAAAATCGTCTCAACTGGATCAGAAAGACGGTCGTTTCTTAATTCACCCACTAAATGGTCCGTGATTCAACTGCATGGAAGCAAAAGCGACGAGTGAATTTTACGTCATTAAAGACTGAATGTTCACCGCAGAACGTATTCATTACCTGTAAATTATATATTGGCCTTGAGAGTAAGATCATTACTGTATTGATATTATATCTATACAAACAAAAACGCTGTACTGTTATTGTTCAATTATAAGCGTAAGTTTTATTTCCGTCTCACTCTCGACACTTTCATTTGTTTTGTTATTGTCAAACTTATTCCTTTTATGTTTTCACGGATACCTTAATATTAAGACATTCACGAGGACTACGGACTCTACAGTATTTTATTTTCGGAAATCCGGCCATCTTACCCTGTCTTAGCTAGATTGGCCCAGTAATTAATAGTCTTGATTGCCATATCAACCTCCTCTTGGGCAAAGCTTTGGCCATGGGAAGGTGTGAGGGGAACACCGAAGACGAACAGCAGGTCATCGCCGTGAGTACACCCCGTCCAGTTGTTGCCCAGGAAGGGGCTGGTTGGGGCATGGGTCATGTGGTAACGATACACCTTACGTCCGGCCTCGGTGAAAGCCCTCGCGGTCCTGTCTTGGGGACAGACGAACATGATGTCCCCCAGAGCCTGCGAGAGGCCGGCCAGGTAGTCGCAGCCTGAAGGGTCTGCGTGACAAGAGAAGTTGCCGTACATGAGCTTGACCGCTTCGGCGACGACAGGGTCGGAGCTCAGCATCGCCATCCAGGGCTGCATGAACGCATCGAACGTGGCGCTGTCCACAAAGGGTGCTTGGTCGGTGTTGTTAGGGTAGACGGGCTTGATCATCACCATCCCCTCGTTTGAATTTGAGCCTAGGATGGAAACGGCATCGTTGATGACGCCCTCTGCGTACAGGTTGATGGGCTTGTCAAGAAGGAACCTCCCGTCGACCACGGGCCCGTAGAGGGTCATGGGTGCTGCACCTAGCTCTTGAAGCATCTGGTGCATAATTTGGTCAAAAGAAGACAAGTTATGACAGGTCAAGATTGTATGAAAATTATACTGTTGCCTTTATAGGCCTATTTTACCAGAGCCAAACATTCGCTCGTCTTCCTATGGGGGCGCTGTTCATATCGATCATGCACACTATCGGACAATAGTGTGCAAATGCCACCCTTAGTTACCCCGCTGGCTATGCCTCTGTGTCCGATTATGTCGGACAGGCGGACATAGGTAATAATAATGACTATATAATTTTATGTGATTTTTTTTTTATTTTGGTGTCAGAGCGGGGGGGGGGGGGGGGGGTGGTCAAATTCGAACCCCCACCCCCGGGATCAGCGCCTGAGATATGGGGGTTCTCTAAAAGGATAGGAGGACAGAAACAAAGGAAAAACAAAGAAAAGATTATTTTAGTGATCGATTCGAAGAGAAAGAATGAACAAAGTCCTATCTTGGTTCAATTTCAAAATTAGAGGAAAGAGAGTAGTGTTCACTAGAAAGATACGGCGATTGGTAATCTAGTTCCTCCCTTATCCAGATCTAACTCAGGAAAACGTAAACTTGCATCCCGTGGAGTTAATTTATTCAATGACCTCCCTGCGACGCTCGGACATGCTTTGCCTCCCACTCTTGCCAGTTTTAAGCGCCACTACAAGAACATGATAGTTTAATATTTTATGGTACATGTATGTCTTGTTTTTGTCTTTTTACTGCCAATGTAACGACTCAGTCCTTGTCTCAGAACCTTGTCTCATTTTACTGTTCATTAATTTTCGTTATATCTTTGTAATTTTTTCCTTGCTTTTTCTATTTTTATACTACCAAAATGGTTGTTGTAACTGCTGTTTCTTGTAACTGCTCGGCACCTTTGAAACACAGTGTTACACTAAAAGGTCTCACCAGGATAAATAAGAAATAAATAAATAATTTATAAATAGGTACAAGCGTGTTACGCATGCAAAAATCATGACCTTTTCAAACTGATTATCGATGATGGCGTTAAACTCCATGTTCTGCAAGCATTTCAGTAAATCATCGGATGAATCTGTTTGACAATCGAGCAGCTTGCCTAGCATGAAGGCCCGCTTACGGGCCTCGTCTGACGGTACTATGCTCCACAGTGCCGAAGCATCGCCACTCTGCCAATTGGTTGGAGAAAAAGAAAAAACAAGTTGGGCTCACTTGAAGTAGTTAATGGTAGAACTGAAGGGAAAAAATTCTGACGAAGAAATTAATCATTGTTATCTTTTAACCGATGTGCATTAATGGATCTGGACAATACCGTACACCTATTCGCAAGATGTTTATAAAGAGGATAGTCAGCTAAATTTCCTGTTTTGAATTTCAAGTAATGTATAATTCGAGATGTTTTCTCAAATTAAACGATTACGGTAAATGCTACCTATTTGGTGTCAGTTCATTTTTCAAAGTGATTTGTTATCCGAGAGTGTGCTACCCAACGACTAACCCAAACAAGAAATCATTATATGCGTGTTCATGTAAAAGCCTGATTTCTTTTAAAAGATATAATGCGAAATCACACGCGGGATATTAAGGATGATTATCATTTTATAAGGAGTACGTTATCAATGGGTTCTGCATTAATGACCATTATATCCAAGACTAAACTGGAATAATCTCCCATCTGAAGCGGGTTATTTGAGAGAGGTGAACAGGTGCGCCAATTTTCTCGGGTATCGTGGCTTGAGCTGGTCCGACATTCTAGCCAGGATAAGTTGCGTACCAATTCGTATAATTACCTCCATGATTGTAGCGCGGAAGAGGCCGGCGCTTCCTGGAGACAACATGTGCGCTCCCACGCTCGACGCACCGACACTCTCTCCAAAAATGGCTACTCGCTCTGGATCACCGCCAAAAGCTGGAAGGGGAAAACGGGGCAGACAACAAACTGGCTGCTTTAGGGACCTGTTGCCAAAGGCAACAATGGCCAACACGCTCACTATATATAGGTAGTGCCAATCTCTTGTAATCGTGTCGTGCCATAAATCTGCCCGTTGAATTCGACCGATTCACACACTACATTTTGTTTATAATGACAAAAACTCCTTTCAATAAATATAAACTAGAGATCATTTACAAGTTGAATAATGGTCATTCATGGTCAAGTCAGTCATTCAAGGCCATTCCGGTCATGAAAAGATTTGGGTCATACTGGCTACATTTTGATTAGCGGAGATGTAGGCCATATGGATACTATAACCAGGTGCACTTTGCCTATGCAAGGGCGCCATCTCTTTTGCCATCTTTTGCCCGTGACGGTTCGGCTTGGAGTGAGGCAGGCTCATATTCTTAAACTGATGATACAAGTGAAACTTTTAAAACTTCTTCGAAACATTATTAGACGGAATCAATGTCACGTTACTGATCCATCGCCCTACCTTGAATGTTATCTCTGATCCATTGCAAGGCAAGCTGTTGATCTAACAGACCCATGTTGCCTGGAATGACGTCATCACCTGCAGCAAAATAAAAAAAAACAGGGTAGCCAATCATTTATTTAGTGGATTTAATGAGACATAAGTTGCTTACACAAAATCAATAGCAAAAGTGGGTCTGTGTAAACTTACTTTCTCTCACTCGCCATACGCTGCTGTTGAATGTCCCAATGGTCCTCTTCGAAGTCCATCAAAGGGACAAGGGAGTGCATGGATTTCACATCTCGATTTAATCACCGGTTTCAGTCTTGTTCCATGCCGTTGCCATGGGAGACTTAGGCTATGAACATGATTCCGTGTACAAACGGTAGAGGGCACCTTTTGACCACTTTTGAGAGCCCAGTGAGAGGGATGCAACCCAGTAAGTATATTCCCATAGACAGCAGTGATAAATCCCAATACTTCAAAACTCTCACAGGTTTACAGGTGCTCAGGCTGCACAGAAAATGATGATTGAAATGTCGTCTTACATTTTCCTTTCAATTTTTGGTGGGTTGACCAATGACTTTTTGGAGAAATGCCCACCCAAAGAAGACCACCCCTAAAACGAATGATATTTCCCCAACTGGAAGAGAAGCCATTTTGAAAATAGGATTCCTCCACAACATGGCTAAATAGCGCCACTTTCGGGCCCGATTGCATAGAAAAATGCTCAGAATTGGAAGCCCCAAGTCCATGCCAGAGGTGCAGTGTCATAATCTGTGCAATCCCCCAATTCCATGGCTCTCGGAACTCTCTATTAATATAGAATAATTTGAATGCATAACAATTATTATTCAAGAGCTCGGCGGAAGGATTGTTGGCATGTTTACTTGGTTGCACCCAGAGGGACTATTGCTCTCAATTATTATATGGTTTTATTAAGGACTCCGTGTACAAGTACCCCCTAAACGGTAACAAAGTTGGGGAAGACCACATGGGAAGACATACGAATGCATTGCCGACCACAGGTTTAATTTTTGATACGGAACATCACGTCATGATGTTATGAAGCCAATTTCTAAGCATTTTCATTCGGTTGAGAATTAAACCACTCTGGTGATGCATGGAGACTGAGTCGCAGCTGCTGAGCCTTGGTTGAGACCGCTGGGCTGGGAGCATGTCTACATGAGCACGCCCGTCCAAAGACAGTCAGTTACCTATTGAATAATATCACTTTCCCATTTGAGCTGCTTACCGGTGGAGAGAAATCCCAAAGCTCCAATCCGGTAGTTTAAGGCCACAGCGATGACGTCACCAATCGCCGCGGTTGGGGTGGCATAGAACCCATCTATGGATCCGGCCCCAACTAAGAATCCGCCGCCGTGGATGTACACAAGAACAGCCGCTTTCTGTGGCTACAGAATGGAAGATATTAAGATTTGAAGTTTGATAAATCAACTACCAGATTTGGAACCAAAGGTAAGGGTGTCCCTGTTTACTTTTATGGGTCTAGGCCTATATTTTTTGCCTCTGAAGTAAGGTCGGTAAAAATCAAAGACAAAAGACAAAAAAAGGGCAGTTTCACGGTGCCGATGGCTAAATTAATTGATGGAAAGTGCGTATTGTCTCTTGTTTTGTTTATAGCAATGCATTTATCATGACTTGACACACTGAATGAAATAATAAAGCCATATTTGGCGAGATGTAGTCGACTTACATACAGTGGCGTAGCCAGCGGGTAAGGGGGGTTTTATCCCCCCCCCCCCCCCCAATGTAATATGAAAAGGGCACTCGTGAAAAAAAAAACGCTCCTGAAAAAAAAAACGCTCGTGAAAAAAAGGGCGCTCGTTAAAAAGGGCGCTTCTCGTGAAAAAGGGCGTTCGTTAAAAAAAGGGCGCCCTTTTTTCACTAGCACGTGCCTTTTTTTTTTAACGAACACGTGCCCTTTTTTAACGTGGCGCGAACGTCGGCACCTATTGTCCGCCAACTATTTCCCGATGGTGTCACGTATAGCACGCCCCCCCCCCCCCCTTGATTAACGGAGGTGACCGGTGTCGGAAACAAACTGTCTATTCTTTCAATTAATGTTTCAGCACGAATGAAGCAAGTGCCCTTTTATCACGTCTGACCTTGCTACGCCACTGCATTATTATCTGCACCTAACAGCTCACCGATGTTTTCGCTGTAGTGGCAGCCATGACATACTACTAAAGGTATAGGCCCTTGTCATGGCTTCGCCACTACAGCGAAAACAAACAAACAAACAAACGGTGAGCTGTTCGGTGCAGATAATAATGCAGTGGCGTAGCAAGGTCAGATGTAACAAAAAAACTGGGCACTCGCCTCATTCGTGCTGAAACGTTAACTGAAAGATTAGACAGTTTTTTTCCCGACACCGGTCACCTCCGTAAAAATCAAAGGGGGGGGGGGGGTGTTATACATGATGACTCGGAAAATAGTTGACGGGCTAATAGGCTATGATGACCGAGAGGCAACATCCTTCACCTTCTGGGATTCAGTTGGTTGCTACTGGTATCCATTTTCAGTAGATTTTCAAATAACACAAGGCCTGATTTCCTGAATTTTGTAATCATTTTTTTTTTATTATTTGGTTCCATACTGGGTTGGCAGTAAAAAAAAAATCTTGGGTCGGGAGCCCATAAAAAAGAATCGGTCGGAAATGAGAACCAAAGCAATACAAATGGAAGCCCCAATAGTCCTTGGTATCTTTTGAGAAGTTTAATTTTAACTGCGGGGTCAAATTCGGATTGGATCACATAAGCTTGAGGTCCTTAGCCTCTGGACAGTGGGCTCTACATGGAATTGGTCTTCGGTTAAGGCATAGGACCATTTGCATTTATCCCAAAAGTAATGAACCTTTGACGAGTGGTGGTCATGGTCGGGGGGGGGGGGGGCTGCATGAGGCTCACTATATATGATCTAAGACCTGAGAAAAAAACAAAAGTATTTTGACTTAATACTTACAACTGGTTGAGGAACGAACACGTCGACAGAGAGGCAATCCTCAGCTATATTGCCTCCCAGGGTGACATTATTTCCCATCGGCATCAGCGGCTGAGGGCATCGATTGCCCACCTCTGTCGCTTGCAGCTCCCCGCTCCACGGTGACTTGGCCACGGGAGGCTTGAAGCGTAACGTACCGACAGGCGGCTCGGCGTACGGTATACCGAGGTAAGCGTCCACGCTACGGCGAAGCTCCGGCCGCGCGGCGGGGTTAAACTGCAGCCGAGTGCCTACGATACGGCCCAGCCTCGTCGTAACCACCGGTGGGTCCTGATCACTTGATGCCCATGCAACTGACAGAGCCAGACATATTAAGAGGCAAATAAATTTGGAATGCATTTCCATTTCTAGACCTAGACGTATTCTTCAATTGCCAATGTTGTTTTGTGCACGCTCGTTGTGTACGTGTGGCCGTGTGCTAAGCTCACAAGTTATCATACACGTTTTTTGACATTGTATCTCCAATACAAAGGTCACTGCTCATTGCGTGCACGTTGTGCAATGTACCATTCATCATTCCCGAAACCCTTTCAACCTTCCCTAACTCACAACTTGAACTACGTGATGATTTCAGGTCTCAGCAAGATTTCTAGCAAACATCAATGACCTCACCTTTTATATCGCTTTTAAACGTAAAGCCGGCCTCAGGTCGACCTTGCGACGACACAAATCAGTCGGCGACTGACTTTTCAGGATCAAGCTGTGCCTGAGCTACGACCGTCAGGAACATATCAGTTGCCGATTTTGTGCGACCCGAGTATAACTGCGACGATATTAAGATTCAGTGCATGGGCCGGCTACACATGTATCACGATGTACATGGCTCAAACTCTACTAACTTTTAATCACGTCAAAAAGTTTATGCGCCTTCAGACTTGACATGATCATACGTGGGAACTGGTGAGAATCATTTGGAATGTGCAGAAGCCCCTAGAAGTAAAATATAACATGGCATTCGTAATACATCGGAAAACGATTGTGGGAGTTTCGATACACCACCTACAACCTCAACGCTATATAAACACCCGTCCATGTACACCAAAAAAGTGTTGAAAGAAATTGACGATGAAAGGAAACCGTTCTTAAACGTTTCAAATGCCGTGCAGAAACGGTCAGTTTTAAGTTCCAGAAATAAACTAGGGACGAAAAACCCGTTATTCAGACAAGAGTTTAAACACTTGTAAACGTTTATTGGAAGTCTCCACACAAAAACAGTATAATTATTATACCGAACAAAGAGTCGTTTCAGTAGTATGTACAATCTGTTGCATAAAATCTAGTCAAAGAAATCAGTTATTAATGAAGACGCCGCTTTGCATGGAATCATAACGTTGGAAGTTAAATTTCAAAAACAATGCCAATGCATACAACCTGTGTTCAAGATAGTGGTATGGACGGATTATAGTGTTTAATATTAGATACTTCAAAATATATACATTTATATTTACTTATAAAGTGGGCGGAATGTGGACACTCAACTATAGTACATGTAATATTAGATAAAAAGACTTCACCCTTTTAGTATTAAATTTTAGAAACAATACTTATCACACATTAAAGCATAAACAAACTGCATTATTCTTTGCTACTCAATGGACGGATTTCGTCTACAAAAATATGATTTTAATATTATTGCCTGAAAGTGACCAACATTTATATACATGTATTCCGGCTTCTGGCCAGTAAATGGAATATTTCCCAGACTTCGGATGTAGATCTTGCATAAAAGTAATTATGGTGTAACTTAGTTTACCAGGAACACAACAAATAAACAACTAATATTTTTTTTTTAACAAATTAAAACTTAGAACTATAGAAATGGTCAATCAACACATGAAAGAATCTGAGAACTATTATACAGAAATCCACACAATACTTGAATAATCATTTGTTGAATATCACAGTGACAACAAATCCAAAAAAATCAATCCCAAATTAAGCCACTACATGAAACAAAACATTTTTTTCGTTTAATCAAAATACTGTGATAGAAATAGAAAATGTACTTTTTTTTATTATTAGAAATGAGACCATTTATATTGCTTTTTCACAGCATGCATAAGTTCAAACCTTAAGATCACAAAAAGTTCCATTTGAGTAGAAGTAGAAAGCTGTTTTGATTTCTATTTTAGAAACATTTTTCAAGGGATTAAAAACACTGTTACAGAAATGAAAATATTTACAGACTTGATAAATGTGCCCATTTATTGCTCTTCGACTGAGTGCATTATAGTTCAAGCTTTCGTGTGCAAGATGCCAGATTCCGTTCACTCAGTAAATTCAATCCTTAGTAATGTAGTATCTTAAAATTTACAAATGGTTGCAGTTCATTGAAGATAATTGAACTTTGAACTCTTTATGAGGCCAAGGGTCAGCACGAGTACGCCCCCCTCCCATGGGTTCCTGGTAATTAATTGTCAAGTTGGCAGAGCAGTGCTACCCCACGGCCTATCCAGTGCTGAGCAGGCAGATCTGAAGGCAGCTTCATACTGATGACAAAGTTTGTGGAGTGGCCGGTGGTGGACAGCGTTCCTCGGCGCTCGCTGGTCTTGTACACTGGAGCCTCGTAGCTGGGACGCTCGGAAAGGTCTGATTTCTTGATCGGTTTCAGCCAGACCTATGATAGAAGACAAGAGTATTTTGAGGTATAAAGGGGGAATATTGATGGTTGCACTGCAGAAGTATCAGTGTTGTGGGACACCAGTCCAGGACTCAGACTCGAGCCCAGGACTCAAGACTCGAGCCCATCTTGAGTCCTGATTTCAGTGACACAGACTCGACTCAAGTCACATCGGCTAAAGACTCAGACTCAGATTCAACCACCATGACCCGGACTTGACGATTATAACTCGCATATTTTGTTTTACCAAAACCATCAACAATTTTTGTTTGAATAAATGTTCAATTTGCCGAAAGTAATGCAGCTAAAGAACATTAACCCTAACTCCCTAGGGGGTATGCAAAATCATATTAAAATTGGAGGATTCAGGACTGTTAGGGATACACACAAACTGTACCACAACACTTCCCAGGTGGTATTGCAAATAATGTTTGAATCCCCATTTCCCACAACAACGCATCACCAGCATATCGCTCAAAGGTTAAATGTTTGTGTGTCAATATTCGTACACATCTATCAAAAACCGCACTACACAATTTGTTCACTCACCACCGGCATGGTATCCTGCAGCACCTTGGGGTGGGACTCTCCCAGTCTACGGGTCTTGCGATCCCAGCGAGCTCCGTCCAAAAACAGACCATTCACATACACACCTGTTAAAGAAAACATGCTCAATTTATTGACACATTTGGGACAACAATCCTAATATCTCCTTTCTGCAGAAAACAGGTATGTGGAATGAACAGGACATTTTGTTTGTTTGGTGACAGATGCGTGAAAACAGGTGTTTTTTTTGCCTTTTAATATAGAAATAAAAATGACACCAGTGTACAGATAATAGAAGTCAAGTTCCCCTAAACTCAGATGACAAGTACAGGGTTTCTAGCACTTTGAGAAAACAAAATTGCTCGATTTTTCCCTATTATTTCCTTGAAAAATGTTCAAAATTCCATGAGAAAAATTTTCACATGAACAAGGTTCCGGGAAGTCAAGAGGTGGATGCAATGAAGCAGCTAAGATATTGATAACACACAGGCAACTTAGACAAGCGAGGGCCTCTCTTCTCTACTTATAGCCATCCTTTCAGTCAGTCAATGAACACAACTTGGACACATAACACAAGAAGTACACATACGCCAAACTGGCCAAAACCATTCCCAAATGGGTCACTATCAAATTCCCTGCGTTTTCACTGATTCTCTGAATTTTCCCTGACTGAAAAAAAAACATGAAGGGCAAAAAACCTAATTTGATTTACATCACCCCGACGCAAATATTCCATCTTTTGAATAGTTAATGCGGTACCCGCTGCTATATACACCAGATTCAAACCGGCCAACCGATCCCGTTAGCTCGGTGGTCGAGTGGTAAGACATCTGCACTAGAAAGCAGGAGGTCGTGGGTTCGAGTCCCACCCGAGTGATTTTTTTTCCAACTTTCACTCGGGAGGTAACACACTGAGTATACAGTGTTTATACGTCGGTGAAGGGAAAAAACCTAATTTGATTTACATCACCCTGACGCAAACAATTTCATCTTATAGAATTTCAAAAAAATAGAAACTCATTTTCAAGGCTTTCCTGATTTCCATAGTGACTAGGAACCCTAAAGTAACAGAAGGTGGACAAAGACTTAGAAGTATCAGTGTCACAGTTGACTTGAATACCTTGCTGCTTAACTTTAGGCTAACTGACTTGTGACAGATTTGTCAGAGACTGATGACTCGAGAGTACTTGACTACTGCTAGTGAAGAGTAGATATGCTAGTATTGTTCACGAACCAATTTATTTTTTACTATTCTGACAAATCTTAGGTCAGGTAAGTGCGACAGCATGTCACCAAATCGGGCAGGATCCTGCCCAATTGCTGAAAATGTCCAAAGTTATCTGAATACGTTTCCTTTGATACTTGGACATGTTTGCAACAGCTTGGGTGTCTCCAGGTGTACAAATAGCTTTAACGAACCAACAAAATACCTATCATGCTTAATTATTATCGATCCTTGAAATTTGAATTTTTTTGTGATTCTAGGCCTGCAATTAAAAAAGTCAATACCACAATATCTGTATTTAATGTCCATAATAGACATTGTGCTTTGACTATGGTTTTGGATGACAGCTGGTCTTTGCTGTGTCTCGTTCTATTTTTGATTTTGATGGTTACCGGACCTACGATCTTTTGTGAGACGTCAGGATCGTCTGGTCAGGGAACCAGACTACAGATGTGCCAGTATTACAGCTAGACAGGTGCAGTTTATGATTTCTATGGTACAAAATCAATTTAGTATGGCTTCTCTGAGCCTCCTTACCATCTTCGGGTGCCTTGTCATACTTCTTGTCGTCCATGACCTCGTAGTCAAAGCCCAACAGGTCAATAGGGATGGTGTACTTCCTGGCGTAGTTCTGCTGGGCACCGGTTAAGAAGGCCTGGGTGAAGAAGAACCCTGACACCCAGAAGACTGGCGGGGGACCGACGTCATACCAGTCCTGGTAAGGAGTGAAAAAATGACAGTTACATTACAGGAGGATTAACGAATTTGGTGGTTATCTTTTGTGTTTTTGCAACCCTCTGTTTTGTGTGGTTTCGTGTAATGTAATGTAAACTTCACTTTAGAGTATAGCTGTAGTATATTTTGCTAGTAAGAGTACAAAGAAGAGCCTTCAGTGTTAAGCTTGCATTGGATTTCGGGGAATCCTGCATGATGAGTGTCACTTTTTCTTTGGATGTCCGTTGGGGAACCAATCCGATATGAATTTTCGATAGCATGAGGCAAAGAGCAATATTATGGATCAAAATTTACAATCTGGATTTACATTGCCTTGATATCTCTGGCTTTACTACTGACATTAATGGGTTGAGTTTTCAAATGTCTATTTGACATGAATCATAAATATGACAAGATACACTAATGCTTATATCTACAACAGAAGTGGCATTTTATTTTTAGCGATTTCAAATTCGGCTTTCAAAGGAAAGTGAATTATGATGTGCATGTCAAAACTCCTTCATAACAGAAGACTGAACATCAGGTGTCTGCACGAAGCTCACCCCAACGCTCAACTTTAATTGGCCAAATCCCATACAAAAGACATTTGTGATGCGATCAAGCTAAATGAGTCGTTTGTCGACCCCGGTCACAAAAAAATTTCATTACAAATTTGAAAAGAGCACAATCTCAGCAGTACTCCTGTGAAAACCGCATGCTGATACCATCTTTAGTTCAAAACTTATGGAAGTCGGAACACCAAGAGATGTGATGAAGTGATGTGATGAAGTGGCCCTATTTTGGCCTGAATCTCCAAATGAAAATTCCCGACAAACGACTCATGTAGCTTGGTTGCGTCACATTTATGAGTAAAAGAAAAAGTCAAAATCAATCATATGAGCACACGACAACCAAAAACAGCTGTGCATGGCTGTTCATTTTCAAGCACTCATTCTTGGACGAAGACCACGGTTAAATACGCAGCATACGGAGCTTACCTGAAGGAACTTGAGTCTGGCTAGGAAGTCATTGATGTAACCTCCCAGGGGCTTGAGTGAGGGGTAGGATTTCTTCATCCACACCCCTGGCACCTTGCCCTTCAGCATGCTGTTGACTACCTCCTCCAGTTCCGTTGACATCACTACCAGACCCTGTCACGTGATCAACAACACAAGGGAAGACTAGTACCGCTGGTCCCAGAGTACGGAGAATTCTAATCAATTGATTCAGATTAGCTATTCATCCACTGGAAATCTCTTCATGCATCTGGTCTACACTATGGGCCGGATTTAGCCCATTCACTGGCGTTATGGGGTAATCCTATATGATAGCACTGCCCAGCTCACAAATCACAGTCAGTCAGTGAATGAGTCTCTCTCAAATGACGTCAGTTCCTACAGACCATCAGTGCATCGGCATTTTGAGCGTCAACTTGCATAACTTGCATCGGCTGTGTCGTATTTCGAACACATTTCGAGCAACAAGCGCGGGTGTTTGTAACATTTTCAACACTGCGCAATGCGTGCTTGATTGCGTAAATAAGCAGTTACAGTTCTCCTACAGAGATGACCGTCTTTGAGAGAGACCTATAGGTACACAGAAGACACTAGGCTGGCCCTTTGGGACCAGCAAACCTCAAAGTGGAACTTCCGGCTTCCAACTTGAGATATTTTTGTACAAAACCTTTTTGACAGACTGGCCCTTTATAGCACACAAACAGGGGCTACATTCTAGTTTACGTATGGTCTCCGCCGGGAGAAATATCGACTCTTTGCAAACAGCTCTTTCATTAAAAATTCTGTCGATTTGTGGTATTTAATTCCATAATAAGAAAGTTACAAAACTTAAAAACAGCTGTTGCCCAGGTTTGCAGCATTGCTGATGTTGCTAGCATCGTGACTTTGGGCATGATTCCTGGCTACATGGCATATGCAGGTTTATGGCTTCTGACTAGTGCCCCTTGAACAAAGACAACTGACAGCTGAATTAGCTCAGTTGGTAGAACACATGTACGGTATTCTTAAAGGATGCAGCTTCAAAATCCAATCCAGTCAATTTCCTTGTTCAACTTTTAAGTAAAAAATTAAACAGGTCACCTGACCAGGAAGTACAGAAAATAACCCTATTGCAGTGGCTGAAGGCAGCGCTATTTCTGTCCAATCTGTCACTGAGTCCTAGCAGCACCTCCTCAGTGGAGTAACATATTCTAATGCCATACATACCTTGATGGCCTTCTGTATATTGATGAGGCTGGCACGCACGGTGATAAGCAGGTTATTGAACCGCGTCATTTCCTGCACCAGCACGGTGTTCATGCTCTGCGTGTAGGTGGTCGGGTACTTGCGCAGGCCGGCCTCCGTGTCAAAGTTGGCCGGCAGCTTGCTCAGGATGTCCGTGGCTACGTCTGTCACCACCTCGTCATTGGACTTGGCCCCACCCTTGGAGGAACGCGACTGTTGGGTAGATGTGGGAAGAATGATGAGAAATTAGAAATGAGAAATGAGAAATTAGAAAGCACACGCATTTATTAGATCTTACCCAAAATTTTGGAATAGATAACCTAAGACATGCTTACTAGATTTGAATATTGAATAAATCAGAAAAACTTGACACAAATGGATTTTTTTTCGATTGCTTTTTTTCTAATCTACAACAGCTGCAATAAATTTTGATGAAACTTTAAACCATTTTTTTTATAAAAAAGTAGAAAAAATGTTATACCGTGCTTGTAGAATTATTGCTAAAAGTCTGATTTTCACTACTTGTGTATAACAATAAAATACACTTTATTGGTTCAAACTAATGGAGACAATGCAAAATATTGCTACAGGCTAAAATTTTGAGCAGTGTTTTAATTCCGTTCAAGGAATGCTACAGTGACAGAGTAATGACATAAAGTTTGTATGTGTGGATTTAAGTAACATTCACAGAACGTACATCCACCAGACTATTACACACAAGGTTTGTTTAATATTAAAACAGGTCTTTGTAATTTAATAAACAGAAAAACATTCCTGATATTCATTTTTTTGCATACAATACCTGAGCCTGGAGCAGACAGCAATCAATGGATCAATCATGGCATGCGATGAAAGCGCAGGAGACAAATTGGAGAAAAAGAATCGATGTCGGAAAGAGAATGGTAAAATGTTACAGGGTGGATGCACATGCATGGCAAGGGATCATGGGTATGGCATGAATATGGAAAATATACACTTCATTCGACTCGATGAATGCAGTGAATTGCTGCAGTGGGGGAACTACATGGGATCTACATGTATGGTCAGGCAATGTTTGGCATTATGAATTTAACACATCAGTCTAAACAGTCACACTTTGGGTAGGGATTGCTGTATTAGGGGAGAATTCACAATTAAACGTGCAGTAACTGGAGGTTTAATTCGAGGTAGGGGTTTACCTCAAGGTTATGGGGTTTTGCCTCAAGGTTATAGGGTTTGCCTCAAGGTTATGGGGGTTTGCCTCAAGGTTATGGGGTGTACCTCAAGGTTATGGGGTGTACCTCAAGGTTCTATGGGGTTTACCTCCAGGTTATACGGGGTACTTCGGGCTGCAACCTCCAGTTACCACTGGTTAAATTTTGCATTTATGAGGCATGTTTTGAGCACTTAAGTTATAAATGGAGTTTATGCAAACACTGCACACAGCAATTAATCTATGAGAAATACAACAATTTCATACGATTACATGATCATAAACTTGTTTGAAGGAAACAGCTGTTTATATATTGAGAACTTCTTTTCAGATATGAGGGCTGATTGATATGACAAGGAGTTTTGGGTTAATCTTCAAGACAAGAAGATTTTTGACATTATATCTTCTTAGAATCCTTCCAGCAGTTCTAATGGACTATACATGTACATATGAACCCTTGTATTACGCTGTATTAAATTGCATTTACTCCTTTGTGAGTCCAGAAAGCTAGAGCCTGAGGCTATTGTGGGTGGGGGTATAAGGAGCGTTTGGCAGGGTACTTTGGAACGGTACGGGGACTTAAGGCCAGTTCATCATGCGAATGTGAATGGGATATGAGTTTAACGTCACGAAGCATTCGCAGCGGAATTTGCCGTAGTTGAAATGTGTTCAACTTTTGCAAATTTGCAACGCGAAAATTTACCCAATAATCGCAACTCGCGTTCGCTTTTGTGCCCGGTATGAACCGGCCTTAAATTGTACACTTTATATGTATTCAATCTCGACAAAATAGTACCCTAACAGAAATATTTTTTGGGGGAGTAAAAACGAGGCATACCTGACTCTGCAAGCGTGGAGTGAATGGTAACACGCATAAGACATGAATGCATTGGGCAAGGCACACAGGAGTTGTGGTAATGATGGTGGAAGGTCACAGCACACAGGATGAAGGAGGAAATGTTGGGAAGGGTGGATGCGTGGGGATAAAAGGTCAAAGTTATGAAAGAAAGCAGGTCAGTTGCAGAGCTATTCGTAAAAAGGGGATTATCTCTTGGTCGGCAATTCTGTAGATATCTATACACATGTGTGCTTCAGTGAATGTTATGCACTGCCTGCTCAAAATACCTTCAAGATGAAAGAGGTCAAAAAATAACTCCGAAATTTACAAAATACCAATCTGTTGAGAGGATTGTATAGGAGAAGATAGGCATAGATAATGATGTCAAAAAATACACATGGATTGGCCTCAATATTTTGCAAAGACAATTCAGTCTTATTGGTGAAAATTAAGAGCAAGACAGATAGTTAGGTAAAATTGCAATCACAGTAAGCTTTGGTCGTGGGAGACTTCAGCACACTACAGTGGAACGACGCTATAACAACCATCGCGAGAGCCACAGAAATTGTTCGTAACAGCGATCGTTCGGTATAGCTGCCGGTGCTCCAGCACTCACTTTTTAATAAACAGCGCCCTTCATAACTTCACCCTGCATGCCCTGGAACATGTAGTTACTGAAAGACGACTTTGAACACGCGCCGACTATTGAATTATGTCATTACATAGTTTTTGAGCTTACTACAGCAATGGGTAGCTTTCCCTTCCATTTCTCCGGGTAATAATAGCCACTTTATCAACAACAATGTTTGGTACAGTTTGTACACAAATATCAGAAGCCAAGAACGATGTTCGGTATAGCCGAATGCTCGGTCTTGTGGAGTTCGGTATAAGGACGTTCCACTGTACTTGCAAAGCAGCTAAGATTTAAATGCAAAGAGTTGTTGAAGGGCAGATGGGCGTGTTTATGGAGGAAAGTGGTTTGCAAACATGACCATGTGAAAATCAGGCAATGAAATGTCACATGCAATGATTTTGTGCCGTCCTGGTTCGCTATTTTGCCGACAGTCTTTGTTTTTACCTGTGTCAGTAGAATGTTGTCAAAGAGCAGTTTGGTCTCTGCCTGTTCTTTGGAGATGTCGGCGTTGGCATGCATGCCAAAGATCTCCGGGCTGGCTATGATGGGTAGATTCCTGGTGTACTCCAGGTAGCTCTCATACTGTACACAAGAGCAAACATTGGGGGGAAAAAGAACATTGGCGGCAGGATTATAGAGTGCTTGTAAAAAGATTTCATCTTTTTAGTGTCACAGCGGCCAGGACTGAAAGCCCACAGTGGCTACCAAATCACCAGCATTTATACCCTTCTGTGTTTTAACAATATGTGATGCGATCAAGTTAAATGAGTCGTTTGTCGACCCCAGTCAATTTTTTTTTTATTACAGATTTGAAAAGAGCACAATCTCAGCATTACTGCTGTGAAAACTGCATGCTGATACCATCTTTAGTTCAAAAATTATGGAAGTCGGAACACCAAGAGATGTGATGAAGTGATGTGATGAAGTGGCCCTATTTTGGCCTGTATCTCCAAATGAAAATTCCCAACAAACGACTCATGTAACTTGATCGCATCACATATGTGAAAAGTCGAAAAAAAAATTCAATCTTCATATTGTTCAGGTACAGAGCTTTGAAAAATATCAGCTTACATAAACTGTTTTGTATATTTCCATTTAATAAAGCCAATGCACAAGTTGCCTTAATGCTCTTGGCATAAAGCACTTAGAAAAGTGTCAACTGAAGAAATTTTTATGTGTATGTATTAGCAATTGCATTAACCATCCTGATACTTTAAGCAGTCACAGACAGTCAAAAGTCACTCCCACTTCCCCTGCTCTACTTTTAACAAAGGCTAGTCACCAGCAGTTAGAACATATGTCAAGCAAGCACTGTGACTAGTCAAACAGGGTCAACAGACAAAGCAGACATGTTGTGGTCACAGTTGTTTAATCACTCTCCCGGAGTCAAAGCATAGCTGTATCAAGTTACTTAAGTAGTGCAAGGCAGTCAATCCTGCTTTATGTAGGCTGGGAGTTCGTAAGGGTTGAAAACAGTCAATTGATTGTAACTGCAAGGACAACTTGGCATAGAATGCACGTTTGCATAGGAGGATTGATATTTGTGAGTGAATGTAAACTTCTGTTTCTGTTCATTAACTCTGTTAAGTTCAATCTCTTCGTTTTTTTTACAGCAGAAACTGACAACAAAGTCAACAAGAGTCTGTGCCTGTGACAGTTGCTTTGCAAAACAACACACAAACAAACACCTCCCTCAACCCCCTTCCTCCCAAGAAATAAAAATAACAGCGTTGCTGTTGAAACCCCTCAGCCAGAGTCAAGTTATCATCCGGAAACCATTAACCTTTAACTCAACGTGGTGACCTTGACCTTTGACCCCAGAACCAGTCCCAACATGCCTGTACCAATGGGAAACCCCCTACCGAAGATAGACACCAACATTTCATTTCTAACTCAAGGTATCATTCGAAACCATTTACATTGAACTCACCATGCTGACCTTGACCTTTGACCTTTTGACCCCAAAACCAATCCCAACTTGCCTTCTCCCAAGGGGAACCCTCTTCCAAAGTTAGACACCAAAATCGCATTTCTAACTCAAGTTATCATCCGGAAACCATTTACCTTTAACTCACAATGGTGACCTTGACCTTTGACCTTTTGACCCCAAAACCAATCCCAACTTGCCTACTCCCAAGGGCAACCCTCTACCAAAGTTAGACACCAAAATCACATTTCTAACTCAAGTTATCATCCGGAAACCATTTACATTTAACTCACCACGGTGACCTTGACCTTTGACCTTTTGACCCCAAAACCAATCCCAACTTGCCTACTCCCAAGGGCAACCCCCTATCAAAGTTAGACACCAAAATCTCATTTCTAACTCAAGTTATCATCCGGAAACCATTTACCTTTATCTCACCATGCTGACCTTGACCTTTGACCTTTTGACCCCAAAACCAATCCCAACTTGCCTTCTCCCAAGGGGAACCCTCTTCCAAAGTTAGACACCAAAATCGCATTTCTAACTCAAGTTATCATCCGGAAACCATTTACCTTTAACTCACAATGGTGACCTTGACCTTTGACCTTTTGACCCCAAAACCAATCCCAACTTGCCTACTCCCAAGGGCAACCCTCTACCAAAGTTAGACACCAAAATCTCATTTCTAACTCAAGTTATCATCCTGAAACCATTTACATTTAACTCACCACGGTGACCTTGACCTTTGACCTTTTGACCCCAAAACCAATCCCAACTTGCCTACTCCCAAGGGCAACCCCCTATCAAAGTTAGACACCAAAATCTCATTTCTAACTCAAGTTATCATCCGGAAACCATTTACCTTTATCTCACCATGCTGACCTTGACCTTTGACCTTTTGACCCCAAAACCAATCCCAACTTGCCTACTCCCAAGGGCAACCCTCTACCAAAGTTAGACACCAAAATCTCATTTCTAACTGAAGTTATCATCCGGAAACCATTTACATTTAACTCACCACGGTGACCTTGACCTTTGACCTTTTGACCTCAAAACCAATCCCAACTTGCCTACTCCCAAGGGCAACCCTCTACCGAAGTTACAACCCCAAACAACATTTCTAACTCAAGTTATCATCCGGAAACTAAGCTGCCCGGACGGACGGACGGACGGACGGACGGACAGACATACATACATCCGGACGGACGGACGCCCTAGGCGATGACAATACCCCTCGAGCCTCTCGGCTGAGGGGTAAAAAACTGGACTGAGCATATACTCTCTTTTCCAAGTCAAATCGTTTACTATCAAGAAAGAGCGAACCAACCTCGCCAGTCTTGGGTGCAAAGTACAGTCCGCTGTTGTCAAAGCGATAGTCGTCAGTGTCAATAATCTCTGGGCAGTACATCTTGGCTAGGATGTTATGCAGGTTACGCCGGTCCCACGGGTCAGTCACACGGCCACCGTAGTTACACTCACCGGTCAGGTACTTGATGGCGTCAAAGGGGGTTTCCTGTCAAGGCAAACATGTTGCAGGAGGTACGTGTTAATTTGACTGTTTTATTTTCCAAGAGAAATGAAACTGAGCCAAAAAAATATATAAAATAATAATCTCCAGTTTAACACTTGTAAAAAACAGTTTCCAGACATCCTCGAATAAGATAAAACAACTTGGGCACGATAAAAAAAAAAAAAATAATGTGATTGGAATATTTAACATTACATGCCTTTGCATTGCATGCATCTATCAATTGCTATCCCCACTACTTCACTCTCAGAAAGACTGAAATTTCATTACATTTTCCTTTTATGATTCATTCATAGCAATAATCTCAGTTGTACCACTGCTGAATCCAGCCGAACCAAAATTCCTACTGAAATAGAGCAATATTTGGCTCATTTTGTTATCTGGGAGATGACAAAAGACATTTTGGTTGTCCTTGTTAGATCTTGTTAGACTAAGTATGGTTCAAGCAATCATTTGGACTGCTAGATGTAGGTGGATTCAGCAGAGTATAAACAAAATACCTCATGTAGGGCAAGTGTCACAATTTAGACTAAGTGGAAAGTCCAAGTCCACTTTAATTTGTTTTGGAGAAAGACAGATCGACCAAACATATGACGGTACATTCAGAAAATAAAAAAAGTTTATCCCTAAGCAGAGAGCAACTCTCAATTGAAAGGAAGAATGCAAAATTAAACAACATTAGGCCAAAAAAAAAAAAAAAAAAAAGTCGGTCTCTGGTCAGCGCGCGCGTCGATTTTAATCATGCGCGTCAACCTTTTTTTTCTTCAAATTGTCCGCGGTAGCTACAACAGCGCCCTCTATTGCCGCACCTCCTCAAATTTTTGTACCAAGGAATGGGGACATTGCACCAAAGCAAATGATGGAGGGCACAAAGGCAAATTATGGAGGACACCAATGTATATGAGAACACAAAAAAGCAAAGTAGTACCCACCTTGTCTGTACAATCCAAGCTTGAAAAAAAAAAAGCCAAAAAAAAAAAAAAAAAAAACACCCTCGTCGCCGCATCAATTCCGGAACTTTGGTCTGACCAGAGACCGACCATTTTTTTTTTTTGGCTTAACTCGGGGTTGAACATCGAGATATATATAAAAACCTGTAAATTCTTGAAAACCTTGAAGTAAACCTCAAATTACATGTAGTGCCCACTTTACTGCGCATTCCCTCCTGATAATCAGAGACAATGCATGAGATTCTTATGGAGTAATCAGTACTAAACATATGGAGCTGCCATCCGTAATGTACCTCGTATTCGTTCAGGAACATGGCCAGTTGCCGCACGCTGATCCGTAAATCCGTCTCGTTGAACTCGTAGGGGATGTTCCAACCGATGGGGCCAAAGTTACGTCTCTCTTGCACCAGGGCGTGGAAGAAACACAGGCCGTACAGTAGCTTCTTCCAAGCTCTCTGTAACATAATTATACAAAATAAACTTTAAAGTGGCAATCCCAGAAGCAAGTACTCTGTTCGTGGGAAACGTTACAATCCACACAAGATGGATACAGGCATGTGGTGTTTGATAATGGCCCGAGACAAATCCAGTCAAAAGTCAAAACTCAAAACAAGCCAAAAATTCACAGTTTTCCAAACGAGTTTGTTCCACATTTTTACCTCAGGTTTTGTGACGTGAACACTCCTCTGGCCATGTCTAAGGTATGTTCCTCGTACGCGTAGTGCTAAACAATTCCTTTTATGGAGATTGGCATGCGCGAAAAGTGTTTTAATACCAGCTGGTGTTTTATCACTGGTTTAAAAACCACCCATGTGACGTGCTCTTGACCAATAGGAATGGGTAAACTGTCTTAGGTATTTGTGATGCGATTAAGCTAAATGAGTCGTTTGCCGGGAACTTTCATTTGGAGATTCCGGCCAAAATACGGCCACTTCATCACATCACTTCATCACATCTCTTGGTGTTCCCACTTCCATAATTTTTGAACTAAAGATGGTATCAGCATGTGGTTTTCACAGCAGTAATGCTGAGATTGTGATCTTTTCAAATAAGTAAAAAAACCAAATGACCAGGGTTGACAAACGACTCATTTAGCTTGATCGCATCAATGAGAATTCATTGAGTGGTTCAGATTGGTGCTTAACCCAGTTCAGTTTCAACAGTTTCTTGCAGCTCTGCCTGTTAAACAATTAAGCCTTAATTAAGTGACACCTGGCTGTTAAAAGAGAATGTCCACTACAACAGCATACCTGAGCCTGCAGAAGAGACATCACATTTGTAAATTTGTAGAGACATCACATTTGCACCGGGTAGATGACGATGAATGATGACAGCATAGCAAGAGGTTCCCCAGCAAGCAAGGGCATTGGGTGAGGAAGCGATAGAAAAATGCATGAACTACATGATTTGGGGTGGAAATGGTTCAACATGTTTGCATGGTTTATGGAGAAAGCAAATGAAATGTTACTTGGATGATCTATATCTAGGAAGACACATGGGTGAAATGTTGAATGTTCTCTTAATATCCCGCAGTATTCCATATCCGCACCAGAATTCTATGATAACATAAATCAATAAAATCCATGACACATTTAATGCACCAAATGACAGTCTAAGACATTTTTGAGACAACTTTGCCAAGAATTTATGAAGTAAATGGAAATAAAGGGTAGGGGTAGTGAGCATATGTGATGCAATCAAGCTAAATGAGTCGTTTGTCAATTTTTTGGTTTGTTACAGATTTGAAAAAAGCACAATCTCAGCATTACTGCTGTCAAAAACGCATGCTGATACCATCTTTAGTTCAAAAATTATGGAAGTCGGAACACCAAGAGATGTGAAATGATGTGATGGAGTGGCCCTATTTTGGCCTGTATCTCCAAATGAAATTTCCCGATATACGACTCATTTAGCTTGATCGCATCACATATAGGAAAAGGGTAGAAAAACTACATGATGGCAAGCATAGCCTCTCATGAATTAATGGATAAATCCAAACATCGTTTTTTACTTGGTTGATTCAGAATGGTCTAACCCACCCGCTGTGAAATGATACCCCAATTGTTTTTCAAACATGACATGGGTGTAGTTGGTTTAATGAATTTAGAGGATTCAGAAAAGTTTCATGGAAAAATGACCAGGGCCCAATTTCACGACATTCCTAAACACTCCATGTTCTGCTAACAGAGCCTTTGACTATTTTTCTTGGAGAGCGCAAGCAGCAAATCACAGCAAAAACTCGGCTAATCTCAGAGGACACTTTTGATTCAATTAGTGAGGCAACAATAAAAATCTCCATGCGCATGAAACCGTATGGACATCAATACCATAAAAATGCTTAAGGTTAGTTTTCCCTCTATAAGTAAGCACACATTTTCAGCTAACTGTTAAACAGCATGACAAAATTGCCCTGTAAAATGAGGCTACAGTACTAGCAAGCAAAATGCAGTGAATAATTGTTAGCCACCAATTTTTTGACATTTTATGTCGACAAACCTCAGCCTTGACCCCCGTGAAGAACTCCGGGTCTGAGATGGGATCACTCAGGTAGGATCGGACGATGTTAGAGCGCAGTCCCTTGGGTGGTTCGTTGGTCATCTTGACACCGTTCTGCAGGACGGCCACGGGGAAATGAGGCGAGGGGTAGGAGGTCAACCACAGACGGAAGTCTGGATGAGTGGTCTCTGGATTAAACTCCTGCAATGTTAAGAAGATGGCATTAATAATGTCTTTCTTTTATTTCTTGTTATGAAATCAATAGTTTCTTAAATGTGCCTATTGCACTGTCGTTTGGGAGCTGGACGAAACCTTGGGACGACAAAATGTTCAGTTTAAGAGGTGGGAGGAAACTCAAGATAGGAACCTATAGAATCAAGTAGAGACTGAAATTGCAAGCCGCAAGATTGTGTGGGTGGGAATCGAACCTGGGCCAAATAGACGGGATTGAGGAATACAGCAGTGCAAGCACGACTCCCCATACCTTTATGCACAGTCAGCAGCCAGCATCCTTGAGACCTATTTTCTTTTTTTTTCAAAGTAACCCCGAACAATGATCTTGTTCGATTCCGTGCCCATATTATTATTATTATATATTCAGTCAAGATTTCATACAAACAAAAAACAATACAGAGAATATAACAATGAAACTTTATAGAACAAAATAAAAAGGTACAGAACAGGTATAAAAAGATAAAAACGTGAAGAAGACAAACCCAAATTAAGATGGCCAGGATTGATTTTAAAGTGACATCTACCACAAGTCCCCATAAGTAAGTCAATCATAAGCTGATTACATATCATACAATCTCAAGTCACGTTTTATATGAATAGTGGACTAGGGCATTCTTTTGTCAAAGCTCATCTGTGATTGACTTGTGATTAATTACAACTGTAATGATCTAACAAGTTTTTAATGTGATAGAAAAAAATCATATTATGTTTTGGCTAATTATCGCAGGTTGTCATGTTTTGGCTAATTATTGCAGATTGATTTGATTTGTTTGTTTGTCACACCTCACATATCTTCTCCAGCGTGGTCATCCAGGACACAGCAAGATGGCAGTTCTGTAGGACCACCCAGGTGCCTTCCTTGATTCCCTTCTCAATCAGACGCATGGCGATGGGTCCTTGGCCCTGGCCCAGGGATAACGAGCTCAGCTTACTGCCTCCAAAACCCTGAGAAAAATAACAGCCAATATTAACCATGTTCAAACTCACCGGTGCAGTTGATCACGTTCCTTCAGTGAACTGTGAATCATTATTTTTAACAGTTTACACCACTTAGGTACATGCGATGTGCATGCTTCGTTTCTGTTCATACAAAATGCTCTTGCTTAATCACTGCAAGATCTAATAATCTGCACCATCTTTTAACACCACGCTAATGGCAATTCAAGCAAGACAAGCATATGTAAATTATTGTAAAATCTGTAGACACTGTTTCGGTGAGGTTCTATTCCGTAGACTAAAGGTTCACCTGATCATCAGCAAACTTGAGCAGAGCAGCCGTGGGGTCACTTCCCGGCGACAGGACGAAGATGAGAGGGGCGCAGCAGTGGCTGTCATTGAAAGCCTTGCCCAGGTCAAAGGGCGGCGGTTCAATGAACTTACGGTGCAGCTTGGCGGTAACGAAGGACTGGATGGCTGGTACGATCTGTGATGAAGATTGGATGTTATCAGGGGTTACAGGATGTATTTAGTGTAGTTCTGGTTCAGAGTAGTTTGCTCGACCTCATAGTATACAAATATTGACTACTTTAATAGGTGTGGTAAAACCATGGAGCTATTTAATGGATGAACTAGTTTGTCAACTTCCAATACTGAGGGGAGCTAATATTGACTATCCACTCTCAGACCATATTTGTATAACACTTGGGAACGAGGACTCATCTTTAAGTTGAACAGTAAGGAGATTTTCTTACCTTGTCAGAGCGCAAACATCTGAGGGTGAGCAGCTTCTGGAACATGCCAAGGTTTTCATCCCACTCCCCAGGTAGTGGCATGTTTTGTGGCTCCTGAAAAGAAACACAACACAGCATGTTAAGAACTTAAAACAATTGCACATTACAATGAGAGTCCATAAAACATAAATAGGAACCGCATTTCATGGGATTCCACATTGTAAATATGAAAATGATAATAATGCTTCTTTGTAAAATGCTGTATATCAAAGATCAAAGCACTTTACATCATCATTACCCCTGATCATTTGGCCCATAAAATATTTCTTAAAACATCTCAGCTCCCCGGGGAGTATGCAGCTCGATGCAGCCATTTCTCAGGTGCAAATTGCTCATTCAAGCACAATAACCATGTCAGCCCTCACAGGTACCCATTTACTCCCAAGTGGGGAGAAGCAATTAGTGACAAAGGGTCTAGCCCAAGGGCACACGCACCACAACGCCCGGGCTGGACTTGAACCCACAACCTGCAGAACTACCCACAGATCTTCACCAAGATTACCAAACCACCGCCAACTAATGACAAAAATACCTCCTAGCCTTCCAAGTAAAGACTGACACATCCATTGCTCAAACGAACACTTCTCAACCTACCGGGCTGTCATATATAGCCTTCCAACCCTCCTTCTGAGCTGGAAACTTCTTGCGTATGCCGCTGAATCTCGGCAGGTCGTCCAGCCGACAGATCTCATCCCAGGACATCGGGGGCAGCCAGGAGGTCGGGTTGGAGTGAGGGTTGTCCAGGCCGATGCCGCCAGTCAGTAAGAAACGCCACTCATCCTCGTCAACTTCCTTGGCGTGCTTGAGGAGGTTGGTGCACAGCAGGAAGGAGAAGAGAAGCTGTGGAGAAAGACGAAGGGGGAAACACGGAGAACAATTTATTTTTGAAGTTCCAGCAGATGCATTTTATACCAGATAATGCCACTTACTCAAGAAACGATTTTCACTTCTGTTCAACAATAGCTATGAAAAGATGCGAATTTCTACTGACGGTTGGGGAATGTCTACAATCTCATATTTTACCCAAAATTTACGATGATGTTTTCCCATTTTGAATACATGGTATGTCCATGCAATTTACACTTTTATCCAAGTTTACCTTTTAGGTTGGGTGAAAAATATTTTATGAAAAGTATTTTCAAACTTGAAAACTTTCTGCTTACAGCATATGGATTTACAAACGACTCTGTGAGACAATTGTACAATGTACATGTACATCAATTTTGTTTAATGAGGCTGGTTAAGTGATTAAGTTTTAACGAAGAAACACAACAATACAAAGACTGGCCTTTGTTCAGATCAATTATAGCAGTTGACCAAGTAAAAATTAAGGAGTAGCAAAAAAGAATGAAGACTGTACCTTGTCTTTTTCAAAGAGTGATCGGCAGACATTGCAGTACAAGGAATAGGTGAAGTACTCTCTCAGATTGAAAAGTCGCTTCTCCAGATCATCAGACTTCTCTGAATTTTCAATGGCATTGACAAATAGATTCACAAACCTGTAGATTGGACGGGAGAAAATGGACGAGTGATATTTGCGCATAAGAACCACAAAATGTATATGTGATGCGATCAAGCTAAATGAGTCGTATGTCAGGAAATTTCATTTGGAGATACAGGCCAAAATAGGGCCACTTCATCACATGACTTCATCACATCTCTTGGTGTTCCGACTTCCATAATTTCTGAACTTAAGATGGTACCAGCATGCGGTTTTGACACCAGTTATGCTGAGATTGTGCTCTTTTCAAATCTGTAACAAAAAAAAATTTGACTAGGGTCGACAAACGACTCATTTAGCTTGATTGCATCACATATTTTAATATTTCCGTACTGCAATTGCAGAGCATGTAATATGCATATATGTATTACAACCTGACACAAGGAAATGAACGTGATGAATGGGGAGCTATCTTCCCTGTAACCCATTAGCACATGTAATACATTGTATTACAATTGTATTTATTCACTGAGGAATCTATACATCAAATTGAGTGCTCAGGCGGTTTGGGGTGCATGGCTCAACTTTGAGAAAGAGAGAGAGAATATTCTAAGCTAAATGAGGTTACCAACCAAGCAATATATCGACATGTCACATCCCCTTGACTGGTAGTCGAACACAGTTTTACAAAAGTTTTACAAAAGTTTTACTATTTCTAAGCAATAATTTATGCTTAGCAAGGATTGCCAAAATTGCTAATAATGTCAAGTTAAAAACATTCAAAACACTAACGATGTCAAAAATATTATTAGATTAAACAGAGGTCAAAAGTAAATCATCTTCACATGTACCGATACATACATGTTTGTTTATGGTGTAAATCAAGAATTTTCTTTTGTTCCTCTTCCCTTTTCCTTTGTTTGTACTTTAACTTTTTCGCAACAGCTCTCATTGTTTTTGTACACGTTTTCTAATCGAGGCCATCCGCAATTTGGTTCCTGTCCATAAACAAATGCATACATATGTAATATGATTGCTTGGGTCAGGTCTTGTCACTAGGGTCCATCACAAACACACACACACTGCGAAAAAATGCCTGGTTGCGGCTAAGCATCTTTCCTTTGAAGTAAAAAGCACACGGAAGATTTGCTTGTCGACTTACCAAGTAAGGGAGTACTGGTACATGGGTTCAATGTTGGCCAGGTCGGCAATGGTGAAGAACAAGATGCTGGAATGGATGGCGATAGGCTTGTAACCCATACGAGTCTTGTCAATCTTCTCCTCAGTCTCCTCAGCGATCGCCTGCTTCTCCGAGATCTCGTTGGCTAGGACTTTGGAGGAGGACAGCACCTTGATGGCTGTCTCATCTTCAAGGATGTTGCCCTCTGATGTGGAGAGGACCTCCAGGATCTTGTCCTCAATCTCCTTCAGTTGCCTGGAGGTTTGGAAGTGAAATAGTATACAAATATACTATGGTGTGAGGGTGGATAGTTGATATAATACGCATTAGTTATCTGGGCAAAATGCTGTGTGTGCCACGTGTGCATGCTACACCCGTACAATAGTTCCACAATTGCTTAGTACAGTGCATGCATTGCAGACTACCCCAAGGGGAATCCATGTGATAGTTGAGTACATATGAGGTATAGTAACGCTTCATTTTTATGAAATTTTTTTATGCCCTGGGTGTGCATGTAATTTAAATGCAATGAGGAATACCTTTTATCTCCCTGTTATTTTGAACTGAGTTGGGATTTGACTTGTGACTGACCTGTGACTGACATGTGACTGACCTGTGACTGACTTGAGACTGACTTAAGACTGACTTGAGACTGACCTGCAACTGACTTGTGACTGACTTGTGACTGACTTGTGACTGACTTGTAACTGACCTGTGACTGACTTGTGACTGATCCGTGACTGACCTGTGACTGACTTGTAACTGACCTGTGACTGACCTGTGACTGACTTGTGACTGATCTGTGACTGACCTGTGACTGACTTGTGACTGACCTGTGACTGACCTGTGACTGATCTGTGACTGACCTGTGACTGACCTGTGACTGACTTGTGACTTACTTGTGACTGACCTGTGACTGACCTGTGACTGACCTGTGACTGACCTGTGACTGACCTGTGACTGACCTGTGACTGACTTGTGACTGACCTGTGACTGATCTGTGACTGACCTGTGACTGACTTGTGACTGACCTGTGACTGACCTGTGACTGACTTGTTACTGACTTGTGACTGACCTGTGACTGACTTGTGACTGACCTGTGACTGACCTGTGACTGACTTGTTACTGACTTGTGACTGACCTGTGACTGACTTGTGACTGACCTGTGACTGACCTGTGACTGACTCGTGACTGACTTGTGATTGACCTGTGACTGACCTGTGACTGACTTGTGACTGACCTGTGACTGACCTGTGACTGACTTGTTACTGACTTGTGACTGACCTGTGACTGACTTGTGACTGACCTGTGACTGACCTGTGACTGACTTGTTACTGACTTGTGACTGACCTGTGACTGACTTGTGACTGACCTGTGACTGACCTGTGACTGACTTGTGACTGACTTGTGATTGACCTGTGACTGACTTGTAATAGACTTTATTTGGACAACACTGCCAATACCACATTTTCTGTATTTCACACAAAATATGGACATTACAATGAAAGTCCTTTGTGCAGCTATTGGCTATACAGTCAAGAATCAATTGAAATCCTGCAGTGAAATGGACACTGATGATGAATTAACCTTTTATCTTCCTGTTATTTTGAACTGAGTTGGGATTTGACTTGTGACTGACCTGTGACTGACATGTGACTGACCTGTGACTGACTTGAGACTGACTTAAGACTGACTTGAGACTGACCTGCAACTGACTTGTGACTGACTTGTGACTGACTTGTGACTGACTTGTAACTGACCTGTGACTGACTTGTGACTGACTTGTGACTGACTTGTAACTGACCTGTGACTGACCTGTGACTGATCTGTGACTGACCTGTGACTGACCTGTGACTGACTTGTGACTGACTTGTGACTGACCTGTGACTGACCTGTGACTGACCTGTGACTGACCTGTGACTGACCTGTGACTGACCTGTGACTGACTTGTGACTGACCTGTGACTGATCTGTGACTGACCTGTGACTGACCTGTGACTGACCTGTGACTGACCTGTGACTGACTTGTGACTGATCTGTGACTGACCTGTGACTGATCTGTGACTGACTTGTGACTGACTTGTGACTGACCTGTGACTGACCTGTGACTGACCTGTGACTGACCTGTGACTGACCTGTGACTGACTTGTGACTGACCTGTGACTGACCTGTGACTGACTTGTTACTGACTTGTGACTGACCTGTGACTGACTTGTGACTGACCTGTGACTGACCTGTGACTGACTTGTTACTGACTTGTGACTGACCTGTGACTGACTTGTGACTGACCTGTGACTGACCTGTGACTGACTTGTGACTGACTTGTGATTGACCTGTGACTGACTTGTAATAGACTTTATTTGGACAACACTGCCAATACCACATTTTCTGTATTTCACACAAAATATGGACATTACAATGAAAGTCCTTTGTGCAGCTATTGGCTATACAGTCAAGAATCAATTGAAATCCTGCAGTGAAATGGACACTGATGATGAATTAACAGCTGTGTATATACAATGCTTAAAAGAACACAGGTGTCGATAAGTATTTTTGCTTACTGTCACAGCTTGGTACAAGATACTGAATCTTTGACGAGGTGGGACTGATGATAGTCATAGTGCTTCCCTGGACAGGTCCGCGCAATTAAGGTAAGCCATTTGTCAAAAGTCACAAAAACAAGTATGACAAGACTACTACTTGACCCTAATGGTTATGACATTTAAATCCCTCGCCTCGGTATTAAAATAACTGCAGCATCGCTTTATTACTTGGAAGTATTTACTGAGGGGATATTAAGGTGGTTCAAGCACAGGTACAACACGAATGGACAAAGGGCAAACCCATTAAAGGGCTGTGATCTGTACCTGTGAGTACGCTACTGGGTTTAATGGTCTGTGGACAATGTAGATGTAGTACCGGGATGATGATAAATATCTAAACCATATGTTTAAGTGGAGGATACGACGAGGACCAAAACAAAAATCATATTTATCACAAAAGGAGTAAGAAATGAGACTCCTGAAAATAGACAAAATGCACTATTTGAAACATCAAATTAAACACTCCTTTCATCCATTATTCAACACGCAAAGCTTCAGGTCTTATTTACTGTAGGGTTGAAACACTGCAGTGCGTACTGCATGGGTGTCAATCGGTGGGGGTGGGGGGGGGGGGGTGGGGTGAGACAAGTCCCCCACTTTTTACGATTGTCCCCCCCCCCCCACTTTTTTCATCCCCGACTATAAATTGTAGCCTATGATTCTATAGCTCAGAATAGCTGATTCAATGATTCCAAACTTGAAAATGAGGTTCTTTGCTAAAATGCGTTAGAATGTCCGCCTAGTGTTCTCCCCATACCGGTACTCTCCTTTTGTAACCACTGAGAGAATACTTGTGCGTGGAGTCCAGAGTGTTCACAGTCTCTTAGGCTGTGCATCGTAACCAGGTACTTGAGTACCCGACCGCTGATGTCAGGAACAGGTTCCAGATTATGGGATCGGGTACCCGTAACCAACTTTACAAAATTACTTAGTAACTTCTCAGCTAATGAAACAAGAAAGGTTTTGAATGTCATTGGTGGGGAATTTTAAAAATGAAAACCAGAATACGTGGAAAAACAAAACAGATTTCACGTTTATGATGCTCTTGAAAGTTGCAGTCCTCACCATAAAGTTATAAAGCTCACAACACAGACTTGCATTGACGCACCGACATGGTACATGTAGTATTATCATGTAGACCTTCGTGAACAATCTCAACAGCAACTTCTGAGATTGGAATTTCAGAGTTAGGTTTCTTTAACGGGTACCTGCGTTGTTTTCAATCGGGTACCCAGTTCCGTATACTCCCCGTAAATGCGCACCCTATATATGCTAATCTACCACACTCACCGTTTGTTATCAGCGCTCTGTATAATCAGCGCGTTCTTCTCTTCTTCCAGCTCAGGTCTTTCCCTGGCCACCACGATACCCAGCAACTGGTCCTCTAGACCCTCTGGGGTGATCATGAAGTTCAGCAACGTCACCTGTGAAAATGGGTTCCAAATTAAGGTTTTACTTTCAAACCTTTGGCCATTTTGGGTCACTTTATTTTGCCGTCACTCCTGGAAATTTGTCGACATGTCAATGTGTTGCAGATATTGGGAAACAGAAATAAATTGGTTTCAAGTCCTAATTTTGCTGAGATACATGCAAATTACGACTGTAAATGGCCTGATGATTCACGGATAAAGCTAAACAATAAGAATAGGTGATTTATCGGTATGCTTGGTATACCGTATCATTATGTGTTTCAGTCAGTAGTAATGCCAAATGTATATCATGCATAGCATGCAAACTAATGACTGTTGCGGTGTATTTCAACAGTTTGCACCCGAGACTACACGTACATTGTAGATTATCTGTGCTTGACTTATGATTGAACTATGTTGACTTAAGTTTAATTTGATTAAATTTTGATTGACTTGTGACTTTACTGCTTTACTAGTGATTTCACTGGTGATTTTCTTCAATGTGACTGACTTGTGATTGCTCTGTGATGACTTGTGACTGACTTATGACAGACTGGTGACGATTTGTGATTGACTTGGGACTGACATGTAATTACTTGTGATTGACATATTAGGACTTGTGATTAGCTTGTGATCAGCTTGTGACAACTTGTGACTGGCTTGTGATGACTTGTGATCAACTCAACTGTCATTGCCTTCTGATTGACTTGCAACAGCTTGTGAGGACTTGCGATTGATTTGTTAATGACTTGTAGGGCTTTTGATTGACTTGTGACTTAGCTTGTGTTTTTGCTTGTGATTGACTTTTTTGTAAAATTGCAATTTTGACTTGTGATGACTTGCAATTGACCTGTGGTTCCCTTTTTGACGTGACTTGCGATTTGACTAACCTTGACTGCAGTCTCAGGGAGGTAGTGAGGATTACGCAGCTTGGTGGTGATGTAGAAGCGGAAGTCATGGGAGTACTCGATGGTACTGTCTCCGAGTCGGATGCAGATGGCCCCGCCTTGCTTGAAGGTCTGCTTGAGGAGGAGGGGCTCCAGTAAGGGGTCTAGCTCCTCATTGATGTTCTCCAGGAGCACCTGTGATTCAGGAGGAGAGAGAATGATCGAATGGAATCTTTGAAATGTACCTTCTTGTTCCATTCACTTTCACTTTCAATCAAGTATTTTCCAGCAAAAGTATCACTTAGTTTGCCCCTGCAGACATAGACACTGAAATGTGTACATGGCTACACCTGAACGTCACAGACGACAAGCTATTTGTAATTTTGCAAATGATATCACACGGAGGGTTAGTTTTTTTGTCGTTTTTTTTTTATCAAACTGTAGAAAGTAAATCAAAATCTGTACAGAACTTTGGAATGAGAAGTAAAATATGAGTGCCTGAAGTAAACAGCATCAATTTCTACACAAAAAAGCTGTCCCATCCTTTTATTACTTTTCAGAGGCATATATTTGCACAAAAAGTTATTGAGTGGAAGCTCATTCAAGGCCCACGTACATGTAATTAACCCACGCCAGAGTTTGCAGCACTACAACGTGTATACAGTCTCCAAACGGTCTTTAATTAACCTACATGTATCGCGGTAGAATTGCGTCAACACAGCTTGTGAATATTGTCCATTGCATGATATACAATACGGAACACGCAAAATCTGAGACAAACAAAACTTAACGTACAGGGTTGTCTAAGGGGTGTGGCTAACTCGCAAACGGCGATAGGTCAATTACCAATAACCATGTAAACTGTGTCAACTCAGCGATGTAATGACTCCGTCGACTGACAAGACAGAGCAATGAGCGTACATACATCAATTACTTCAAGCAAACATTCTTGGGATTTGTTCCTGAACTGGAGTTGAACCATATTTGCCATGTCAACACTAAACCTTACATTCACTCGTTTACTGACAATTTCTTTCCATTTTGATCACGAATCAACACCGTCTTTGACAGAGGTGCACAATTAAAGTGCCTGTTTACTGACATGTCAACGTCCAAAAAAAGACCCCAATACACTTTCTTTGTTTGTTCAGAGCTAGTAAGAACATATGCAGGGGCGTCGCCAGACAGGTTTGAGAGGTTTTCTTTGCAAGGGGGGGGGGGGTGTTTTGAAAAATCTCAGAAAAAGAACTTTTTAAATGCCTGTTTTTATACACAATCCTGTGTTTGAGTGGTTCTGAAAGTAAAAAAAAAAGATAAATGATGATCAGAATATACAATATGGAAGAAATTAACTGTCAAACTGAAAAAAAAACCATGGTAAATGCTTTGAGAAAATCCCTTCTATTTAACGTGAACAATCTAAAACCAGAGCAACAAAACCACTGTAGTTGCCAAGCATACCGGTGTGCCAAACTGGATGCAGTTCTCCAGGGTGCGTACAAAGTCGCTGTCAGTCAGCTTGATGACATGCAGGTTGTTAGCTTTCTCCATGTTCTTGACCCACTTGTTGGCTTGACCCTGAGGATCAATCATCAACGGCCAGCGACGGGCGTTGCTGCAAATGCAAACAAATTGAACATCGTTAGACGACCTATGCAATAGACAATTTTGTATTTGAATTCGGAATATACAGGCACTTAGTCTTTTATTTTTTTCTCTCTTTCAAAGTTTAACAAAAACATTGACTGGAGGGGGGTTTGAACCTGCGACCTCCGGATTGCCGTTCCGGTGCTCTGCCAACTGAGCTATCCAGCCCTATGTTGGCGGTTCCCCCTTTTTGTCAATGTGACTTTGTTCATGTGGCACTAGTCAGAAGCCATATACCATATGCATGTATTACCTTACCTGTATCTCCATAAGTCACGATGCTACCGCTAGGCCTACATGTAGCAAAAAATGTGCACAGCCAATCATTTTGCAATTAACCTACACTGTATGTATAAGTCCCTGTACCACACCCCAAATTTCCCTGCCTATTAGGCCAAAAAAAAAAAGTCTCCGGTTTCCGGTATGCACACGCGTCGCCGTAGCCATGCGTGTCGGCAAAATGAAAAAGGTTTTTTCCAATGAAAGATGATGTCTCAAAACCACCAAACTCACTGGTTTGACTGGAATCCTGCTGCTGCACAATTTTAACGTGTTTTTAGATTGGGTTATGGTCGAGAATAAGCTTTATGTGGAATCTCTGGACGCCCACATATTTGCACTAAGTTTAGTCGGGCACCATTTGCAGTCATCAGCCGACATTTGAAGCAAAAATATCAGGTAAAAAAACCCAAAAAAGCCGCGTCGCCGCACCACTTTTTGGCCAAGCTCCATACCAGAAACCAGAGACTTTTTTTGGGGGGCCTTATTCCTGTTGCCTGAAACCAAACAAGCAGTCAATGGCTGTATAGATTCTTCGGTGACTAAACAAAGAGTAATACGATGTACTGGTATGTTTTGCCATTTTTTAATACCATTCAGGCTCAACACATGTAAAACAATTTTTCACATTTCATCATACCCCCACAGATCAACTGAAAATAGCCAAACAGTTTTGTCTCTCAAAATTAAAGTAATGCAGCTTTTACACAGATTGAAAGCGCCAAAGCAGTAAATTATTCTAGGAATTGACAAATTTTAAGTTTCAATTTTTGCTTTGTGCCATTTTACAACCATTTCTCACATCAATCCGAGTATTAAACTTTTTAGTCAGTCCCTTCTTAGTTTTAAATCTTCATTTAAGCAAACTCTATAGGTTTCCCCTCTCATCTTAAATTTGGGTTAACTTGCCTGCATTGAAGAGTTAGGCCCAGAGTGTGCCTGATTCAGTTTATTTCGTCTTCTAATATGTTTCAATGTCTATTGTTTTTTTGTTCTATTGTCTATTTTTTTCCTGTTGTGTGTATTAATGCAATTTACATGTTTATAGCTTCACTATTATTTACTGTAAAATTATTAAGTGTTTTATCCTTCCTGTTCTGGTGCTTGTGCTGTTAGATGTTGTTGAAATAAACAAAAAATAAAAAATAATTAACAAGTGCACGCCAAACTTGGTATGCTTCAAAAGCTTCATTTTTTAAAGAAATCATACAAAGCAATATGCAATAAATAATTTGGTCTCTTCCTGCAACATCGCTTCAGAATCTATTCACCTGGTTTGAAGCAATCATTTCTCAAAATTCTGTAAATAGTATTCCCATAAGCCTCTTTGCTCCATAATTTACATGTATTACACATAAAGCTGATGATACACCATCAATCAAAAACAGGCTTGGTATTTAATAAATCACTTGGGATTCTACAGAAAAAAAAGCAATTTTGAAAACGTGCCATCATTACCCCATTTAAACCCTTCTAACACCAACGTTATAGATCGTGACAAATTGCTGTCAAAGTAAACTACATGTGAACTCATTATTACTACATGTATCTCTTCCATTTGATTGCTTCGCTCACAATGTATTTCTTGGAAACTTGAATTTTTATTGGTTGTTTTCAATTTGAAGCCTTTTCATTTAATTTGTACATGTATGTTGCTTCATTTATTTTTTTAAAAGTCTGTCATCTCCTGAAATAAAGCTTTTTAGTTAGAACAATTTCACCTCCATCTTAGTAAACCTACAACCATGCTTTGCTGCTAGCTGCAGAACGTTTACAAAATTGAAATGATCCGGTACTTTCACACCAGATGTCTGGAGTTTTAATAAAATGACCCCAATTCATTTGACCAAGAAAACAATCCTAACCCGCCAAACTGCATGCACATGTAGAATTCAAGTACATAACAATGTTCTTGATATGCAGGCCTGTGGGTAGAAGTACTGGAATTTTCTAATGTTCAATATCATTAGAATGGCAAATTACACGTGTTGTTAGAAAGAATTTATTTATCTTTCATACAATTTTTACAGTGGTGATTGAAAACAGTTGACTGCTTTGCTGTTTTATCATGTTGATAATCCCTGTTGAGGGACTGTGTCATATTTTGCACCTTTGCACCGGTACTTGGGTATTAAAAATGTCCCGCCTCACAATATCCAGCAATTAAATGAGCAATGTGGACAAGAGAAACGTGTCATTAAAGTGCAACGACTCCTTCCAGTTGCTGGCATGGACACCAATCTCCCAGGGGTCCAACGGCTAACGGCAATTTAAAAAGAAGAAGTGAGAATCACTTAATTAACACTGAATTTCATCTTTATAATCATATCATGGATCATGATAAAGTTCAGGTGAACCTACTGTCATCAGTGGTTGCATTTTGAGTGCTTCCAATTTTGAGAGATTATTGGAGAACAGACAAAAATGGTTTGGACTTTACTTTGTGGCCAGGAATGGCTGATGCTTGACTCATGAGGACTTGGGCAGCTGTCGAGCTGAAACGTGTGTGAATTGCGAACCTATCGGTAGATGTACCAGCTAGAGAGAGTCAATGCTGACATTGAACCAAGCGTTCATAATAAACAAGGGGTTAGTTCACTCCCTGTGTTACATTTTATTGATCCCGTTGATAATGAAAAAGTCATGACGTGCACAGTGCCTGTTTTTTATTGTTTTTTTTTTACAATGGTTAAAAACTCAAAATTCTAAATATAGACATGTTGTACATTGGAAAACAGTGCTGTAATTGACAGAAAATTCAATGTACCAGAGTTTCATTCTGTTCACGATTTTTTTTTTTGGCGTGAAATTAAAAAACGATAGTAAAAAAATAGTAATAAAAAATGTGTGGACATTTCATTTTAATATGGCCTGGCGATGCAAGTTAATATCTAATGCAGTGTTGACATCTTTGGAGATACAAATTTATATTGTAAGTAGGGTTTTGCATTTCATGTACCACACCTTATCTTAGAAAGATATCTGAATCCTGATGCTTGTACATGTACATGTATAAAGTGGCAAAGTCTAAGAGGCAGAACAACCACAAATACACACAAGGGGGATCCAGAACCATTTTTTTTTCAAAACGGAAAAAGAGATTCAGTGTACTAATTATAATAATAAAGAACATTTGTAAAGCCCCGGTATCTGCCTAAAAAGGCGCTCATGGCGCTTGAGGAGAAAGTCAAGTTAGGATTGTGTGTTGTGAGAGTAAGCTTGTTTGTACAGGTGAGATTTTATGTTTGCTGTAAATGTTGTGATTGATGGAGATGATTTGATAGCCAGAGGGAGTTGGTTCCACACTCGGGCTGATGCTGCGGCAAAGGATCTGTCACCCCAAAGAGAGGATGTCCTAGGCTCATGAAGCATCATGAGCTCACTGGAGCGGAGTCCGGTGCGTGCTGTTGGGTACGGATGGATGAGATCGATGAGATACTCCGGGGCATTGTTGTGGAGAAGTTTGTAAATGAATAGGTCAAGTTTGTATTTGATTCTGTATGATACTGGAAGCCAGTGCAGATCTGCTAATACAGGAGTGATGTGAGAATGTTTACTAGTGAGAGAGATTAGTCTGGCACTGATGTTTTGTAGTCGCTGCAAACGGTTTAGTTGATTTAGGTTAATGCCATACAACAGTGAATTGCCCATGTCGATTTTGGATGTGATGAAAGCGTGAACAAGTATTTCAGTTGTGTGTTTGAATCAAAGATAATGCCGAGATTTCTGACTTGATTAGATGATAAGATGGTCGAATCACCAACCCTTATGGATGGAACATGAACTTTACACAATTGCTGCTTTGAATCTATGATGATAAATACGTGTAGTATCATGCGCTATTTCCACATTGTAACAGGTATGTGTGGCTGATGGCTTGCGAGGGAGATACCGGTTCACAATGTTTTAGCTTATTTCGGGAAATAAAAATGACTACACTATGCGTGACAAAATATTGCATAAAATCTCCAATACCACAAACGATAATTTCAGGAAACATCTATTTACAAAGAATTTTAATACTAGATGTAAAAGCTTTAAAAAAGTTGTTTTCCTTGAAGCACTGACTGTTATATGTCATTATCTTTTCTTTCCTTTTGCAAGCCTCAGCAAAGTTATTCGGAAACGGCTTCACATTGAGTAACAAAGGGGCTAAAAGGTTTTTGCATTGCCTACCTGATGATGATGCCGTTCTCTATGGAGAAGCTGTCCGTAGGTAGGCCGGCGATGTTCCACTGCCTGATCTGGACCTGCTCTCCCAGGGTGGAACTGAGTGAGAACTCAGGCGAGCAGGGGATGCCCATCTGACAGACTTCATCAAACCAGCTCTTGATCTGGTCCTGAAGACAGAGATTAAGAGAGAGAGACAAAAAAAGTCAAGTTCCTGCCTTTTCTTCAGTCAGAATTTGCCAATAAGTCAAGTAGGGGTGGAACACTACATATGTGTGGTAATCGCAAAAGGCTAATGTCGCGATATGGTAGGCTGATATGAAAATTTGTCTGGCGATACTTGGTTATGAATGAACTATAGTAACAGAAAAGACTATCGCGGGCATTGGAAGTCTGAATTTGTAAAAAACATGTCTTGAAACTGTGAACAAAATCTTTTAAAAATGTACCCCAAAGGAAAGACTTCAGATAAAAAAAACTGCTGATCAGTCTACGCTATATGTACATTTCAGTGTACATTAATTCTGTGGAATCTCTTTTAAAATTTTTGGAATCGGGGAATTGCTCTTTCTTAACAAGGATTTCTAAAGGGTATCACTGCATGGTTGCACTTTCCCTAATAAAGGATGTTCCATACTGCTTGTGTTTATATTTTATGAAGTTCATTAAAGTTGGCGTATACATGCTTTTTGGGTGTAGCACCTGGAATTGATAATTTTCTAGCATTACATTAGTTATGAGCTTTCCAATGCGACATCGCATGAAAAAAATCAGCCCACGACCCATCATCAATTAATTAATTTTAACTTTTAAATTAAGAGCAGGACGCTCCTATCTCGTTCTGAATAGTGTGTGCAATTTCTGAACTGGAACGCGTCATTTAAAACCACTTTTTAAAACTGTATAAAGGCCTGCAAAAATAAACAAGCAAATTCATTTGTTGCAGGACATTATGTTCCTTTAAATTTCATTCGAAAAAGAAAACTGAAATTCTGAAAAAGCATGTACCGGGGTTATAATATACCGACTTTAACATATGATAATTGCAACAATCGCCACCTCAAATGTGAATATCATGCAAATAAAATAATCCACTGCTAAATTGTACACTTCACAAGCGAGCTTATCGGCTTCTGTTATACATGTATGGTACTTCAGTCTTAATTTCTGTTCTTTCAGGGGTTTATTTATCGTCGGATCATGATGTGCCAACTCCCGAACCAGACCGGTTTGGTAATCGGTGGCACGATCATTACACTTGAATTCATGCGTGTCAATGTTAACAATGATTGATTGCATACATTCACTTCAGATCTGGAGGGGCTTCTAAACACAGACACACACATGGGGGGGGGGGATGGGGGTGGGGGGGTGGGGATCCTATGATGCCTTTGGGTCTACATGGTCTGACCAGCCCGAAGGGATGGCTCTTGATAAAGTAGGCAGCTGCACGTTATCTCCCGCTAATAAAGAGTGTCCGTGGAGGACTGAGTAAACACGGTTCGCCGCACAGATGAACTTTCAATCAATCCCCCATCAACGCAACGCCCTTGTTTTCAAAGGATTCGGCAGATCGAGACAGAGTAGGTGCATTAGAGGGACAACCCCGAAACAGCGGATGTAGCAAAGGCAAAAGTAAACACTTCCATTCTTGGTTTTACCGCCGATCCACCTCAGCGGCTCAAATGATCAATTTTACTGGCTTGTTTTTTAAGAACAGCTGAAACCCAAAGCCCGAAACTCAGTTCACTTACTGGGCCTGCTTGCATGGTTCTATAATTTAGAGAACACTTTTAACCTGATCACGCAACATGCATGACATGATGGTAAAGACCCTAGCTATCACTGCTATTTAATGTTTTAAAGATGCTATCCTTTCAAACTTGTTTATTAAAGACCGAAGCATTAACACAATCCATTATTCAAGAAGCTATAATGGGCTGATGCGCTGATGCAAACAAGCTGACTACCAGTAGGAAGAGGAGGTGCATGGACTCGACATAAAATTTTGAGATACTCGACCACTTTTTTTCAGATACTTGACGATATTTTTATATACTCTACAATACCACTTGAGATGCAAAAGAGCTACGAAAGTGTTGCTCAAATTCCATTTTTTTTCAATAATGAATTTACAAAAATTTACACATTTTAAATTTATGAGCCTGACTTCATTCTGACAACTGATTGGTACACAAAACTGTACAGTTTTCAAAAAATCAACAAAAGATGCCAAAATTAACTTGTAATAATAATAATAACAATGTGTAACTTATTTACAAAGCGCTCGTATCCACCAGTATTGGTGCCCAAGTCAAGGAGCAATCATAAACTTGTGTCACCTGGTAATTTTTGCAATTTCAGAATGTGTTGGAATAATCCAACTGCATCATGCCAAGTTTTACGTTTGATAAAAAACTGGCTAATTGCAGAGAAAACAAAAACATTTCTTGCTGCCTTATATGGATGCCTGTTAGGGCTGTCCATTTTCGAGTAATTCAGTATTCAATTATTCGAAACTGTGTTTGACCGAATATTCAAAATTCATTGATCAAGTTTTACTGGCACTACATGTAGCTGCACCTGCGTGCCGAGCAGGTCAAAAGATGCAGTAAGCACATTGTATTTTTAACTGTTTAAGGCTTCAACCTGTTTAAAAGATGGGAACAATGAACCACCGTCACCAAAAAAGTTACCGTCAACCAAAAGTGGTATTTGACAATAAAGTGCCCCAACTTTACGATGAAAATAACATAACAGATGTGTGTGTACATGCATGTTTTTTTTGGTCTTCGAATAGTCAAACCGACAAAAAAACATTCCAATAATCAGTTAAAAATTGATTTTTTGAATATTTCGTGCATTCAGGACAGCCCTAATGCATTTGACAAACTGAACCACAAAGGAACAAAAGAGATGACACTGCAATTTGTAATCAGCCATAAGTTTGTGCACTGCATCCTCTTGCCTTTTGTTTGATTTCAAACAGGTTGATCAAGTGTTTTACAGCAAAGGCAAACAAGTTGGGAGAAACAAAATAAAACGTCTTCCCTGCAATCAGTGATTGCAAAAAAAAAAAAAACCAATGGCAGTCGATCAATCATGCTTTAGGCTTGACCACTTCGGCCACACCATGCTGATTAAACAAGACGTATTTCCGATGTGAGGTCGAACACAAAAGGACAGGATCAAGTGCAATTTACTTGAGTTAAACAGACCGTGCTTCAGACAAAAGAAATTAAACCTGGACCTTTTAACTTAACGAAACCAACGGAAAATGATCTTTGTATCCGGCGTTTCTGCATTAGGGCCATTTCAATCTTTGATGCAGTGGTTGTTGATAAACAAGGGTTGTAAATCAGGGGGATATACATGTACATGTATCCCCCCTCCACATTTTGACTGGGGAGGGATGGGCTATTGAATCATCCTTCCACTTTTCCGTGATGAGAAACCAAAAAAGTGCAGATTTCGAGTATTTTTCTAACTTCCCAACAATCAAAATGTATTCAATAGCATTAACAAATGGAGAAAAAATGCAAAAGCTTAAAATGCGCTGTTTTGAGGGAAGTGTGAATATACATAACGATGTACATCTGTATCATGCACAGCGCTCCCTATTGTAATGAGGTGTCCAGCCTGGAAATTTCGATGGCCGGCAAATTGTTAGATTCTGGTCATCCCCCATTCGCCCCCCCCCCCAATCGCCGTCATAGATTTACACCAAGTTGATAAAAGTAAAAAATCTGCCCTGGAAACTGTTCATCTAAAGTACGAGAATTTTCACCATGTGAAGTGTTTTTTTTCCGAGTTGCATCAAAATTGTCACGTTATTTATCAAATTTTACTCGCTCTCAAATTACATTTTAGGTCCATAATTTGATACATTCTAGTTCTCCTTCTGCGTCCCAACAAAACCTAAAAAAAAGAGAAGGCTTTTTAAACACATTCTAGGTGAGTCTAGACATTTTCGTTCAATCTCTGACACCTTGATTTTTATTTGATTACTTTTCCCTCCCTTTTCATTGAATAGGCCTATAAGTTGAAGTTTGCTCATGTCTAATGCATGTCTAGTTCCATGTACATGAACCCCTCTGTACAATTAGATTTGTGGCTTCAGGCATTGAAATTCAAATGTCAGAATGTAATTCTGATTTTGTTCAAGTTTTGTTCATTCAGTAACAATCTAAACGTCAAAGAAATTGTCAGTACCTTGTAATTATTCACAACCACATGCAGCCACGTATCACCCAGAATACTCTACATGCAAATAAGGATTGTAATCCAAGATGCACTTGGTATTTTACCATATAGATACCGGTACAAATTAAGGTTTTTTTTCCAAAACGTGATATACATGTACGCCATTTACATGTACGTCCCTTTTAGTATTCTGCCTTCTCCTGGCTCCCCAAAGTCAATTTCGACAGCTTTCATACACAACTTGAAAATACAATAACGTGAAATATGAAGCTTATATATATAAAAAGATGTTACATTGTTTTTAATTTTTTTAAGTTTCACAACTGCGTAAATTGTTCACTTTTTTTTCAAATGGATATTCATGTATCACATTTTGGAAATACAAATGCAAACTCTTCAAATTTCTAAATGCCAAGCCAACGCTTGGTCTGACAGCCAAAATTGATGGACAAAGCAAACAAGTGCTATGCAGCCTTTTCGTATGTACACGGTATTATGTGTTGTGTTTATATACACGTAAGCCTGTAAAAATCTTAGAGTTGTGGGCTTGCTCTTGAAAATATCAACATTTACTCCTTCCAGTGCAACTATACAATATCTTGTTTTCCAACATGATTTCTGCCAAAGGGTATGAATTTTTGACAAAAGATTCAACTTTAAAGAAGACAACAAATATAATGGTTCTCTTTAAGTCTGGTCACATGAATAGATTTAATCAAAGCATTCAAGAAAATTAATACAACTTTTTATTCACTTATTTCAGAGACAACTTCTGCAAAAGTGAACTGTGGAAACAGGTCAGTATAAATGTACATACATGTACATGTACAATGTGTTTAAAGGGAATATACATCATTTGCTTTTACTGTAATTTTCAAAAATTGGATGGAATTGGGGGGTTGGAAATACATAGCAAATATAGTTACACTGACTTTTTTGAGGTTTTGGGTTCGAAAATGCTATAAAAACCAAGAAAAACAATCATTTTCCTGTAGTCTGGTTCCCTGACTCCATATAAGAAGAAACAGAGCAGTTTACATACATTGGGGAATTGTAAGGTCAGGGAACCAGTCCAGCTGGCTCGTACCCGTTCATAGGTTTGTAATCGATTGCAAACAAGTGCGATGGTCAATTGGGGCCAGTATTTGAAAAAAAGCCAGTTTTTTCCAACGCTGATCGGCCGATCAGCGTTGGAAAATTAATACAAAAATACCACTTTTCTTGAAAATGACAGTATACCAGGTGCCATGATTTTACAGGATGCTTTACACTGTCATTCACTAACAGTCCAGCAAGGTATTTCAAAATGATTTTGGAGTTTTATTTTTTGATGTTTGCAAATGTTGTATTTTCCCTTTAAGAATTGGCCTTGCTCTATTTTGTAAACAGTAAGTTCCTTGGGAATCATTACAGTTATCAAATCAGCAAATTTCAAGTGAATAAATTGAACAATTGTGGCAAAATAAATATTTTTTTTGGAAAGCTGATTCACTGAACTACTGTTTATTCTTGACATTTTTACATACATGTATATATACATGTGAACAAGGATTTTTTCCTCCAAAATCACAATTTTGTTTTAACAAGGCACTTTTCACATATGGGCCATTCTCCCATAATGTGTGTGAAATCTGAAAGCTTTATGAAATTAATTTGCATCTATTATTTGTTCGTGAAAAATTTCATTAATGTAGCATACAGACAACGACAGAGGACATCTAAATATAATAGTTATTTATTATAATAGTTTTCAAATTTATCTGAAAGTTTCATTTAACTGGGAAAAAACCTGCACGGTATACAATATGTGTGATATATTACGTTCACTTTCCAGAGAATGACCCATGGGTACATACACATGGGTACTTTCCCAGAATCAACCAATTTTGGTTTCTTTGTGAATTTCTTGATCGTTAATGTTCAGATTATCACACAGATTATAACAATGTCAACAGTGACATGCTTTTACAAATGTATCTCCTTGACTACATTTTGACATGGCAAACTGGCCAAAGTTTTAGCTCATTGGTGCTGACATATAGATGGAGTATGAGTCAAGACTTTAGCTAAGTACATGTACACAGATATTGCATATTGTGCTAGCAATTACATGTACAAGTTGTGCTCAATTCTTGATACAGATTTCACATATATATATATCTAACTCAGAAAATTGGTATGTTTAATGAAATTCCCAGATACTGGTACTCTAAATGCTTATATTATAATAAGGGAATAAATGTGTGCTCCGGAGGTTTTTATCACTCTGTTTAAGACCGCTTAGAGTCTGGGTGCTGATAATTACCCGAGCCGGAGGGGAAGTTAATTATCAGCACCCAGACTCTAAGCGGTCTTAAACAGAGTAATGAATACCGACCGAGCACATACATGTATTTATTCCCATTCATAAATACCTTTTCGGTAAAAAAAATCAAATAATTTGTTCAAAAAAATCCCGATTTTGTTCAACAAGTTCACTTCATGCTTTTTGAAACATCCCTCTAGCAAAATAATGGAGTGTTTAGCTGGTGAGTAAGATGTAAACAACCCTTTTATGGAGATTGACGCGCGCGTAGCATGTTCTGCGCGATGTCGCGCAGAACGCACCTAGGGCATTGCGTTTTGAATTTAGAACTATAAAATTCTGACTCGCTGGTAGTGTTGCGCATGCCTACGTGAGGATTGTGAACGTTCAACCAATAAAACAGTAAGAGGCACTGGATTTTTAGGAGTCCACATTTTATTGTGACACTGGAAAAGTGTTTAAGACCAGCTAGCCATGGCTTTATCATCCGTTTAAGACCGGCCACGTGACGGGCTCTCGACCAATAGGAATAGCTAAACTGTCTGAGGTATTTATGAATAGTCATTTACAAATGTGCATACAAATATTGTACACATGTTCTTGCATGGTGAAAGCCATTTATAAGAAAGTGCGTCAAATCCAATTTTCTCAACTCAGTTGAATTTTACTCATGCCTTTGGAATTTACAATAAACGTGTTAGAAACCTTTTAGAACGTTCTGACCCTATAACATGGCAATTTACTGTTCTGACCCTAGCAGGATATTTCTATAACATGGCAATTTACTTACATTTACAAATTACGGTACAGTTTGGTGTCAAATATTTTACACTTTCCTACCGGTAATTTGTCCTTCTTGTAAACCCCAAAATAAGCTCTAGCTCTGACAATCATGATCAGTATTTACTTACCAAGTTCATACCATCCCTAGCGCTAGCATGCTAGGGTTGGTACCAACAATTTCATTTAACCAACTCTATTTGAAATAGAGTTGTTAATTTTTCTTGTTATTCAAACTCTATTTGAAATGAAGTTGACAACGATGCAGCAACTCTATTTGAATTAGAACAACTAGTGAACACTACTTGTGTACAGTGCTACGCAGCACCCATTTTGTCTAATAGTAATACCGGTAGGTTACTTTCAAAAGAGAAAGGGCAAATTTCAGATAATGACACAATTGTTTTGTGCTGATTCATATACCAAATACATTTGACTTTTTTGTTTCAATTTACAAAATCACTGGCTACTAATTAGTAAACAGGCTTGCCCTAGGATGAATGGCAAGTAGAAATACCCTCCTTGACAAATATTACAATTTTGAACCATGAATCATGTTATAGAATAAGTAACGAACCTTACCTCAACAACTCCACGCCTTAATTTCTGATAAAACTCAAACAAATGGGGTACGTGTATGGTGCAGTATATGTACCAATTTCAACAAGACAAATTTCATACATTAATGTGATATATTCAGGCAGCGCTCAAATTCATGGCTGACTTTCATGTCTGTCAACCATGCTTGTCCCAAAGTTCTCGCTGGCAGATGCCCCTCTGGGCCGACGGGAACGACACTTCCGCCACGGCCAGAGTAGGATACGCCTGAATACCTTGCGGAACTTGCGTGTCCGGAAGGCGTAGATGTAAGGGTTTATTCCGGAGGACAGCCAGATGAGGAGGTTTGTGACCTCATGGATTATCGGGGGAACAGTCTGCTGACCGTCAGCGAAGATGACAATGCAGTTTGGGAACCAGCAAATCATGAATACCAGGAAGAGGAGGAGTAGCTTCTTGGTCAGCGTCACCTCCTGGGGGCTGAGGGAGATGACATGCCGGTCATTGACCGTGCCGTTGATGGACTGCAGCGCCTTGACCGTACGCTTGCTCTTGGCAACAGTGTGGAAGGTCAGCAGGTAGAAGGTGGGGATGATGCCCACATTGATGGTCATGCACAGCAGGAACAGGATCAGCGGGTACCACCAATCACTGCGGTCGCAGATCACAAACGTGCAGTGGCTGTTGATGAAGCTGAACCCGACGGTCCCGATGCTCGACCACAGCGGGATGAAAAGGATTGTCAGTGACAAAGCCAGAAATGCGATCAGGTAGACCACGACGAATTTGGCCTTGAAGTAACGGGCAAATACTTGCTTTGGTTTTGTCACAATCAGGTAGCGTGTCCCGGCGAGAAAGGTCAGTGTTATTTCAGACGTGGCCAGGCAGAAGATGGTTAAGTACCCTATGGCTGTGCAAACCATGTCCTCGTAAGGCCACTCTCCTTTGACCAGTGTGAATATGAAAATCGGAACAAGCACTCCTGTGTTGACCAGATCTACGCAGGCCAGTACAAGAATGAAATAGTTGGCCGTTGTGCACAGGCTCGGCGTTATGGCCATAGCAGCAATGATGAGAGAATTCCCAAACACCCCGGCGCAAACCACGATAGAGAGGATGATTATCTGCACGATGGCTTGTGCTCCTGAGGGGCCACTATCCGACCGGCAAAAAGGGGCAGCAGGAGAAAGACTACCGGCAAATGTTGTGTTGAACGCTGTAATTTCGACAGCCATGCTGACTCAAGTCTTGTACAATGCTGTAAGGCACTCAATGGGCTGCAATCTGGATTACAGAGTATAGCTGCTTGCTACCGGGGTCCATATCCACACAGTGTTGCTATACAGCCAAGTCTGGCGTGACTTAAACCATCTTCAGAATCTTAGCGCATCTTTGGAGCCCGTCAGGGACAAAGTACAACTGCGACCGTGGCGTGATGTGTACAAGTAGGGTGTGTAAATACCACTACAGACTGCAAAGGCTGAGCTCACAGAACTGAAGTACCGACTTCAAAAAAACCAAGGCCATGCATCACTCCTGATCTTCCCAGAAGATAGAAAACAAGTCCAGCTGATCAGGAAACTGCAGGTCACTCGGCATAACTGGAATGCGAGTACACTCTAAACTACAACCGAGTTCAAGAGTTTTGCTCCTAACCCAAGCATAAACTGCCAATGAAGATAAAACTGTTGTCCTGCCAAAGTTGTTTCCATGGCCAAGTTCCAACTCACCGTTGGAGTTTAAAAACAGTACTTATTTTTTTCCTATGCCGCATCCACACTCAATCACTTCCAGTATCACAATAAAATTTCATTGGGGCGTTAGATTGTTAAATTTCACACGTGATTAAAAACTGGTTTGATGAGTTCAACCGTGCAGCATTCCTGTTTGAATGAAGCGTTTCTAAGCGCGCCACAAAAAAGGGCTTATTTTTCATCAGATTACCAAACAACAAGAACTGACACTGATTGAAAAGTCCACTTTGCTATTGGAGGCACAAACAAGGTACGGCCGACAGTTGGTCTCATCCTGTCTAATTGTGAGGGTGACAGATAGCGCACAGTCATTAGACGTACACGTATGTGCTATCCATTTACCGCAGTGCACTGAGCACAGAGATGGTGAATGGGCTGAAGTAATGGTAGAGACTAGAGTGTGTATTGCACATGCTCAGAGTAATACGTTTACTAGCACACAGCCTAATCAATGGAAATATGTCACTGAGGTGGCACAGCACATTGTCAGTTGGGTGACCAAATTTGATTGTTACATACAGTAAGCACTGTCTGGCAGTAACTTCAAGATTGTACACTATGGTGCACATGTACGTGTTCATTTAGCATTTAGGCTCAAGAGTTCTTCAGAACAAAACTTAATTCTGCCGGTCTACAGATGTGATCAATGGAAGAAATTATCCCTCTGTACTTCCTCCCTTATGAATACAATGTATTCCAGAAAATTAACTTCGATTGGGGAATTTTCAGCACGCAGTGTTCACAGTGCAATGTGTATCCAGCTTTACTCCAGAATTTTTAGTCCATCACGTAGTATATCCTGATCAAACACGGTCTGACATCGACTGGTAATATCCTCCAGAGAACCTCTCCTGTAAAATTTCCTTGCAAACAAAGAGCATTTCCCCTGGCCCTGTTGTTAATTACTCATTTCTGGTCACACAGGCACGGCGCGTCGAGTGCAAGCAACTCTAGGGCAACGGTTACTTTTCCAGAATCAACCGATGCTCATTTCTTTGAACGTTGATGTTGAGATTATCACATAGATTACATCTCTTGTTGTTAACAGTGACATTATACTGCTTTTATCTCCTTGACTACATCTCATCACGGCAAACTGGTTAAAGTTTTGGCTCATACGCTGACATGAGGGTGGAGTATGAGTCAACATTGTAGCTACATGTATTGACTTTATGTACACATATATTGATAATTGCCGGCCATTAAGTTGTCTTCAATTCAGGATGCTAGATTTCAAACATAAAATCTAATTCAGGATGTTGGAATATTAAAAATGTCTTCAAAAGCACACAACTTATATCACTGCACTGGGTGACTTTGCAATAGCCAGCTGTTATCTAAGTCCAAAAAAAAAAAAAATCAATTGTTTGTTTTTGCTTTTGTTTGTTGGTGTTTTTTGTTTTGCTTGTTCGCATTGACATGACATAAGGGCCATCTTCAAACGTTAAAATTCAACCATTTAGCATCACATCCTGGTGCAAGCCATTATTATCCCATCCCATTAAGATTAAGTATACACTCACTGATACTTCCATGAAGGGGCAATACAAGAAATTAACAGTCCATTAAGACCAAATTGCAATTTACACGTATCACACTTGACTGTGTCCATGAAAATGATCACTTAAATGCACCTGTATTAAGCCTCTGTCATGGCAACAGATTCTAATTTTGCAAGAAGACTCTTTGAATAATGGATTAGTTTTGACCACATGTATAAGTAACTCATGTTTGTCCTTGGGCTGCAGTTTCTTTCTTTCTTTTTTTTTTACATGCAAGTGACTTAACCAATACGGTCCGCTCAATAATTAACATTCCATGTAAACAGCTCAGATACAAAGTGTGTATGGAAAACATACAGTCAATTTGTACCAACTTCTGTAGTGAAACATAATTCAAAATATTCAAAAAGAAAAAGAATCTTTGGCAAATATAAACAAGTGCATTTGATAGATATATGGAGGGACAGATCAAGGTTAGTTTGGAAGGGAAAGGGTGCAACTCCCCCCCCCCCTCTCAATGTGTAAGGACTATGTTCTAATTTCACGTTACATGTAAATGTAAAAAGCCTCCATCCTTTCTCAAACACTACCTTTTTATAAAAAAAAAACCGACCTAAATTAGTCGAAATGGCAAAACTGTTATTCATTTGCACACGGTTGGCACAGTCACTGTTTGTATTGATCTTTAATTAGTTTGTTTGAAAGCAGCTCAACTGCAATTGTGATCAATTTTAATTGCATATTAATTGGGGCTTTCCAACATCATTCATGGCCTGCATGATGACTAAAGAAACACAAAGAGTGCCTGCTGTTCAAGGTACATACATGTGGCACATGATTCACTGATGTACGGTTCATATGTTGCCTTTTTCAAAATCAGAGATGACATTCGCCAGCACAGATACAAATAACTGGCAGGGTGAGTCCTTATCTCTCCATTTGTATCTGGAACGTTACACAAAATTAATGCACCCCATTAATTCAGATCAAAAGTGGTGTATTCCAAACGTCAATTGATTTCGAGAAGTTCAAGTGGGCAAGCTGGTGCATTAATAAAAAACAAAATGCGAGCTGCATGTGGCACATGAACGATTGGCGATATTGATGTTACCAAGACAATTCAGTGCCATATATATTCATTTAATTAAACAGGATGGATACTTGCTCCGTTGGCCTACTTGCATCCCAAATGCGACGCCTCGGGGGATGAAGTCTTCTCATCGCAACATGATCTAGAACACCTCTCGGATAATGAGTCTTTCAATTGGATGAGGCACATATGGGTAGATTTGGAATTTAGCACACTTTGGTTTCACTGTATTTGATACGAAGCCCTTTTTTCAAGGATAAAAAGAAACAATCCTTTAAAGGGATGTATGGTTTTGCATCATGATGACGTGTTGCTATAAAACCAAAAACAGTCTTTGGAAACTTTCACTTGGATTAAGTGGAATGAGTTAGAAAGTTGCTGATACATAACAAAAGCCATAATGTGTTTTTCAATGACTGTATATTGCAATAATTATGAGATTGCAAATGTACATGAGGTTTAAATTCCTACTGTGATTGAAGCACTTTGTCATAAATATGTGCGTTTGTGTGCTAGCAGTGAAGGGTTTAAATCTCAGTGAGAACTTTTTTATTTTGCCCAAATTTACAAATGTATATACTTCCTTACTTTCACTGTTTTAAATCAAATCCTTCTTTTTATTAAAGTAGATGTGATTTTTTCTTTCTTTCTGATTCATTGCTCTGGAGGATTGTTTTTAAAGGGAAGTGATGTCTAAAAACCACTTGGTAAACAACTGACACATGCGCAATAGTCAACTTACACTTACAACTTATAGTAAAAATACCAACAGAATATACCGTTAATCAGTGACACTGCATTCTGTGGTAAAAGATGCAGGGTTTAAATCAAATTCACAAGATTGACTTATTTCTCTCTACGTGCTCATCCTCCGTGCTTCACAAGCACTGAGTGTTCTATACAGTGGTAATACAATTTTGGTGATTGAGAAAATCCACCGTCTTTTTGAAATATCCACCGTTGATGACATTTCCAGAGCACAGTGTGTTTTCTTCCGGAATATTTTAGAAAAGCTCTTCATCTTATTTAAAAGTCACGTCAGCTTTCTAATGAAGGAATGGTACACCGAGTTCATATATTTAGTTATGCAATGTTGCAATGTTGTTGACTGTAGCTCAGCTCAATCAATGCAAGTGAAATCTGTTACCTAGTTACAGTGATGATAAACAATGTGAAACCCAAAGCCACAGACTAGCACCTGTGTGACTGGTGGTGAACCAAAAACAACACAGTCGCCGAGGACTCAGAAATAAATGCAGGTGGGCAACTCCATGAGAATGTGGACAAGGCTGAAAAATGAAAATTTATGAAATCTTCAAAGTTACAAGCACCATGACCTGAAAAAAGATATCACATCAAAGGGGACAAGACCTTTCATTTGAACATGACAGCGAGATGGTTAAGTGTATTCGTTTGTCCAAAAAAACCTGGTATTTTGCCTAAAATTATTGATTTCAGGTAGTCATTTTGAAACCTTTTTTTTTACATGCAAAAATGAAAGTGTTATTGTGAGTTTCTGTTTTCAAGGAAGAGAAAAGGGTTTAAATTCTATGCAAAAAGAGGTTGTTTTTTTAGTTTCTTAAATGTTTAAACTTGTACCAAAGATGGGCGGACAAACTGTAACATGAGTTACTGTAACGTGAGTTACCGAAATATGTCCCTACAGAGATTTTATGATTATTTGTTAATAATAAAAGGTAGAATATGACTGTAATATAAATACCTTAATGAGGGCACTAAAAAGATTAGTTTTCCATCAGTGCACAGTATGATGAAAACTTTCAAATGCAAGGTGTTTAATTTTTTTTCCCATGTCCTTTTTCTGTAATGTTACTTACAAATAAAAAAACTTATTGCCAAACCAATAAGTTCATTTTGTCGGCCCTTTTTTGTTGCACTTCATCAAGCTTTACCACAACTACAAGTACGAAAAGGACCCTGTATACCGCTAATGTCCCCATTTACCTAACAGCTTTACTTTGGTGTTTTTGTCTTGTTGTCATTTCGGGAGGACGAGTGGACAATAAACCAGACTAGATTGTGAAGGGGGGGGGGGGGGGAGGGATTATCACGCCACCGTTATAAATGGCTTCTCATCAGGAGTACCAGCCGGTGCTATTTACTGGCATCAGAGTTCACGGCGGAATAGTAAGTGGCTCTAATCGTCTTTACCTTGGCATCAGGTTGCCTGGCAACCTCATCTTATCAATTTTTTCTTTCATATCCTTCTAGCAATTTAACTTATTTGTGCAATGTTTGATTAGGGGGCATTTGTAAGGGAGAGGGGGCAGTTTTATGCCGAGTGCTGACATTTAATCTGCAGACTATACATGTAGCTTCACAGAAAATGTAGGTAACTCAGAAAGGGCAATGCCAAAAACAGATCCGATGTGTCTTTTTTAGCAAGTGATGATTACATTTGTATAACAGCAATGGATGCAAATAAAATATTACTGTGTTGTTTCAAAAATCAACACCTCCAAAGCACAATTTTCTTCCAAATTTTTTTTTCTTTTTTTTTTAATTCAACATGATTTTTTGAAAATCTTAATATTGATTTTTTTTTTCAGTTTCATATGATAACAAAAAGGGCCCTCATATTCTTAATGTTTGATTTTTTTCCGATGAGAAACATTTCCATGAACTTTTTATATTTTGTAAATTCAGTTTACATACTTGTACGTATTCCTATTGGTTGAGAGCCTGTCAATTTGGTGACTTTAACCTTCTGATAAACACTCCTCAGTGTTTAAATAGTGGTGTTTTAAAACTTTTTTCATGAGACCCAACACTCCAGGCCAAATGCCCCCCAGTGTGAGCAGTACACGCTGTGCGCATGGCTGCAATCAGATGCTATAGAATTAACAACTGATATGATCTCCATATAAGGAGATGACGAGCACGCCACAAAGACACCATCTGTACATGTACCACAGAAATGGTCCATAGAGTAAAATGACAAAACAAAACTAGATTTATGTTTCAGGACAAATACAGGGCTGTTTCGGCAATTGTTTTGGTGACATCTGGCATACATGTAACAAGTAGAAGTTCCATCCAAAAAGGATGTGTAGTTCTGTAGATAGTGGGATATGTACAATTGAAGGTGTCATTAGTACGTGACTACATTCTCATAGGGCTTCCAATTATGCATCTTCAGTGACTTCACATGTCATGTGGCGATGTCATCATGACGTCACTTCAATTTTCATCTATAAGACATCCCGGTTTATGTACGTATGTACCGGTACATACCAAGTTACATTCAAATTGAAACTGTAGCCCTGTTAATATAGGCCGTAGAAAAAATGCACCTTTATTTTGACGTCATACATGACATGTGATGACATCATCATGATGTCACTTCATAACAAATCCTGGTCTAGGTACATACCAAGTTTCAACCCACTCGGAACTGTAGTTCTGTAGATAGGCCTATAGGCCTTCAAATCATGCATCTTTAATATGAGGCTCCATGACAGATGATGACGTCATCATGATGTCATTTCAATTCTTAACGAAAACAAAGGCTATTTTGACAAGTTGCCGAAACAGCCAAAAAAAGTTATTTATATGGATGCAGATAAAAGTGTGATGTATGGAGCAGTTTTAAATATGATCTTTAAAACCGGTTAGGGCTTGGTCGCCTTCGGCTTCAGCAAATATCATTCATAACGGCTCCATCATGCCATTATCCCCATGTTAAGGCCTTTAAAAGACCGTGCAAGAACTACATCTTATTCTGTCAATATGGCCTATCCCACTGCCTATTAGGATAAACCAATCACCAGTGTATTACTTGTCGTTAACTCATCTCAATGACTTTATTACTGAATAATTGAGACGTATTTCATGATGCTGTTTACAGAATGAGGCATTTACGACCTTGATAGCATTAACCAGCTGCTGGATTCCTAGGGTTGAGGAGGGAAACGCTATTCTAAACAGGGCAACGGGAACGTAATAATGGTTTTGATAATACTAATAACATGGAAAATTGCATCTTTATTGTATTTAGGGGCAGGGTATGGTGGGGTAGGAGTGGCTATTACACCCCCGGGAAGGACAATAGAGGAAAATGACAGAAATAAAAGTCCAGTCAATGTTCTTACATACCCGGTACGACCATAAAGATCCTTTGAAAAATGTCATGTACATGTAATACATGTACTCTGTACAAAAGTAATACCATATATCATTCAAACCTGAGTGATAAATGCCTACTGTGCTTCCCCCGAAAGGCGTGTGTGTTCGTTAAATCAAGATTTATGAATCCAATCTGGTTTGCAGCAGGCATACGATGCACTTGTATACTGAATACAAACTTGTACATGTATGTCTGTGAATTTGGTTTTAAAACAAATTTTTTAGACTTGGCAGATATGTGTACATTTGTGACATGATCTGTCAAAATCAGGCACATTTGGAAAATGGCAAAATTTTGAGTTAGTTCAACAGTAGTGAAATATTGACCTTGATCTTTCAAAGGCCGCTTTTTTTTTTTTTAATTTGGATATATGCCAAAGCAAAGTTATGAAATTTTGAAATCATACTGTCCAAAATGTCAAAAATGAGAAATAGGCCTTTGTCGAAATTTCAGTGTGTCACTTTTACAGAACAGTTTAAACATTCGTAGCATCACAAGTTAAACAATTCTCAAACTTGTTGCAATTTCGTTGCAGCTGTTTCTGCATTCGTACCACTGCCCAAATATGCCTGGTTTTGACATACCACGTCATATTTGAGCCTTTCAAATTTCCGTTTTCCCAGCAGGAAAATAAAAACCTTTCTTGACATCACTCACTTCCTTAAAAAAAAGAGAAATTAAACACACCCCCTCCTCCCCAAAAGACAAAAAACACCAAACAAACCCTAGAATTGAACAGTGCCAACTATATTCAGGTAACTATACACTTGAGCTAATCTTGACAATTTTCACGAAATGTGTTCATACATACTATAGTATGGAAATTTAACTTCACTGGAACATTTTTGCGATTGATAGTGGGGCCATGAAACAGTCCCTCAACATTGCTTGGAAAATGGTGAACAGTATGGTGCACACATGCTTATGATTACATTTACTAATACAACTTTAAATTACGTACATTAGTTACGAATATGCCACTGCACAGGCCATTTAAAGGTATAGTCCATCCTTTGTAATTTGTACATTTTGTTCGTTTGAAGCAACAAAAGTGCTCAATTTCTGAAGAAGGATGCTGAACAACCAATCTGATGAAGTTTCAGCTAAGCTTCAGCTGCATTTTTCGAGAAAAACAACATTCTAGGATCTCGATTTCAAATCAAAAGTTGCTGAATCATGTTTTGAATTGGGCCTGAATTCAGCGTCCGAGACACGTTCTCACTGAGCCGATTGCAGCTATGCGATGTCGCGCACCGATCCGACGAATTATAGCAACCGCGCGCATGTGTGCGTCGTGCCAATGTTTGCGCGCGCTTCGCCGAATTATAGCAAACGAACTACTAGTTTGAATTTCCTACGGTGCGTCTTAAGAAGCACCGTTCGAAAGGCCTTCTTTCATTGATTTCTGCAAAATGCCAGCTTGCCATAAAGAATAATTTCACAGGGAGTTTAGTCCCCTTACTATCTTTCAACCAAGTATGTTTTTCAACAATAATTACGCCAGTCACTTTTTGGATAGCTGCAAATGATGGACTCGGGCTTTAACATGTTTAATATTTGCGGCACTGACACACGCTGTGTAGTTGATTGATGTACCGTGTACAGACGTGTACAGGTACACACAACTCCCACACAAAAGAAAACAGGACTGATACACAGCGGTGACAAAAAGACACTTTCCTACATTGTGAAGTGAGTCCTGCTTATTTGGACATGAAGCCTTCCTTGACTGCCGACTGCAATTTACAACACTCAAATGCCAGTTTCTTACACAGGAAGACGTCTGGACATTGTTAATAAATTACATCGTGTGAACTTGGAGTGTTCCACTGACTCCAGTTTGAAAGCACAGGCAGCACATGATGTGAGGTACTGAAGTCTAGATGGCTAGATATACAGTCCATGGTACGGATTAGAATGGACAATGCATAATGAGGACTTTATGTGCAAATTTTTTTTGAAAGTCGGCAATACACAGATACATGTACACGCATACAGAATATACTGAACGAGTCTTGGGAATAAAGTAAACATCATTTTTTTAACACAAAGATTGAAAACAGTGTAAAAGTACAAAATCGCCATTTAATTTTTTTTTGATTGAATTTAATTTTTGTCATGATCACGAAAACCCCCAAATCTTAATATATTTTTGAAGATCCCACAAAATGTTGATAGTGGGAACATGTACTAACATGACAGTTTACCGAAGAATCAAATCTGGAGCAGTTATGTACCGATATGTAAATCTGTGCCAAGGAGTGGGGGATGATCATGAACAACCCTGAAATCTGTGACCTGGAGTGTAAAATCTTAGTGCTTTGAATCTACTAATATGATGACATTTGACGAAGAATGCGGAGTGCGTCAGCAGCAATGCTTTCCCAAAAAAGGTAATAAGCTGCAAGCCAATAATTGTATTGTTTGCCGAGGCACTACAAACACAAGAGTGCAATTATAGGCTGCCATCAGATGCAAAGTGACGCACATTTGCACACTGGGTGGTTGGCACCGAGCCCAAATTGCAAACAGGGGGAAGATTACCGTCACTGATTTGTCCACCTTGGTTAATACAACCAATCCCCCCCCCCCAATGATGCATCAGTCCCTGAGTTACTATTTAACCATGTTTGACAACCTGCTTTGCTGTAAGAGCAAGCTTGCCTACTTGAAAGTGGTCATTTGACAACCCAAAAGCCATCTGTCATCACATGTAGACAGTATTTCTCCCAAACAAATTTGGGACTTTTTTGGACCTCTCTGCCTTAAGGCCAAAAAAAGAAGTCTCCGGTTTCTGGTATGGAGCTTACCCAAAAAGTGGTGCGGCGATGCGGCTTTTTTTTTTTTTACCTGATTTTTTTTGCTTCAAATGTCGGCTGATGACTGCAAATGGTGCCCGACTAAACTAAGTGCAAATGTATGGGAGTCCAGAGAGGCCACATAAAGCTTATTCTCGACCATAACCCAATCTAAAAACACCTTAAAATTGTGCAGCAGCAGAATTCCAGTCAAACCAGTGAGTTTGGCGGTTTTGAGACATCATCTTTCATTGAAAAAAAAACTTTTTCATTTTGCCGACGCGCATGGCTACGACGACGCGCGCGCATACCAGAAACCGGAGACTTTTTTGGGGGGCCTAAATGAGGCTTTTTTCTTGAAGGATAAAATGTGGAAGGTGAAAAAATTGCACGTACATTGCAGATGTCGAAATACGTGTAACTGTTGAACAGCCTTGAGATAAAAATATAAGTCATTTTTTAATGGTCACTTTTGATCAGTTCCGTGAAAATGCGATTCAAAATTTCTAACGATGAAAATTCATTTTATCGCATGAATGCGATGAAGTACATTCACTGTACTCCAAATGGGGATGGGGGCATTCTACTTTTGGTGGCAAGAAATACTTTTAATCTAAGGGCTGGAGCGCTACGTGATTGACCTTGGCGCCATGCCAAGTAAGTTTGCGCAATCCATAAGATTGGCCTGTCTTTCGGCTTTGCTCAGTTTGTTGAGGGTCAATTTGACCAAACAGTAGTCACTATAATAGTGGAAAGATTGCGTTATCGAGTGCCAAAAATGGGAAAAAAGTAACATCATTAAATGCAGCTTAGATCCGAAACAACACCTGATTTTAGACGTGTGCCACGGTATAACTGTGGCTTGTTTGTAAATCCACTGTTTATAGTATTTTCATTACAAAAGCATTATGGGCAAACATCAAACAAACAACACACTTGGAATGTCAATACATTTTCTGGTAAAACCATCGATTCTCGTGTGGCATTATTTATCATCAGATAAAAAGTGCTTTTCTTCGCATCATTACCCGTGATTGATGTGCCTGTCCATTGCTGTATCAACGTCAACTTCCCGTGCAGCATATTCATAATTAATGTGCACAGCCACGCTAGGCAGTAAAAGACACCCTACATTAGAGTTGTAATGAGTCACTGATTTTTGTGACTCGAGTTGAGTCGAGTCATTTTAAAGAAGTCACTCGAGTCGAGTAGAGTCATTAGGTCGCCGTGTCGAGTCAAGTCAAATATTTAGCTTGAGTTAATTCGAGTCACGAATATTTGTACACTATATACCAACATTTATAAAAGGAGGGCATAAATTTAGCCGGCGTTCAAATCCAAGATCTTTTTAAGTATAGTATTTTGTGCATTCTAGAACCATGAGGTGGGAGTCTGTGACACATTGTATAACAAGCAGCTGCTGTATCACACTGTATTCGCAAAGTGATGTGAACATAAATTTTGCACTGTAAGTCATTGCAAATACTTTTCGCAAAGTTTTGCTTTTATTTTTGGGACTCCAGTCTTATTGGCCTTTGCTCGAGTCGAGTCGAGTCTTCTGATGAGGGACTCGAGTCGAGTCCATTGCTCGCAGTGACTCGAGTCGAGTCGAGTCATTTTCCCATAGGGACCCGAGTCGAGTCAAGTCACCAAAAATTGTGACTCGAGTCGGACTCAAGTCCAGTCATTGACTCGAGTCATCACAACTCTGCCCTACATTGTAAACCACCTAGTGTGTGTAAAAACTGAATCAGGCCTCATATTCACAAAATGCAGGAATTATTTGGTAATCACTTACAACAGAGGGATTTAACTAACCTGTCTGTAGGCTGAAGTGAAGGCACCTAGGTAGGCCACCAGGCCAGAGGAAATGAGGACGTCACCCGTCAAGTTGATGTACAGCTCACCAAGGTCTGCCGCCGATTTACGCCATCTACGAAAAAGAAAGAAAAAAAAAAGATTTGGAAATATTCAAATTTACACCCGATTTATCAATTTTGTGTGCGTGAATTTTATTGAGCCATATCAGGGGTCATTATGTTCTCTGTGACCTAAAGCTTTAGACCTGATGCTATAGACAATGCCACAGATTGGGAAATAGCCAAAAACTTTAATCAATTGTTTGTGTTGGTTGTTTGATTACATTTTTGTGTCAGATTAACCGAAAACCAGTGTGAAAATGAAGGCTTCCTTGTAGAAGGTGTAAATTCTCAAGCTAAAACCCAAACAAATTCCATACAGGAAACACTTTCTAATGTGGGATAGGTTAGCACATGCACAAATTAAATCAGCCGTTCAATAAATCACAACACCAAAAAAGGAGCAAAAAGAGGCGGTCTCGTTGCCTGTATTCAAACGTCTCCTTAAGACATACTTGTTCCAAGTCCAGTCGTAATCGTGTTGTGTCTGTTTCTCTTTCTGTTATTTTGTTGTTGTGGATGTGTGTTAAGCGCTTTGCTCTTTGTAAAGCGCTATATAAATACTTTGTATTATTATTAAAGTTGAATAAAAAGAATATTTAAATACTTGCAGGCCTTGTTATATTAATAACCCACCTGTCTTTCTCACCACCAAGCCCACCGATCAGCTGCTCAGCACGGTCCAGCTTCTTAGAGCACAGGTCTACCTGGTTCTCCAGGTCAATCTTCTTCTTCTTGTTGGCTTCCAGTTTGTCTTCAAGCTTCTTGAGTTTGTCCTGGACCTCTCGCAGCACAGCTCGTTTCTTCTCCAGGCCTCCCATGGCAACGCTCAGCTCTGCCTCGGCTGCCTTGAGGGCCTCCTTCTTGGGCGCCACAACCTTGGCCACTCTGTTGGTTGGAGGAAAAAATTGATTTTCTATACAAGGGATTCAGTATGCAAAGTTTGAATTGAAAAACGTAATTATTTGTAAAGGTTGAAATAAAGTAAGGTACAAGACCATCCTCCATCGGTTGTTTTTAATTTTGCTGCTTTGTTGTTTTTGGTAACTTTTAATGTTTTATTTGGAAATTTCTCCGTACATTTGTACACTGCACATATGGTACTAACAGCCTGATATCACTGTTGATATTAAACCATTCATCATATTAAAGTTACATTGTACATGTTTTGGAGATGTCCATGGCAGGGCCCAATTTTATAGCGCTGCTTAACAGCCGACTTTGTGCATACAGAGCCCCCATCTATTTCATAGAGACTGTTAAGGAGTAAGCACAGCAAAAGCACGCTTAACCCCAGAGGAAAAATTTGCTTAAATCAGTGACGTAACAATAGAATCTCCATGCACGCGCAACCGTTAGCACATTCACGGCATGAAATAGTGCTTAAGCAGCAGCATGATTTTCTGCTATAGTAAGCACAACTTTTACTGTTAAGCAGTGCTTTGAAATTGGGCCCTGATTAGAAGCAAACGCAGGGAGGAATACCTTAAGTCAGATCTTAAGTCAGATCGTTGAGAAATAACAACGAACTATCAGCCGGCACACTCAAACCACATTTCAAGATGAACCCACTGAGCCATCACCAAAGTGACAATGTGAGCATTTATCTCTGTATGGGCTCCTTGACCAAGTACCCCGTCAACAGTTAAAAAAAAAGGAGAGTTGGGTGAGCCCACTGGGAGAGACATTCAAAACTCCCTGCAGATAACCCTGACGCATGACGTGAAAACGCTACAGGTTTGTGCTAGTGATGGGATGAATATCCAGATTTTAAAAAATTCGGTTTGAATTCCACTCTTCGGTGTGGATTTTGGAAACCAAATGTTCAAAACCAACCTTACCTTAAAAAAAAAATAAGGCCTCCATTTTTGGTGTGACACAGGCTAAAAAAACCAAACTGGAACATGCCCTAATTTCCTCTATGGGCTCCGTGCACCGAAAAAGAGGGCGCCCTTTTACCTAGCAATGACATCCCATGGGAGGGACATTTCGCTGGTTGACACGCACCGTTGCTTGTGTGTGACGCACGTACACCAGCGAATTTGTACTATGTACACACAGTGGCCGCGCTTCGCGGCAAATGAATTGCAGTCAGGCAAGATAGCGTCGGTCGGTCACCCCCAACTGTACTTTCTTTGCCGGTGAGGGGGTACTTGTGAACGGAGCGGATAGTCTCTGCTTGTACATGTAACTGCATTCACTCGCTAGTGGTGTTCTCGGTCCAGGAATAGCCTGCCCATTTGACTGATCAGAGAGTTCCCACCCAGTTTTTCACCATTCCAGCACTGGAGGGCATTGCATATTGTTGAATTTTAACTAGTTGAATGGGAACTTCCGGGACATGAAATTACCGTTATTTGGTTTGAAAAAATTAGGATAACCAGATTTTGAAATCTCTGATATTTCCCACCGATAGTGTGTGCACATTCAGGATAAAATTAGTGCATACTTTGCACCATGCGCACAGGAACCAGTACATGTTGTGTCCCCTCAATGGGACTCTCGGAAGTAATCATACAGCGCCCTCTATCGTTCATGCACAGAGTCCATAGGGTTATAGCTCCAATACTTACTTATCATATGACTCCATGGCCCGGACCCACTTACACAGACCCTCAGCAGCCGTGGAAGCGTTTCGGATCTTCTCAGGAACAAAGTCCGGATTGGTGACGTACTTGGTCCGAATCACCTTGATGATGTTAGGTGCAATGTTGTCCTGAAAAAAACCACCAAAATCTCATTTCGTTGATACTCTATTGTCTAATATTTGTTTTTTGTTTCCGTATGTTATTTTATTCCTGTACCACTTTTACATCCTTTAACAAGTCATTCTAAGATAATTCCTTTGATCAAAATTTTCTTGTTCAGATTTGCATTTTTTTTGTGTTTCATTCTTTTGATGCCTATTTAATTAATATTGTATTCATAATGAAGTTTATGAATACAATACGTTTTGATTTTGTTATTTACTTCTGCATAAAAACATTGTTGCTCTTTGCTTACTCTAAATATAAAAATCTCTTTATCATGAACAAACACACATCATCACATATTTTTTTATCAGACACAAGAAGTGAAAACCACAGATGTTATTATTATTATTTGTTTAATCAAATGAGAAGGGGGATTTGTTTGAAGCAATAGATCTAAAAATCACATGTCTTTCTTTAAAAAGAAAATAACTTTTTCAAGTCTACAATTCTTTTATTGCAGATGTGGCAATGAATACGAAAAGATTCAACGTTTAATCCATATTTTCTAGACAATCAATGTGGCCACGACATCCACTGTTTAAAAAAAAAAACACTCCCGCCCATTTGCAACCACCTCACTGAACACTGAAAAGATGCCACGTTTAATTCATGTGTTTCTAAATAATCAATTCGGCCGCAACATCCACTGCTGAAAAAAAAAATATTCCCGCTCATTTACAATCACCTCACTGAACACAGTAAAGTGTTACCTAGGGAACAGTGGGAAAACAACTAGTCTTGTTTCCAGATTGTTTTTTCCTTATTCACACTACAAGAAGATATTATTCAATCACCTCCCAACAACCAAAATAAGCAATGCAGTTTATGAAATCTAGGCTTCGTTTCCCTCTACGACTTTGCCTCTGGCATAGGATTTAAATGGTACTATGTTCAAAAGCAATGAAAATACACCAGATATTGACTTTTAGTGATATGGCAATATGAAAAAAAAAAAATCCCGTCCGTTTGCAGTCACCTCACTAAACACAGAAGGTATCACCTAGAGAACAGTGGGAAAATAACTAGTCTTGTTTCCAGATTGTTTTTTCCTTATTCACACTACAAGAGGATATTATTCAATCACCTCCCAACCCAAATAAGCAATGCAGTTTACGAAATCTAGGCTGCGTCTCCCTCTGCGACTTTGCCTCCGGCATAGAATTCTAAACCTGTAGCCTGAAGCTGGATGGAACACAAGCCGATATTTCATAAATCCCTCCCACTCACCTTGTCATAGTCATGGAGTGACTGCAGGAACTTCATATCTCCCAGCAGTCTCTTGCTAGGAGGCCAGAAGTCTTCAATCTTCTTGCCTGAGCCCGAAGGGTCCGGTACGCGGTCGGGTTTGATGTTCTTCAGGATGCAGACGGCTTCTAGGACCAGCCGGACACCAGCGGGTGGGCTCTTCATGGTTTTGACCACTGTGATGTCCTGTTATCAAGACAAGACACATTTTTTTCCTGATCAAAATATTCACCAATATCGTGGCGACGATTCTCCGTCTTTTTCGTAAGTTCTTCATAACGGTGATAGTATGTCAGATAATACAATTTTAAGCATGAAGCTTGAATCATAGATGGGTATAAGACAATGTGTGATTATTTTTTTATTTAATCAAGTTTTTTTAATAATAGTCCAAATTGGTTGTGAGAGTGTGTATGAACAATTTTTAACTGTATGTGCAAAATTCTGTAATGCCTTCAAATGACAGAAATAAGCCTGAGCAGGAGAGGCACAGCATGCGTGTACTGGTGCACGTGCATATGATGCACAGCTCATTTTAAACCCAAAGTGTCTTTGCATGAGCTTCAGATGTCATCAGCAATACGTCCGAATGTCCCTCCCAATGGTCTTCCCCGACTGTCCTTTTGTAACCGATGAGGGGGTTCTTGTAAATGGAGTTCACTTTATCTTCTTTGTTACTGTACCTGTGGTGTGAGTGTCTGCAGAGCAGCCAGGGCAGATTCCAGGATGGGTATAGCCTCAGCCAGCTCAGCGTCGCATTCATCCTTGATGGCCTTGGCTGCCATGGCTTGCTTGTTGGCCACCTCCTCATCAGCTTTCACGACCTGCGATTGGACAGAGGTTGAGAAATGTGAACAAAATAAGGGGCCAGTTCTACAGGGAGAACGACAGCAAAATTTGTTTCCTTAAAAAGAAAACTTTCTATACTGTTTGGATGTGTCAACGTAAAAAAAAATATTAATACTGAATTGCTTTTTGTTAGCATTACAAAAGATATGAACTTTCCAATGACACATTGAATGAAAAAAAAAAAAATTCAATTCAAGTCGGACTTTAGTCAATATCCACAACACACATTGCCGTCACAACCCAGCACTGAATGTTATCATCAATGTTGTGCCCAAATTGCTATAAGTGCAATATTAACAGTCTAACTTCGGATACAGCATGAAACGAGCACAACATAAAACCTATTTTATTCCAGGAATCATTGCCTCTAATGCTAAAACAACCCCAATTTATTCGTTGAAGGACATCATACTCTTTGAAATTTGTTTACACTAACTTTAAATCTAATCCTGCCAGATGCTAAAAAATGCAACAGGTGTATTAAAAAGTCTGTAGGACTGTGTTTTGCATTGAGCCATCAACACCAGTGCACAGATTGCAGATTCTGAGACACTGCCGGAGTTGTTGCAGTTGAAAACCACAGACTCTGAGGCAGTTTGCTTTGGGGTATTTTTAACCAATTGGACCTTGTTTATGCTCGGCAGACTTCTCACCATGACAAGCGTTGCACGTGAGCTTTTTAGACAAAATACCCTGGAGGATTGGCGTTACCCCTATGTCTAGATTGTCATCCTGCTGTGAGATGTTCATTTCAAAATGGACACGATGCGGTGTTTACCTTTTCCGTCTTTGCCACTTCTATTGAGTCGCGTTCAATGACCACCATGATGTCGTCCACCTCCTTGCTAGCAACCACCAGCTGGGGCTGCAGTGCCTCCAGCTCCTGCTGCATGGTAGACACCTGGGAGGCAGCGTTCTGCAGCTTGTCCAGGCCCACCTCGTAACGCTTCTTGTTGCGGTAGACGATGCTGCAAGCAAGCAGTATGAGAACGGTGTCTTTTAACCTTTTAGCATTTGAATTACATTGTACTACACGGTATTCAAGTATTCAGTGTACTAAGTCTATAGTGTGCTTGTTTATTTGATTGCAGGGGCCAATTTTGTGAAGCAAATATATGTGAGGCACTGAAAAAAACGCTAGGCACTGAACATAGTAGTTAGTAGTCAAAATGTCAATGTTCTCCACTTTTATACATCATGGCTGATCATTTGAATTCTCTGAAATTATGGCAATCAATTCCATACCCAATGAACTAATTCCCTGCTTGAAGAATTCTTTGACAACAAGTACTTGGTATGGGTAGTCACCATTCCCAAATTGTTCAGATGCATTTGTACTAGGACCGTTTCAGGTTAAAAAAAAAACATAACAATGTTGTGTGGCGTTACTTTCTCTTCTTGCCGAGCAGTGACTTGAAGGTGCTGATCAGCTCCAGGTAAGATGTGGGCGTGACGTAGTTGTGTCGTTCCAGCTCGCTAAGGAAGCGTTCTGACAGAATGCGGGTGGTAGTGTGGAAGCGCTTGCACATGCTGATGCAGCCTTGCTGGATATCGTCGTCCAGCTCCACGTCATCTAGGAAGCGGGTCGCTACGGCCTGCAGGGCGTCCTCAGGCCAAGACTGTGGGAGGGGTTGAGAGAGAGAGATGAGAGAGGCAAATGGTGAATGGACTTGTGATTTACTTTTGAAGAGACCGAGAAGGTAACCTCAACCAATTCGGTTTCTGCGATTGATTCTCTTTACCTGGAACCAGTCGATGGTGCAACAGTTCACCAGTGACGGGAATTTCCTGAGTCGGTTACGGAAGGCGTCTCCGATTGGACTCATGGCCAGGACGATATGCATCTGCTCACGCACACGCTCAATGAACATGTTGAACAGGGAGAGAGGCGTACCGTCGGTCTGCTTGGACTTCTCTCGCTGCCTGCAAATCAAGAACGTTTGGGAGTTGGTATTCAGTGAATGCTAAAAGTTGTGTATTTCACCGGCATTATGGACGAAAATGTGATGTCTGTGACAGAGCAAATGAACCATGATAAATAATTAATGACTCAGAGAAATGATCCACAATTACAAGTCTGTAATGACCTTGACCATTACTAGATGATGGATGTAAAAGATTTGAAATATACATTTTCAGGTTTGAAGAGGCTGTGCTCTGACACCGCTGTCATGGACATTACGTTTTCTTCCATACCACTGGAATTTCCCACATGGTAAAATTCAGCATTTTACAAATTAAAGTATAAAATACGTATGATTATGATTTCATACCGGATGAAAAAAGTAACTTCTTGGGTTAAAGTGGACTAGTATACAAATTTGTACACTCTTTCCTTTTCAGATCCAAGACAAGTTAAATGCAAAGAATATGTCTTATGTGCATAAAGCCAGTGATTACAATATGTTTCTAGGGTTAAAATGTTTAAAGAAAACATGAAGATCCATGATTCCTCAAGAGCCTATTTAAAAGGGTTTACCAAACTTTGGCATTGATTCCAGTCTAGGCTCCAGTGTTCACTTTTTGTTATTTGAGGACCCTAATATGACTCACTCAGCATCAGGTCCAACTTGGATTCGGGTTTGAGCATCAAAGGCCCCTAAAATCATTCAGCAGACAGGGTTGTATCCACAGCTGGGTTACAAGCCGAGGTTTGATAAATGGCCTGTTATTCTGATTGGATAATACCCACCTGTCAAGCACCCTCATCTTCTCACATATCTCTTGTTTCTCATCGTTAGGATACAGGTTGGGCACCTCACCGGCATTCAACAGGTTGTTGATGTCTTCCAAGAAGGATTCTTGCTTGATCTAAGAAGTTGGTAATGAGTATAGAGATAATCATTATTGCTGTAAGTTGGGTTTGATTCATACAATTTGAAACGAAAAATAGAAGTATCTTTTCTTTTACTTTGAAATGTTTTGAGTGAAGATGAGCTTCCAGTAATAGCCTGCGCCATTTAGTCAATACAGTACACGTAAAACCATTGCTAAGATTATGATCTGACCCCCTCCAAACTGTTATTGTATGCAAAGGATGACAATGATGAAACTATAGTCTATCTACATGTATGTATAGGCTCACAACAGAGAAGGCGTTCCAGTAATTTGAGGTTAACTAGGTCAAATTTATTGTCATTGCACTACCAAAGACTCCCAGAACTTTTCTAGATTTTTGGGGGGAATTTGGTCTCTAAAATCTCTTTGCAACTAATAAGGGCTGAAAAGGTGTGTTCGTGAACAAAAGATTAAGATGTTCAAGACTTTCAAGGACTTTATAAAATAAGTCAAAGGTTCTTGAACCTGCAAACTTTAAACTCACCTGTGTGTCACTGAATAGAAACAACTCATGTCACTTCAAATTGCATTATTTGATAGACGCATATTAACGAAACTTGTGACATTCAAGTACCTTCAACGGCTTTATAAGTTAGTTCAAAGGTTCTAGAACTTGTGGAGGTTCCACTCCCCTGTATTTAACTACTACTCTCCCTCAGTGCACTTGCATCGGTCACTCCACATAACACAAGTTTACAGGGGCATCTTTGCAAAACTTCAAGACACTCAGGTAATTTACACGGCATGTCAAAGGTTCTAGAACTTTCGAAGGTTCCACTCACCTGTGTGTCACTGAATAGGAAGACCCCGTGCTGCTCCCCCTCGGTGCTCTTGCGCAGGATCATCTTGAGATCCTCCCGCCACTCAATCATGGTGTAGCTCTTGCCAATCTCTACCTGGAACAGCTCGTACTCGGCCATGTGAGCCGCTAAACGAGTCAGGGACTGCCGGCCACTGCCACCGACGCCTACCAGCAGGGCGTGGCCGTTGGGCTGCTTGATGATGCGGGCAATGCGCGACACGTGCTCCAGGGCAAATCTGGAGTGCAACAAGGAGGTTGTGTGGATGGCGTTGAAGGGCAAGTCAAAATATTCAACAAAATGGGGAAGGCAGCTCAAACAAATTATTTTTTTTTGCTGCAAGTCATACAAGGCACCACAGGTTTCTTAAACAGAGTGGCCCTCTAACACTGAGAACCAAACTTAAAGAAGGATTGTAGAATTAGCATTCCTTTAGCATGAACATTGAAAAACTTCCCAAAATGTTTGCCTGTTTCATGCAATCCACGAGAACTGCAGATTCATGCATGATCTGGTTACCCGTATGCCTTAAAAGTGCCCACTCTTTTCTCTTGTTACTTGTCAAGACAGCCCTCCTCACCAGATCATGTAGGGGCCAATTCTGCTGTTCGGGGATTCAATCATTTCTTTAAATCAACAACACTATTTTGTACATTCCATTGTATTCTAGTCCTTTGGCAATGAGTATACCAAAATGTAAAGTATATACCAAAATGTAAAGTAGTTAATAGTAGGAGTTAGGCTTGAATAATGAGACAATGTAGTTCTGAGCACTTGTGCTTTCACAAAAGGACTCTGACTTTTGAATACATTCAGAGTTAGCATAAACACTTTGCTAAGCATTGACATGCACCATGAAACTGGCCCTGTCAGGGCCCCATTTCATAGCGCTGCTTAACAGCCAATTTTATGCTTACCTAGCCTCCATCTATTTCATAGAAACTGTAAGCAGTAAGCACAGCAAAAGTATGCTTAACCAGAGGAAAAAGTTGCTTAAATCAGTGACGTAACAAAAGAAAAATCTCCATGCACGCCCAACCATTAGCAAATCCATGCCATGAAACCGTGCTTAAGCAGCAGCATGATTTTCTGCTATGGTAAGAACAACTTTTCTGCTTACTGTTTTGCAGCGCTATGAAATTGGGCCAAGGTCTATCAATGCAATGATGAGAGTGTGTTAAAAGCCCTATTCTCTTTAAATTCTGCAAAAGCCATGCCTATACTACCCGTATCAAAAATATATTCTCTCCATACCTGAAGAGGACAAGATTCATGGGTTTCTTGCTGAGGGCGTTGAACTCATCCAGGTGGCCCTCCACAATCTTACGCAGCTGTTCCACGTCCATGACCTCGATGTAGTTCTTGTTCTCGTTCTTGGGGTCGGTGAAGTCGCAGAAGAGCAAGCTGCGCAAGTCATCCTCAACCACCTTGCCGTCTCCGTCAAAGTCCAGGTGAGCAAAGAGCTGGTTGAAGTCCTCCTTAAGGTGGCTGGAGACCACGTCCTGCATGAACTTGACCAGCCAGCCGTGGTCATTGCTGTCTACTAGACGGTCATAGTAGACACGGAACACCTTGGGGAGTGGGTAACAAGACTCAAGGTTTGACATCACATACGTGGAAATGATTTTCAATGGAGTTTCCAATCAGGAGACGTTAACTCTGATATGGGCTTTGACCTTATCAACATAACTCTGCATGAGTTCTGTTCAAGAGGATCTCACTCCCCCAACTTCTTGCTTATTAGTACAGACGTCTTAGGCACTCAACCATTGAGTTGTAGGTCTCATACTTGTTTGTTATTTGGCAATAGAGGAATGTAAGTTGTTACATATTTCTTTTATTTTTTATTCAAATTCATATTTTTTATATACTTAAAGACTTTATGGAATTGCCATGGTCCAGTGGTTACGGTGGTTGACTCATGCACGATGGCGCATGGGTTCAAACCCTGCCAGGAACATGTGTTTGTGCCCTTGGGCAAGACACTTAACCACAATTACCTCTCTCCACCCAGGAGTATGAATGAGAACATGTGAGGGTAGAGACCAAAGTGCACTGATAACGGCTGCCGCGTGGTCTCGTGGCCTGAAGAACGGGGGATAATTGTAAAGCACTCTGAGATAGTTAATATGATTGAAAGCGCTATATCAGCAATACAATTTGTGTTTTATTTTAACAGAGTGTTATGTACAGGCAGCACATTTTCTGACGAATACAAAACTCGGTTTAAAAGTGAATGCAACAAAACACCTATATCCGATTCCTTAATCAATATCTGATTAGTATAATCAGCTGAGGTTAAAAAGTTTGCAAGGGGGTCAAGTCTATCATACCTCATGCACCCAGAGCCTCTTCATGACGGCCGGCGTCTCACAGTAGTCCGGCACCGACAGCAAGACGCCCTGGATGACGCGAGCAAAGTCACGCAGGTTGAAGAGGTAGTGGGACTTGGCCGGGGTGGGCAACAGGTTGGCCATGGTGGCCTTGTAGACCTGGGTAGTGGCATAGACGATGTGGTTGCCTACTGCCTCAAACTCCTTGCCGAAACCTCTGAAATAGGGGAGAGGAGAGATTCAATGGTATTAAAGGAATAACATGAAAGGCAGACAAATAGCTCGTGAAATTCAGGTGAGGGGGACACAGGGCTAACATTATTATGATTCTAGGTATGGCTTTGTAGAGATGGAGTACAAGTTAAACATCAAGAGTTATAAAGGGTGGACCATCAAATTATCTGAGAATCTTTCAACTACTCTTAAATGCTTAAATGCATGCACACTTGTAATTTGGGTTCTACAGTATGTCCCCTTTAGAGGGCACGTGTGGTCTAGCGGTAGACACCAGGCCTCATGATCGTGAGATTGTGGGTTTGAGTCCTGCCGTGACCATACGTGTTGTGCCGTCACAGGTGTGTCCGTCTGACTTTTTTTGAAATAACTACAAAACCATGAAGTCAATTTTGAAAATTTTTGATTGTGCAGATACTCCTTGTCCTTGGCCTACGAGTTTCATTTTATTTCCATCACGCCTCACTGCACAATGGTCAATTGAGCACAACAACATTTTTGGACACTGTGACCAAGTTCCTGCATGTTGTGAAAAAAGGCTGATGTGGTTTGGGATTGGGATTGGAATCATTTGCCCTTGAGCATTAAACTGATGTCTTGCCATGATGACTGATAGCCAGGCAAAAGATTCCAATCCAAACCGCAGCCCTTTTCACAACATGCAGGATTTTACACAGCTTGCATAACACAGCACTGAAATTCATTAAGGCAAGGAACTTGGTCACAGCCTCCAACCCCGGAGACTGTCACATGGCTACATCAGCTGCACGAAATTGTATAGTGGTCAGCAAATCATACGAAAGAAGAAGAAGACAGCCTCCAAAAAAATGTTGCTATAATCAATTAGGCAAGGATAAGGAGTATCTGCACAATCCAAAATTTTCAAAATTGACTTCATGGTTTGGTAGTTATTTCAAAAATAGTCAGATGGACACTTTTTTGGGGACATACTGTATAGTCGTTAAAAACACTGCATCTTTTAGCAATGTTCATGTAAGTGGAACGCATAATTCACCAAGCCTTACCTGGAAGTAATGTGCCAGTTCAGGATGCGCTTGAAGATGGTAGCCATGGTGTCGTCGTCAAACTCATTGATAGTGACGGTGTTGAAGTGACGTAAGAAGCGCGGGGTGATGATGTTACGGCCGCCGCCCGGCGGTCCCATGGCCGCAATCAGCTGGATGTCAGTCAGCTTCATAGCTGCGCACTCCTTGATGTCGTACCAGTTCCAATGGTCCATCCACTGGCGAAGCAGCTCGATGGGGGGCTGGGCGCCGTATTCCTCCCTGGCTGGCATGTTCAGATCATCCACAAACACAATCTATGGTAACACGAGTATAAACAATCCTAAGAATTCAAACAAAAAGCAGTAAACCTTTGTGGGCCCAATTTTATAGCTCTGCTAATGAAAGATTTCCGAAACTGAATGTAAACAGCAAGGAGCCTTTAATGTTGTCATATTCATCGGTTGTGAATAATGGCACAGATAAACATGTACATCAAAAGATGGGTGAATGATAAATGTGATGCGATCAAGCTACATGAGGCATTTGTCGGGAATTTTCATTTGGAGATACAGGCCAAAATAGGGCCACTTCATCACATCACTTCATCACATCTCTTGGTGTTCCGACTTCCATAATTTTTTAACTAAAGGTGGTATCACCATGCGGTTTTCACAGCAGTAATGCTGAGATTGTGCTTTTTTCAAATCTGTAATAAAAAAATTTTGACCATGGTCGACAAACGACTCATTTACCTTGATCGCATCACAATTGTTGGTTCCGGGTTCATTGTACATTAATTTTGAGAATTTGAGAAGTGTGCTACCTATCAGACACAAGCGCATACTTTCTAACCACTTGGGAGTGCGGTCCATCAGAGTGTCCAAACACTAAATCATTTTCTACCTCATATATCTATTCCAAATAGTACCTCCTGACAAAAGTAAAATGTGCATTAAAACGTTTTATTTATTTTTTTACTGTTATTTATCTATCCGTCTTTGGCGCTTGCACTGCTGGATGATGTATGAAATAAATAAATTAATAAAAAAAAAAATAAACTAAAAATGTATTTTGTTCTCTCACATGACCTATGTGTAAAGCAGCTTGTCTTTTTTTTCAGTATCGAGATTACGTACACTTAAGAACAAGTACATAAATCTGCTGGTAACAAGTTCAAAAAGTTATTGTACTACACTTGTGCTGACAAAGTATTGTTGATGTACCCTAACGTGGCGTGGCCCCCAACGTGGCGCACTTTGATTTTTTGCCTGTAGCGCCTACCTAGAGCAAAATTTTTAACTGAAACTTCACAGAAAATGAAATTTCATCAAGTTCTAAAAACTCCTATTCATAAATCGCGAGTTTATTTACCCATAACAAAGTTAGAAGAAAAATGTATTTTTGGCGTGATTTTCCGATTTTATTTTCAAGTGCAAAGTGAATCCTTTGAAAATGCCCCGAAAAAAAAGAAAATAATTTTCTGACAAACATCTGGCTGGGTATGTAAGTAGAAATAATAATTATTTATCAGAATTTATCAAGTTTACAGAAATTCTTAAATGTTAATTTGGATTTTTCCGAGATTTATTCAAGTGAGCCACGTTAGGGAACACTCCGCCAATTTGTGCCCAATTTCCAGACGCCACCGTTTTTGAATTTCGGATTAAATTTTATGAAACCAAAATTGTTCACAGAGGTTAAATAGCAAGCCTTAAATAAGGTAAAAGTACTAGTATTTTACTGCATGAATTTGAGGTTTGTCAACAAAGAGGTTTGGAAACACTACACGAGGAAAGTCGGGTAGGTTTCGAAGTGCGCCACCTTAGGGAACACGACTTTATAATGTAATTGTTCTCTGAAACGACCTACATGTATAGCATCTCATCTTTTTCCTTAAGTATCAAGATTACGCACAGTTAGGAACAAGTACAAACATCTATTTAGTAATAACCTTTGAATAACAAGTTCAACAAGGTATTGCACTACACCTGGGCACGTATTAGTTTTAGATGTTGAAGGTGTCAGTTTTGTGTCATATTTCAGAACAAGCCAAAATGGTAACTACCTGTAGGAATGTTTGAAGCTCCGTTTCATATTTCAATGAAACTCACTTTAGTCCAACATAATGACAACAAATGTTACATTTCCAGTTTATAAGAGTGACATCTTTTTTCATCTGTTGATGGCTGGACTTACTGTCTTTTTGCCGAAGGGTGGCCCAAAGACTCCCTTACGTCTCTTGTCCAGCTTGGACATGATGATGTTCTGTGTCTGATTGGCACTAGTCTGGGCAGAGAAGTTGATGATGATGGGTTTGTACACCTCCTTGTCTAGCTTGGTCAGAATGAAATCCTACAGGACAAGAAAAAAAAGAGAAAAAAAACAAAGTTGGTCATTAAGTAGTTGTTCAAACTTCACAGATATTTCTCATTGATGACAGGCCGTTAGATGACCTCTCAAGTTTTGCCTATGGCACTGATGCTAGCATTTATAACAAAAATGCCACCTTGCTTGTGGCAAATTATTTCAAATGTACACACGGTAGGTTTAAGAACACAATTGAACAATAAATTAATTTTAAATGTCCAATTTAAAAAAAAAACGATATTTACACAGATTTGATTTGGATAACACCTTAACTTGAAGGGACACACAGAAATGTACAAATATTTCAACGAAGTCTTTCTTCCACAACTAAGTAACTCAGTAAACAAAGCATTTTGCCTAAAACATAATTTTTACAATCTCCACTGTGGATTTTATGATTAATGAAGCATGCACAAAATTTGAGATGCTTTGCACTTTTTGCATGTGTTCCAAAATAACTGTGGGTAAATAAGCAGATTAAAGATTTTGGAAATCTTAAATTTCAAAAAATTATGATGACCCTGAGAATTGTTCAAATCTTTAAAGTTCTGCTACTCACCGTGACGTAGATTGACTTTCCAGTACCGGTTGGGCCAACAAACAAGCAGGGTTTCTGATGAGTGACCAGCATCTTCATGAGCGCAGTGGCTCTTACTGTCTCAATAGTAGGCACGATAATCTTGTTGGCGACGGCGTCCTTGGGGATGGGTGCCGCGTCTTTGATTTCCTCCACCCAAAGCTCCCAGCGACCGATACCCTGTGGATAGCAAAAGATTTTGTCTTCAAGATGACAGCATGCCAGTAAAAATAATTTCACAGGGAGTATCCGCTCTGTTCACAAGTACCCCCTCACCGGCAAAGGAAGTACACTTGGGGGTGACCCACCGACGCCATCTTGCCCGACTGCCCGCGCGGCCGTACCATTGTGTGTACATAGTACAAATCCCCTGGTGTACGTGCGTCACACCCAAGGAACGGTGCGCGTCAACCAGCTAAATGTCCCGCCCATGGGACGTAGTTGTTAGGAAAAAGGGTGCCCTCTTTGTTAGCGCATGGAACTCATATTGCCATCCCCATCTTTAAACCAAGTAAGCTTTTCAACAATATTTTTTCCAGTTACTTTTTAGATAGCTGCAAATGATCTACTCTGCCTTCAATGCAGTAGGTTGACTTTTTCCATGCTACCACATAAACAATATTGCTACTCTATGATACGCTTTTGATGGCATATGGTAATGTGGATTCCCCCTATTAAATTAACCCTTGTGACCATACTTTGCCTTTGGAATGCCTTGTTACGGTTCAATTGAATAGGTTGGCCCGTAATTGAATTATTTGTCACTTGTGAAGATCTGTGATTTATTTTGAGATCACATTGTGACTGAAATGCGATGACTTGTGACTGACTTATGAGTGACTTGTGATTGACATGTGATGACTTGTGATTGACTTGTGATTGACTTGTGGTTGACTTGTGATTGACTTGTGGTTGACTTGTGGTTGACTTGTGATTGACTTGAGATTGACTTGTGGTCCACTTGTGATCCACATGTGATGACTTGTGATTAACTTATGATTGACATGTGATGACTTGTGATTAACTTATGATTGACATGTGATGAATTGAAATGGACTCACGAGTGATTTGTGATTGACTTGTCAAGACATGTGCTTGACTTACGATTGACTATGAATGGACTTATCGTCGCGTCCGTGCAACAAGGTCGTATCTCCTAAATAGCATGTGACGTCATGTACATGAAACGCGAGTTTTCAATGTCAAAAAGGTCGTATCTTGCTTAAAATAACCCAGATGTACACACAAAGTAAATGGACGCCATGATATGCGAGATATGACCTTGTTGCATGGAGTGTATTCGCGCGAGATACGACTTTGCTGCAGAATCGAGTTACGGCCTTGTTGCACTGATGCGAAGTTATAATGACGTGACAATAATTATCTAAGGGATCCACTGACACCATTTACAGTCATGAATCTGACAGATTTTTTCCCCCCACCTCTTTGACGAAGAAGTAATCGTAGACGTTTCCCTCCTTTGGGATGGGCATGGTGAAGTTCTTGAGGGGAGGGTCCACAAACTGGATGATGTGGAACTTGCTGCGGGACTCTTCCGACAGACCACCTTCCATGATCTCTCGGAAGAGAAGGTCAAACTTCTTACGTCCCTCCGCGCCAATGGTGGCTCCGATGGACCAGACGAAGGAGAAAAGGAAGATGCCCTGGAAATAAAGCATAGAAAATAATCACTTTACATCAAAATCACTGTTATCCACTGAAAACCCTGAAAAATAAATTGTGAAATTAATGAAACAAAAAACAAAACAAAAAGGATTTTTGACAGACCTCAATCCACGAAATGATTTCTCTCTCATCCATCTTGCTGACAGCGGCTTCATCTTGAAACTCATCCATAAGACTGTCCATAAGATTCATCAAAGACTTCACCAGGTTGGTGTCGTTTGACGGAGAAAGTTCCTGAAAATTAATATGCAGCAAAGAACACGAGACGATTAGCAATGCCTATCCAAGTGTTTCTTGAGTTAAAAGTGAAATTGATGCCTTTAAAAAATAATGTCTCTTTTTTTCTGAGTTTTTTTGCTGTTGAAGAGTGCCACCTTTTGTCTGATAGTGTCCAGGATCATTAGCTTTGAACAGCACCTCCAATAATCACATGATGCCCAGTGCCACCCCCCCCCCTTAATTTTGCAACGGCCGGCATACTGGAATAAAATTCCTGGCTATTATACCATCCAACACAGAGGGTCTGTTTGCAAAATCATGGGCACCCCCCCCCCATGTCCACTACAACCCTCGACATGATCTCATTGAATGTACCATGGAATGAAAAATCCAAACAAAGGACTTCAAACTTGAGCATAATCACTAACTCCTATTCATTAATACCTTGACTCCACTCTTGCGGACAAACTCCAAGGAAGCAGGGAGCATGCGGTCAAACATGTCAGCTATGATCTTCTTGTGGTCATCAGTCAAGGAAGAAGGCAGGGTGTTGAACCAGGAGACCATGAGGGGGCGCCAGCCTAACATGTGAGGCTCCATGTAGATCATACCGCAACGGGAGACCTGTGGAGACAGGGAACCATACATGTTACTCTTATAATGGATTGTGCGCACAGTGGTTGATGGCACTGTGTAGCAGTAAAGGAGACATCGCCCACCTTTTGGCTAAGCCAAACCCTTTATCCAGTACCAATTAATCAATAGATAAAACTTTACATATCCCAATGGACATGTGACCACATTAGTCCCTGTACCGCCCCAAATTGCGCTGCCAATTACTCCCTGTACCACCAAAAAACAACCCGAGCACTCTATGATTTTATGGAGTCTTCAGGGAATAAATACCATGTAACACAATTAACTATAGCTGCTGATGGGTTAAAAACTAAATTATACTTTTAAGTAAAAAACGGCTAATTGCATCAGCTGGGACAAGAATTTCCTGTGGACGAGAATGACATCCAGGGAGCTAGGACCAAAAATTCCCCCCACTGTTTTAAGCCAAGAAAACATGTGATAAACACCGACATTGGAACAAATTCCATGGATTTGCTTATCATAGGGAAAAAATCATCGCCAAATATTGTAGAACCTCTCCACTTTACAGAAAATTCATTTCAGACAAAGGCAACCCTAACCCTCCTCAATCCTCCAAAATTAAGTGGTTGCATTTGGTGGATTTCGGTGGATTTGAGGCAGTATGCCTTTGAAGTGCACGTTTTTATTGATGGATGTGTCAAGGTCTTGAGCTACATCTTGCATTATGTTCATTCACAGAGATACTGCTTCTGAATTATTCCGCACCACTTCTGAAGTAAGTTTGATGATTTTGGAGGATTTGAGGCAGTATCCGAGTCTTACGTGGAAGAAGGTGGGGAATTTTGAAGGGTTAAGCATGCATCCAAGCCAAAAGGGCTTTAGGGGGTACATCAAATAATTGATGACCTGATAACAAATTAACTGTTTTGGCTCACGATAAAATTCACTGTTTTCCACTCATTAAATCCATGGGACAACAGATAGGTCAAAGGTCAACTGCAGGCAGACACTCACAGTAGCTGGGGAGGCCACCTCCAAGTCCATGGGTTCAAAGATCAGGTTGGTTGTTGGTGCCAGCTGGATGATTTCTCCACTCATGAGGCAGAGTTTCTTGTTGTCGTCCAGTACGGTGTTCATGTTCTCAATCCAGATGGCATCTACTGGGCCGTCAAAGATCAGCCACTTGCGGTCAGGAGTCTACAATAAAAATTGACCCCAAAAATCATCAACTCCATCAATTTAATGGTTTTACAGATGCAACGCAACTTTATCTTCCAAAATTTGTAACTCTGCAGAAATTTTTCTTTTTGTGGCAAAAGTAAATTTTTTTTTGGTTATAATTTTTGTGTTTTGTTTACCTCTTTCTTTGATGATACATGTATCTCTTTTTCAAGTATTTGAGTCTTTTTCAAACAATATTTGATTATATTTGTGCCACATTTCAACTAAAAACATTGAACATTCAAAATGTCACATAAAACCAACAAATCAAGAAATGGATATCTGACAAAAGCTTTAATTTAAAATAGGCAAAATTGACTCATTTCTGCAGAGGTCACATTTGTCTGGAAAATGAATTAACGGACGAGAATGTTTTCAATAACACTGGGTTATTTGCCAGTTCGACATCTCGCATGAGCAATGAATTGTGGGACAGAGTTTTGGACAAACCAACCCACGTGATGCTGTAAGCCTGCTATCTATTGGACTAGGACCGTGTGACATGTTTTGTTTATCAAAGAAATGGCATTGTTCATGAGAGTTTGCACATGCGCGAGTGAAATGTCGTATATTATAGATATAACGTTATGTCAGTGAAGATCTTTTTAGCCCCGCCCACAAGCATGTGGGTGACAGACAACATGTGCGCCTATTCAGTGCCACACTTGCATGTTCTAGTCGTGCATGGTGGACTTTAGAGCATGCATGACTGACATTAATTGGGGTGGTGATTGGTCCAAAACAGCATGAGGCTGGGCCTCATGGATTGGTCACTTTAGAATGGGACAACTCACCGTCGACGAGGCAAAGGCTCTGTAGCTGACCGCCAAGATTCCATCTGACCACTCATGAGACACGGGGTCAAACTGACCGTACAGCTGACCCATGGTGATGGATTTGGGGTTGATGACCGTTATCTGTACCTTGTTCTCCTCCATCAGACCCTGCAAGGAAGACAACAAACTTCCATTTTACTTTTTGTTGAATTGGAGAAAAAACAATTAATTAACAAGGTTTATGAAAAAATTATAACTGAAAAAATATTTCTAGTACTGGGGCATAAGGAATCATGTGATTTTAAGTAATCAATGTGAACATGTGTTATTATGATTAAAATTGCTGGATCATTTGCTTCTTTACCTTTTCAGTGATGTCCCCCAGAGCTTTGGCGAGAACACGGTAGGCCGAAGTCTTGCCGCCAAAAGGCTCACCAACAATCATGAAGCCGTGACGGACAATCATCATTTCATACACCTGCAAAAGACAGTAAAACACTGGCCATTACAGACTTTGATATATCTGGTAAAATCGCTAGGTGACAGAGATTTATCCATGTCAAAGATGACAGACTGGTTTAGCTAGCGGGAGAATCAATCTTTAACTTTGGGAGAAAAACAACAAAATGTACAGGACAATCTTGTGCATTGATAATGAGGTAAGTCTGTGCAAGCAATAAACAACTGCTTCCACCTTTCAACTTATGTAACTTATCTGATAATTCTCCTCTGTTTTATAATAAGTCTACTTATTAAACAAACAAAACACAAAATCAAAACAAAAGTGAAGAATGTTCAAGAGCATTACACATTCAAATCTAAAGTCATCAGTCTACACTTCAAATTAATCAAACATTAGTCAGAAAATTGACCACAGCATTTTTTAACCAACCCGTTTAAATATTTTTATATAAAATTAACCCTTAACCTTTTAGTCACTGAACCGTCCCAAACCGTCCACTTGGGCCTGAAAACGATATGGTCTTATGGAATCATCAGTAAATAAGCACAATATAATACAATAAGTGCTAATTGATCAAATCTGTTTTTGGTGAATGGCATTATTAAATCAACGCACCTGTTGTATCTTATCCAGGAAGACGTCTGTCATCTGTAGGTTCATCTTCTCACAGTTCTCTTGTATTGCCTCAGTCAGTGTGGCGTAGTCTGGCTTGGGTAGGACCACACCCGGGAACAGATCAGAAGTAATACCCTGCCATGGTAACACCCAAAATATACATGTGATTAGTGTTTGGCTCAATAGCCTCGGCCAAGAGTGAGTTCAGCGAGGTTCAACTAGCGCTTGATTTGTGATGTCACTAATGCATGAGCATCAATAGCAACGTCCCAACGCCTCTAGCCAAACGATGCGAAAACGTCATCACAAAATACAACTGGCTCCCTGTTGTGTATTATGTGCAGAGCCATTTCTTCAAACGTATAATAAAAACAAAAATATGGGAAACAACTGCTTGACAAAAAAAAACCTGATTCAGTCATTTCAAGTCATCATTCACTGCATGGCACACAAGAAATGTATTATTACTTGAAGGGGGATGAGCTCATAAAAAAGATAATGGAACATGAATAATAATCATAACTTACAGCAAAAAGAGGGAGATCGTGGGACAAGAACTTGGGCAGGTTGACGTCGTTGATGGAGCGCAACATCAAAATATCCTCATCTTCATCTGGGTATTTCAACTGCAAGAGAAACCCCCCCCCCATAAAAACATTCAATTAATGATAAACAGAGTGATGTTCCACAGATTAACTCCAGGTAAAGAAATGATTGTCATACTTCAATTGTACAATTTTTGGTGCAAACTTTTAGTCCTCCAAATTTAACAGTTATGCACTGTTCGTCATCCCAGTCATCATCTCTCTTTCCAAATGCAAAACAAGAAATGCGTATGCACTACAGTAGAATGCAGCTATAATGTAAATCACGGGACCAACAGAAAACGTTCGTGATAGCGATTCTAATATGCCGGTGCTCACTTTTTAATAAATAAATAACATGCCCTGGTTACTGTAAGACGACTTCTATTGAATTATGTAGTTACACAATTTTTGAGCATACTAACCACAGCAATAGGTGGCTTTCCCCTTCCATTCCTTGGTGAAATAATAGTCACTTGTCACTCTTCTGTCGACATTTTTCAACAACAGTGTTCGGTGCATTTTGTAAAAAAAAATTCGGGAGCCAAATATGATGTTCGGTATAGTGGTGTTCCACTGTATTAAGAAAGTCATGTGTGTCATTCTGAAACTAGAGTGGGACCTGATATCCCACAGTATAAAATGCCACTTGTATATCTGCGGCGCCAGTCTTATGTTGACTGTGAATAAAATTTGATCGTTACAATTATTGTTGGAAATACACAGAAAATATTGCTGTTGTGTGAAATGTAAACAAACGGCAAATTTGTCTACATTCTCTTCATAAATGTAGACGCTCTGCAAGTTCTCTGTGACCCAGGCCTTTGAAAATTGTCTGGTAATATGAAGGAGCAAATTCTGGCAAATTCAAGCATGAGGAACAGAAGTACTCCAGACAGACCTTCAAGTTTCCGGCAGCAGTCAGCACAGACTTGACAGCCCTCATGCCGTAATCGTAGTGGTGCTGGGAGGACAGTTGCTCTGAACACAGACGGTAGGTGGCAACGATCTTGACGGACAGAGGGCGGGCTTTCACAAAACCGCAGGAGTACAACACGATCTCTGCGATCATGGCGTAGTCGGGCACCATCATAGCCACAGTGCGAAACAGGGCCTGAAGCCAAAAGGAACCAGATATGCTGTGTCACTGGCAATTCAGACGAATGTGCTACATCATGCTTAAGAAATACAAAACTGAATTTGTGTTCAAGCATGACGTGATATCTCTGCAAACAAGTGTTAAGTCATGTAGTTTATTCTCATGATAAACGACAGATTTACAAATTAGAAGAAAATCCACAGTTTCTCTTTCAGGTCTGTTTGAATCATTGATATCTGCTTTCTAAACAGTTGAAACTAAACAGATTGATTTGGTTCCTCTGATTCATAAATTCATTTTATTCCATTATTTGGGGTTTTTTTTGTAGGAAGTAACAGATTCCTCTCAGTACTGACCAGACCAACGGAAGTCAAGTACACTCTCAAACTATGACCATTTTATGTTCACCTAAGCCCATGAAATGAATGAAACAGCAATACCTTTGTAATATTCACTTAGTAGTGAGAAGATGATTTCTTTAAATTTTTGACTGACTTACTTTGAGGTTGTCAGGAAGTTCGGATCGGCCAGCGTAACCTGGGTTCATGGTGATGAAGACGGAGCAGGTTGGGTCAAGTTTGATCTCCGTTCCCTCAAACAGCAGCGTGCTGGAACCAGAGGTGATGCCTACAATGCAAGAAATGATCAAAGCCTCAAGTTACAAAAAAAAGTGTGCAGTAAAAATCACTTCCAAGGTCGACATTGTAATTGCTGTTAACTGAAAAAGATTTGAGGAGCAGTAACGAGAGCAGCTCCACTTGAATAGGGGACCTGGCAAAGGACACTACAACACCGCAGACAAATAAACATACCTCTCTGAATAGTAAGGATCTGCTGAGCCACCACAGACAGCACCTCCAGGTCGATGCGGTTGAATTCATCAAAGCAGGACCAGGCGCCGCAGGAGGCCAGTCCCTTGAAGAACTTGCCCAGGGCCAGGTAGTCCAGACCGTCTGAGCAGTTGAAGACCACGCACTGCTTGGCCACAGCCTTGGCTAAATCCTTGGTGGTCTCGGTCTTGCCGGTGCCGGCAGGACCCTCGGGTGCCCCTCCCAGGTGGAGGTGCAGGGCTCCAAACAGGGTTCTGTTGGGAAGTCACGACATACAAACATTGTTGCTTGTTAGGAATCAAATAACAAAACATCCACCACCAAATTTTAATACTTGTTGCTTGGGATGTTGGAAGGGCATGGAAGAAATAACACACAAGATAACCTGGGTTGGGCTTGAACCTGTGACCTCCTGACGTAGTGCATTTATTTTCATGTGAACATCAAGATGGCAAAGGTTAGCTTTCCCGGCTGGTTTGAATTATATATAATTTGTCAGGATTTTTTTCATAAGCAAAATGGAAAACAAAGAATGCTGGCTACTGATTCAGCAAAGAATCTCAATTTTGTGGAGGGGGAGGGGGTGGAAACGCAAGCAACAGTATACATGTTTTTAGATGCTGATATCTCTCGGACTCTTTTGGAGAGAGTCCTGGGTGGACTTCTGAAATCAAAGCTTCAGCAATCAAAAGCTTTTACCTGTAGCATCTGTCCGTGAGGGGGGTGATGACCAGACGTCCTGAGTTGCCCAGGTACTCGTAGCCGTAAGCCAGCATGGAGTTGATCATGCGAGTCAGCATCTGATCCTCCACCCAGTAGTAGCGCAGCTGGCTCAGCCAGCTGAAGTCGTTCTCACTGCTGACTTTGTCCTGGACCAACTGGAACAAGACGTCTCGGGCGTGCACGTCCAGCACCACCAGGGCCCCCAGTGTGGTCCGGTTCTGCTTGTTGAGTTTTCCTCGCACCAGCTCCACGATGTCGTCAATCTGGCTGTTGTTGAGCTGCAGGTAGGCTTCCAGGTCCTTCTGGCCCGAGCGGATGGCCTTGTGGATCTCGTCGGTCCAGTACTTCTGGGAGATGCAGAGCACGGCCTGGCCGGGCCACTCGATGACCCACTTGATTCGCTCTCGCTTGGCGTAGGCGTCCATGCACTCCTTGATAACCTGTTATCACATGCATTGAAGATACGAGGTAGAGGCATTTCACAACACAGATCGGCTAGCTGTTAGAGGTGCAAATCCTGTTTTATTTCTGCGCATCATGGATAAAAGTTGACATTCGTTACTGTCTAGTGGTATTCATTTTGTACTAAGCGACAACACCACATTATTTTGGACACTGGTGTTCAAAGTGAATTTACTTCTAATTATGAAGCTTCTGAATGCATTTGTGTTCGTTTCTTTCCCCGCATATTAACAGAAGAATAAATATCTGTAGTGTCACATATGCACGAGTGGAACGTAAACTTCAAAAGTGGATTCTTTGAGGCAAATGCTTAACAATTGAGCATTGTATTGGTAAAATTAGTGATTAAGTTTAACTCTGCAAAAACATAATCAATCCAAACTAACATTTCAGTGTAAACCAAAAGGGCAAAATCAACATTTCTTAGTTCCTCAACATCATATCACTTCTTGGGGTAGGGACAAGGAGATGTCAAGCATATGCAGTATATGCAAGCAAATACCAAACAAAATACACTGGAACGTTAATTCCCATGTGTGCGTGAGACGGAAGTAACAGTCCTTACTTTGTGCAAGCTCTTGATCATAAGTCCCTCCAGCTCCAACAGCCATTTCTCCACCTGTCCCCGAGCCTTGGAGGTAGAGATGGGTTCATTGAGCTGCACCACCTCCCCCTCGCTGCTCTTCATGTGAGTGATGTCTAAGATGTCAGTGAACTCTAGCGAGGCGATACCCTCAAAGCACTTCTTGAGATGGGGCTGGACCCGGGTCGGATCCTTGGTCTCTGACAGGATCTCAAGCAGCTCGTCGTTGGACAGGAAGAAGAAGCGAGGGAAGTAGAGACGCTTCTTCTCCAGGTAGTCGTTGAGGCCCTGAGGGGAGGATGTGTGTTAAACATCAAAGTTGGTAAGAGAAAAATGCAGAAAAATCATGAGTGGTAACTTGAGGTTGAACCCTGAGGTACCCTGTAAAACCTTGTACAACCTCGAGGTAAACCTCGCATGACAAATTATATCATTTTGCATTATCCCCTTAGTTAGACAGGGCTGCTTTATTATTTGTTCATTCATCGTAATCTTAATTGGGTACCTTTTGGATGAGTTCCAGCAGTTCGTTAGACTTCTTTAGTCTCTCCAGTATCTTCTCAATCTCGGTGACGGCCAGCACATGCTTGTCCTGAACAAGAAGAAATACAGACAAGTACTTGATGAACATTTTTCCAAAGTAGATTTCTCTGTTATGATTCTCATATTAAGTATAGGGGTGGTCTGAAGAATGGAATACAGAATCTAGTTCAAGCTTCTTGGATTGCCTGTGACACTGATTGCCTGTTTCCTTCTTTGTTTCTTGTTTTGCAGCTGTCATCTTGAGTGGCGTTTGGCCTTGCGATTGGCCCGCCCATGGGAAAAGAGAAGGCATGAGAAGAGAAGTACCATGTGAATGTCCTTTCTCCGGCTTGGTTCATCACAGCTACATAGGCATACTTTTTTTTTTCTTTTCTAAAAAATGAAAATAATTTATGACTTCTGCATGCAGGATCACACAGATGATCTGAATCTTTGCTTATGGTATGTTATTGCCTATCATATTTTTAGAACTTTATCTGCATTTGATTATCTTGAAATCAGGGGAAAATGAAGTTTTGTTGCAGTTACAAACCCCAGTGAATGTTCGCTGACATATATTTAACTTGCAAACGACCGCTCATTAAGCTCAGCCTCAAGATGTTTGACCAATCATAGCCGTGATATAGGTGTGGTATGCGCACACTAAAGTCCAACTTGCGTTCATGTGTGTATGATGCAGGCAGCTGGAACATGCAGTGTGTCATTAGAAAGAAGCATGTGCATAGTGGGCAGGGATTAATTCAGGATTTGAATGTCCTTTAAGAGTCCGGCTATGAATACCTACCACCACTGCTGCCTTCATGATGTCCCTCCAGTTCTTGTCCACGGTGGCGAAGCGCCTGCCCTCCTCAGGCATCTGAGCCATGATGTCTGGGGAGCTGAAGATGGGTTCCAGGTACAGCCAGGTGGCCTGTACCTTGAGCCACTCGTCAAGGATCTCCTGCAGGAGCAGTAGCTTGCCTTCCCAGTCCCTGGAGGTAAGGACAGAGAAATATGGGGAGAAACAGCTTGTCATCAGTAATAATCAAACTAAACTATACTATCAGCTTTTATCTGCTAAAGTGATTGGTATGGATGTGAGAGACCTTCGTGTTATCTTTGAGGAGGTGACACTGAAAAACTTAAGTCTATCATGCAGGACCCCACCCATCCAATTAATCACCTGTTAAGCCAAAAAAATAGTTCTGCTTCTGGTTTCCCTACCTACCCTACTCTGACAAGCCCCTACCCTAATTTTTTTATGGGAAAAATGAGAAAAAAACACCCAAAACCATCAATTACCACCTTCTACCCTTGACAACACGCAGATGCCTCCATATGATTGTACACACAAAAATTTGCCCCCAAAAAACCCAAATTCCCTACCTACCTACCCTATTTTTGAATGCCATGTAATCGGAAGCAGAAGTATTTTTATTTGCCTTAACTGTGCAGAAATCTGGCAGAATCCGGCCTCTATGCACAAATACACAGCATTATTTACAAACCGGTATTCGGGATTTTATTGAGAAATTACACTTGTTTTTATCTCTCAAAGTCTAAACCAAAAAAGTTTTTGTACCTCACCTAATTTTTTTTGAGAAATTTAATTAGTTAGTTCCTTCAAGTGTATCTGATGAGGGAAAGTTCATACTTGATCTCATTTTCGAATGGCTTGATGAACGGGGAGCCTCTCATTGTCTGGGTCTTGACAATCTGGTCGTCCAACAGGACCTGGATGTCATCAACTGAGGACAGGATCATGGTGCCGGTCTCACGGTAGGGAATCATGACAAACTCCATCTGTAGGACAGACAAACACAGAGATGGTCTTAAGCAATCTTTAAATTCAGAGTCCAAGTTTCTAAGCAAAGGAAAAGTGCGGCTTTGGTTATACACTTTCTCAGGGCAAAATAAGGTTGAGAAACAGTTGCATGTATTATGCATAATGTTGCATTCTGGCTGAACACTTTTCGGTTCTTTGTTCTTTTATTTAATACTTTCTTATATTATCATTGTATAAATAGTGTACGTTAAACAAAATGTCGAGGACGACATTTTCTCTCGAGGGGGAATAATGTGACGGTTGCGATGCGAACCCCCCTCTATTTATTTTTACATTACGTAATCGTTTTCTGTTATTTAAATTAGCGAGCGCCCTCTTGGTTTTGTAAACCAGTTCGCGCGCTTTCCACATTTCGTCATTCTGTTTTCGGTCGAAGACCAAGTAACACGGTGTCTTCGTTCCTCAACAGGTAATGATCTTTTTACATTTTACCTCAATCTTTCTCATAATAATAACTTATATTAATTCACAGTTAACAGGTACTATCCTTGAGTAGATTTAGATTGCTCTTAGGTCATATTAGTTGATTTTGGAAGCATATTTGATTATTTCAGGATATTGATTGACTTGTGATTTTTCATGTATTCAAGAATTCATTTAATTATCTTATCGTAAGAGTGATAGATATTTCGATATTGTAGAAGAAATTCAGCAGTTCATTTCTTCATTATTATATAAGATTGGATTAATTATCTTGTATTTATTGGGTTTTCACAGTAAAATTCAATATGGTGGACGCTGCCCGAATTTAGGCGCAAACCGCGGGATCTTGAGTAAATATTGATGAATCCTTTTTGGTATTTAGTATCTAGATTATTTCATAAGTATTTTGTACAGTCATTCTTTTGTATTTTGTATATTTGATTCTGTTTTCGGTCGAAGACCAAGTAACACGTTGTCTTCGTTCCTCAACAGAAATAAACCAGCACAAACTGAGAATCAGCCGTTCAGCCCGTATTACTTAGAAGGGTCACACAAATTTGAAGCCTTTAAAATTGCCAGCAGATGAATCACAAATGAACAAGAAGATTATATCCGAATCTTTAAATCAATGCTAATTGTTAGATCAACGGCAAGATAAATTATATCTATCAAATACAACACTAGGGGAGACTGACATGTTTTACTCTTAATTTCCAGTATTATGTACAAATAAAACTGCCGCAAGTGGGATTGGAAAATGTCAATGCCAATGTTAAAAAGGCCTGAAAATTGGGTGACTGGTTTGAGAGATGCATTTCTTTCTAAACTGATAACACCTTTCTCTCAGATTCAAAAGGTCTGATTTCAGACTTTAGTCTGAAAAATCCCTGCACCCTGTGTTGGTGTTCTCCAAACTTTCCTAATAGAAAAGTATTTTGGAGGATGCACATTCAGATCAAGCTTCACTCATTATTACTTGTCCAACCAAACAATGTTTTGGCAAGAATGTCTCAATAATGGACCCACCATTGGTTTGTGTACATTTCTCACATTGCATGTGACTGAGTTTGATGGAGCTATCATGGAAAACCTGACCACTGTCGTTATCCACTTGGTCAACGCACACTGTTTGATTGACGACAGGAAGGGTCCACTGTTGGGATTATTCTCAAGTTCTGTAAAGATTGATTAGGATGACGATTAAGACTCACCAAATCCCACTCCCCCACCATCTTCTCCATTGCCTTCTCCAGGGAGTACTCCTTGCTGGCCGACTCACTGATGCTGTCAAACTTGGGCAGGAAGGGCTCCAGATTCATATCAATCATCTTGGACAAGGTGGTATCCTGAAGCCAAGAACCAACGGGAAAAACAATTCAATGACTAGCATGCAAGATGTTAGGGACAAAAAGGGCAGAGTATTGTTAAGGTAAGGGAAAGAAATTAATTTGTTTCGATCAGATTTCAAAAACGGTAATGTATTTTTTAACTCGATGTTATTATCTAATCATGGGTGAAGTGAAGAATATGTGAAAGTGTCTTGCCAAAGCTGAAGCACAAGGATCTCTTCAAATGGTTTACAAACTGCTAAAAAACTACTGCCTTTTGGACAAGTTTACAGCTCCAAATGGGCAAAGCTAACTCTCCTTGCATGACCAATTTTCATCTGAACATACCCAAGTCAGCAACATCTTTTCAAAGAAAAATTACAAGCAAAAATGTAAGTTACATTGCTGTTCAGTCCATCACAAGTCCTTTGCAAGTCCACTGCCACATAAATCACGAATCTAATGACAAGTCAGGCCACAAGTAACAGCGGATGAACAATATCAAAGGAATGCCTTTGCCAACATTTTATTTGAATAGTTTGCGACTTGTCTTGGGGCTGGATGACTTGTCACAGACTTGTGAGGACTTATGATGGACTCGATCACAAAACTGATACGGCGGTAACGGCACTTGAGTTCTTCAATCAATCTATTTCTTCACTGTGTACTTGTAAAAAGTCCAGTAAATTGAAGACCTACCTCATCTGGCTTCAACGGGAACCCGACGATATCAGACATAGACTCCCAGTGACGGTCCCTCAACCCAGGGTTGCAGAGAGCCGCCACCAGTGGGATGTAATCCTTGAAGGTCTCCACTTTGTCCTTCATGCGCGAGGCAATCTTCTGGGCCATGGGTACGTCGCCGAAGGTCTTCTCCAGCTTGTACAGGGTGCGCCAGTAGTTGCCCACGTCCTGGTCCACTTTGTCTGGGTCCACCTCGTGCATGGCGCCGTCCATCCATTGTCTGAGTATTGCAAGAGATGAATAGACTAAATTCATCACGCCCATATGCCACAATGTATTACAGTGGAACGCCGCTATACCGAACACCGCTATACCGAACATTCGGCTATACTGAACATCAGCCTTGGCTCCCGGTTTTAATGTACACAACGTACTGAAAATTGTTGTTGAAAAAGTCATCATATTAACAAAAAAATATACTGGTTGTACATGTTTTAAACACTATTTGAGCCACTTTTAATTCCCGAACATCAAACGACCCATAGTTACATCGTGTTTGAGTGTTCAAGAGCGATAGATGGCTATTATTTCCCCAAGGAATAAAAGGGAAAGCCATCCGTTGCTAAAGTTTCGTGACGACTACTTGTGCGGCCGCGGGATGTGAGAAATGCCAGTTCACTATTGGTCAACAGAGGGTACCGGCGGCTCAAATTCGCTACACCAAATGATCGTTATTACGAACACTTTCTGTGGATCCCACGATGTTCGTTATAGCAGCGTTCCACTGTATATCATGTCGTAGTATGCAGTTGAGCTGAGCTACTTTATCATTTCTCAGTTTTGCCAAAAGTTGCTGACAAACGCAGATAATAACTCAGACAATAACAAACATAATAGCATAGACTCACTTGTGTCTGGTATTGAACTCCACAGTGGTCTCATACAGCTTGTGGTATGGCTGCAAGGTGCTCATGATGGTGTTACGCTGTGGGTAGGCAGAGGTCTGCCATCCAAAGGCTTCCTCCTCTTGATTGAAGGCCTCAATCTGCAAGAGAAATAAAACAAGATGCATTTGTTGTATCAAAATTGGGAATTCAGTTACAGTAACAAACCAACATGATCAAGCAGCATCACTGCAGCATTAGAATCTCAGAAGTTGTCTGACCGTAAAATACAAGCGTAATCTGATTATCTTTAGTGTACTTTTTACCTAAGATAATATGAACATGGTTTTGAAAGTAAAGTACTTTCATGTGTTGAGTGTAAACATTTTCTGAAACAAGAATTGGGAAATGACAAAAACGTGTCAGTGCCATACCAGAATATTTGTAAATTTTACAATGTCAAGTGCACAGAGGGAAGAGTAGGCATGCAACCTCTCTTTTTTAAAAGCACCTTTACTTTAAAAACCATGTGGATTTTTAAGGTGTACTGAGGCAAAGACCAGGGACTATGGGGACGATGTTTCTAAAAGTCAAGATGGGACTATCGGAAAGGACAAATCTGAGTCAAGCCGTATTCGAGGGGTGAGATGGGCATTTTACCTTCTCCATTGCTGCCTCCAGCCTGACAGTCAGGGCCTGGGCCTTCTTCAGGTACCGGCCAACTTCAGACATGTCACCAAAGGATGAGAACTCCTCCAGTTGCTTGGAGTAACCTTCCAATTCCTCCTGGAAACGCTCACGCCTCAGCTAAAAACAAAACGAGAGTAAATGTCTGCAATCAACTCAGAGTTTATCATTTGTCACGGTGTGGTGAAGTGGTAGTCGATCCGATCACAAATCATTTCATTAGTAAATCACAAGTCCTTTCAAGGGCGGATCCAGGGGGGGGCCAAAGGGGGCCATGGCCCCCCCCAAAACGAAATCAATTTTTTTTTTTATGTGACATCGCAATAACGGCAGGCAATGAGTACACCACCATCTTTTCCTCAAAACAAACATTGGTTAAAGTGGTCAGAAATTGCCTCAGATCGCACCACATAGCATCTAAAATCCAAAAAAAAATCGGGGTCCTTAAGCGGGCCCCGAACCCCACGCCGTAATTTTTTTTACCCACTTTTTGACATCGCAATAAAGGCAGGCAATGAGTACACCACCATCTTTTCCTAAAAAAAAAACATTGATTAAAGTGGTCAGAAATTGCCTCAGATCGCACCACAGATCATCTAGAATCAAAAAAATTTTCGGGGCCCTTAAGCGGGCCCTGAACCCCACGCCGTAATTTTTTTGACCCACTTTTTTGGGGGACCAAAATTTGTTTTGGCCCCCCCCAAATTTGTGTTCTGGATCCGCCCTTGAGTCCTTTCACAAGTCCAGTCACAAGTTTACCCAATATCATAAAGCTGCTTAAGCACAAAATTTGCTTAAGCACAAAATTTGCTTAAGCACAAAAAAACTTTGCTTAATATAATGAGGTTAACCACTAAAACTCCATGCGATTGTTATGCTACGTGAACAACAGCTAAATACCAGTCACAAGCAATGTACATCGCATGGAGTTTTGGCCGGTAACCTGATTATACTAAGCAAGGTTTTTTGTGCTTAAGCAAATTTTGTGCTTAAACAGCTCTATGAAATTGGCCCGTGCCAGGGGTGAACAACAGCAAAGGATTGTCCTCAGATACAATTCATTTGAATAGCTAGTGACCTGAATTGAGACTGGAGGAATTGTGATGGACTTATCGTGACTTGTGATGGACCCGACTACAATGACCACAATGCTGCAATACATTTGAACCTGTCAGCGACCCCAGCAAGTTTGGTGGTAAAGTTAAGAACCCTCCCCAAACAGTCTAGGAAGGATGACTAATGTGTGGATACCCGCAACAATGATCAGCTTCTACATCAATCTGGGTTGTGACACCTAGTCCGTTGTATCTTGTTGCCTATATACCTTGAGACCATCCTGGTACTGTGAGGTCTTCTCGGACACGATCTGCTTGTGCTCAGCAAAGATCTCAGGCATGCGCTCGTGCCACTGGAAGGTGCTGCTGTTCAGACGCATCTCGGCCGGGGAGAAGCTGGCGTAGTCTACCAGGAAGGCCAGCCGGTCCCTGCTCAGGATCAGCTGCTTCTCCAGCTCAAAGATGGTCTTCTTCTCCACGCCCTCGATGAACTCCGACAGCTCCATCAGCTTGTCCGTGTTGGGCGGGGTGGTCAGGGCCTTCTCTGCAATGGCTTCGTACTCATCACATAGTCTAAACCAAGATAATAGGCAATTTAGCGCTTGTTTAATGAGCGACAAAGACTGAAGCTTTAACAAAAGTTGATGGACATAAGAAATCTTACTGCAAAAGCCCATCCTATAAAACCTTATTTGGGACTCGCCCAAGACCCGACCAAGGTATGGAACTACCAGAAGATGGTGTTAGTGCGTGGCCGAGCAGAAACAGAAACTTAGGTTCGACGTTTTGGATGTACGACTCACTTTCTGTTGGCTTCTGCATGGTCCATGTTCATCCTGGCTAGCAGACGACCGCTGAGAGTCTCAGCTCTCTTGGACAGAGCACGGATGAGCTCATCACAGTGAAGCTCAAACATACCCAGACGGATCACCTGGGAGTGGGGGGGGGAACAAAAAGGGGTACATCAATTGCTGCTAAAAAAAAAAAGTACTAGACTATTGGACGATTGATGAAAAACCAAGAAATGTAAAATAAAGGAAACTTTTGAATGAGTGAATTTTATAACATGTTACTTGATACCTGACTGGTCTAATGTGCCTAATATAAAATATAACAATAACTGGACTTATGTTTATTTTGAGGGTTTGACAATTTCTTGTGCATTTTAAAATTTCTCAGTTTTTGCAGCATTTTCAGGTTCATGTTGTGGTAGAATAAATAGCTCATTTGTATGGAATTTGTAAACACTGCCCTTATGGTCATACTGTTCTTTTAAACTTGAAACATATGCTGTATATTTGTTTTGACGTTATTCCGTATTATCAAAAGTAATGACTTTCAGTCTCCAGTGACATTAAAGAACAAATGTGTAAGGTCTTCGGTACTAAAATCATACACAACAAAAAATGTGGAAGGAAACTGCAAAACATCAGTTCAGTTCTTAGATAGACAGTTCCAAAGTAGACCATTTACAGAGAAAAATTTCCCACAGCAAGTTTTCTAAAAAGGACATAAATTAAAACTCGTGAAAACTTTCGAAAGAGAAGTGTTACTTGTAGGATACAAAAGTGCCACCAAAAAACCTTTGAAAGAGGAGTTATTCTAAGATTGATATGGCAAGGAGAGACACGATAATCATTGTTTAATGTTAGGCAATCATATCAAAAAGTTCTACAGCTACCGGTATAGAATGAGAAGATACAGATGTGAAAAGTGAGCACTGTTGTAAGATACATAATTGCTGGAAGTGTGACAGAAAATGTGATTTTTTTTTGTGAAACAAGGGAAGAAACTGTGAGCAGAGAAAATTGCGGAAAAAAGTATCTTTCAGAACGTCTCGATAATATTAGTACCAGTGAAATCAAAAGAGGCGATAAGAAGTGCATTTTTTGTTTGGACTGTCAATTTTATAGGTACAGTTGAAGCCACATGGGACCATTTGCAATTACCTAAAAACTACAAATTTAATGACAGAAATTTGTGCTCATAATTGAAGATAGGACTGGTATCAAATACTGTTTTTTTCCCGCCTGAAATAGTATTGTTTAGAAGAAAACTAAACACTGAAGGTGGTTTCAAAATAGCGAGCCCACAAGCACACTTTTTTTAACGTGTGTTAGCAATGAATCCAGTTACAAGACCCAACAAATTGTGCACAACTTTTCTCTGTTTTCTCAAAATATTTAGTATCTACTGAGTTGAAAGTGCAACAGTTTTGTTGTTTTGCACGCTATTGAAATTTTTTTGCGATTTTGTTGCTTCAAATGAAAAAAAAATGCACAAAAGCAAATGATCCTACGTACAACGTACCTTTAAAGGTATAGTCCATCATTCGTAATTTGTGCATTTTATTCGTTTGAAGCAACAAAAGTGCTCAAGATCTAAAGAAGGGTGCTGAACAACTAATCTGATGAAGTTTCAGCTCAGCTTTAGCTGTATATTTCGAGAAAAGCAACATTCTAGGATCTCGATTTCAAATCAAAAGTTGCTGAATCATGTTTTGAATTGGGCCTGAATTCAGCGTCCGAGACACGTTCTCACTGAGCTGATTGCAGCTATGCCATGTCGCGCACTGATCCGACAAATTATAGCAACCGCGCACGCGTGTGCGTCGTGCCAATGCTTGCCCGCGCTTTGCCGAATAACATAAGGTTGGAAAGGCCTTCTTTTGTTGATTTCTTCCAAATGACAGCTTGCCAGAAAGAATAATTTCACAGGGAGTTTAGTCCCCTTACTATCTTTCAACCAAGTATGTTTTTTCAACAATAATTACGCCAGTTACTTTTTGGATAGCTGCAAATGATGGACTCTGGCTTTAAAGAACAGACTTTGGTTACAGTAACAATATATACCAAGAACCACCGGTGATGTTAGAAATGTGTGTGTGCACAATAACCAAGCAACTTTTTTTACAAACCTTTCTCTGGTCAGCTCCGTCCTGTGTATACATGCCATGCAGGGGAAAAAATCAGATGCAATAGACAAGGGGGCAAGTTGGGGTGAGTTGCAGTATTGCAATGAATTAAAAAAAATGCAAATGAAGCAGCCATATACTTTCTTAATGCATCACACAGCAGCACAAACTAAAATCCTTATCTAAATTTAATATCACAGATCTCAGTGGAGAATGTAAAATTCCGTTGGTGGTAACTAGATGTTTGCCTCAAGGTTTTAAGAGGTTTTATGGGGTACCTCTGGACTCAACTTCAAGTTACCGCCTGTTAAATTTTGCATTCTTCTCTTACTTAACACGTAGCAGGGCATAAGGCAAACAAACAAAATAGTTCTGCTTCCGATTACATGGCATTTGAATATAGGGTAGGTAGGGATTTATTTTTTTTTCAGATTTTTTTTGTGTTGATCAAATGTAGGTGTCTGCATGTAGTCAAGGTAAAAAGGCAGTAATTGATGGTTCTTTTCTTCTCATTTTCACCACAAAGCAATTAGGGTAGGTGCTGTCAAAATAGGGTAGGTAGGGTAACTGGAAGCAGAACTACAATCTTTTTTGGCCCAAACAAAGGTGGCCTAGTTTTCACCATGCTATCCCTAACAGTCCTGAATCCTCCAAATTCAATACAATTTTGCACACCCTCTAGGGAGTTAGGGTAATTATGACAAAAGAATTACTGCTTATTACCAAATTCTTAAATTCCGTGCACAACGGGACTTAGTCTTATTTGTTACAGCAGGTCAAATATCTACTTGACAATTTTCTGATATTGACACTTGCGTGATAGTAAATTACACCATACTTGTATCTATACTGGTATACGGGCCAAATGTTCATGCTAAGTTGAACCCTACACAGTGAGTGTCTACTTGTGTGTTCGTCATCCTAACACAAGAGCTTGCCAAGCAGGTAGGCATCTCAATAACAACTGGCAGTAAAACCTTCATCCCCCCAAAAACCCAAAAATTTATCTTCCCCACAAATTGGCCACTAAAATGTTGACAGTAATTTGTGTTTTCTTTAAATTGAATCTAAGAATACAATATGAAAACGAATGTCATTTTTTATTTCCAAACTCATACCTTGCGGGTGTTGTATTGTATCTCCTCTCCTAGCTTGTTGTACTTTCTGACCTCACGCGCATACTCTTCAAATGAGTGCTCCTCTGCCATGAACTGTTCAACATCTGTGTCAGCCTGGTAAACACAAACGACAGCAAATTACAGTGTAAAGAACAGCTGCTATGACTGACAAAGTGTGCTCATCTTGAAACTTGGTGTGTACAAAGAGCACCCAACTGTTATTCATTTGCATAATGTGATGACTTTACATCAACAATGCAATTAATGATGTTAAATTGGGAAAGTCTGTGTTCTGATGGAAACACAGACTTCCAGTTTTTCAGTGTTTTTCTTCTTCTTTAACCCTAACCTTCCCAAATCCTCCAGAATCCTCTTTTCAAAATGGAGGATTTTGCAGGATTGAGGCTACATGGCAAAAATGTGTGGCTGATTTTGGAGGATGCACTGTGTCAAGGTCTTGGGCCGAACCTTGTGCTGTTTATGCTCAGCTGTGAATCAATGTAGGCCAAGATTATACTTGAAATCCTCCACACTGCTCCAGGATGTCACTGGCTTTGCCTCAACATATTGACAGTGATTGCTGGAGAATTTTGCAGGATTGAGGCAGTGGTCCAAGGACCACATTCAAGAAGTAACGGAGGATTTTGCAAGATTGAGGTTGTATCCCAGCCAAATGCCTCGAGAGTTAGGGTTGGGTGTTTGGAATATTTATTCACACAATAAAATTTAGAAACGAATGCAAGTTTCGAAATACCTATTTGCCCTTTGTTTAAACTTTTCTTTTTCTTAATCAAATGATGGGAAAAATGATGCTGAAATACCTGTTTGTTAATGAGGAAGTTGTACTTGTCATAGATCTTGAGGTGGTCCTTGGGTATCACACTCTCCTCGCTGACGATCTCACGGATCTTCTCCTTGTGCCTGTTCAGAATGTCTTCCAGGATGATTGGGCGCAGGATGGCCTTGGACTTGGGTCCACTCTGCGTTTATTTGTAACAATCATAATACAATGATATTAACCAGAATCATTGGTAATAACAATATGACAATCTTTTGAGCACTTTTGAGTCAAATTTTGGCTGTAGATAGATAGATATGCAGATAGATAGAAGAACTGTATTAAATCCAAACAGGAAATTACACGCTCAAGTCTCTCCAGTTAAAATGTTAAAAAATTGTATCAACTTACAAATTTTTAAAATCCCCTCACCCAAAACAAGTGCTGGACAAATTATGCAACATAGATAAATCACCTAGACATTTCCATTTTCCAAACTTGACTTCCTTTCCAGCTTTGACTCATCACTGGCCCGAGCACATTGAGAAGCCTTTAAAATTCAAACTTAAATGAAAGATTTAGAGTTTGGATTCCTGTCATAATAGGATTTAATTTTTTCCCAAAGCAGAATATGTATCGACATTGTGCCAGACAATGGGCAAAGGCTTGAGTTTATGAAGATTGGCAGTAAAACCTGAGACAAAGCCTAGGTATGTCAAACACCCTGTGGATAAACGTCAAATCAAAGACTCAAGAAAATGCTGCCCTCTACTGTTTGCCCATGGAGTCCATAAGGCCTTCGCTCGTATCCCCCGCCCTGCAAACAGGACGCTGGGATACTCTAATGAATTCACGCTCTGATTGGTTGGATTCTGCGTGACCTGTGACCTACGTGTCATCACAGTCATGACGCTGCAAGGTTTGAAAAACGGTCGTTAAAAGACTGATTCATTACTCTTTTATTCCAGTTAGAGATCTTTTTTTTCGTTGAAAAGCGTAATAATGTAGGAAATTCTGTAAAACTTATCTGTGTTGTAAATTTACAATTCCCGTATCTTGCTCAGGCTCCGTTTCGAATCACGAACGGTCGGATTGCATAATGCGACGCTCAAAATTGTGTCCACAAATTCCGCAATAAAACAGAAATCACGGTATGGAACGTGTGCATTTCTATGGGAAGTTTTCGGATAGCATTTGCGCACATTGACTAACAGCGGTCTTGAACAGCCGCAGCCAGATGCTTTATACATAGGCCATTGGCCACTTCCTTCACAAGATTCTGTTAAGCTCATCAGAGTATCCTAGCGTCCTGTTTGCAGGGCGGGGTACTAGCGAAAAGGCCAAGTTGTTGGTACCCACCCATTCCGAGTACAGCTTGGTTTCCACACGAGGCACTACACTGACAGCCTTCAGCATGACGTCGTAGACATTCAGCAACACAACCTCAAAATCGGAGAAGGTGGGCTCAAACTTGATGTTGCTCCCATCCAGTACCAGCCGCATGATGAAACCAGAGTGTTCATGAGCACGGATGGAGTCCTGTATTACAAATGAAGGACACAAGGTAGTTGATGCACACAATCAAAATTGCTAAACTACTGACTCAAGTCATGCAAGCAAAAGCAGCACTCTTAGGCCAAAAAAAATGACTGCGGCTGATGACTGCAAATGGTGCCAGACTAAATTTAGTGCAAAATATATGGGAGTCCAGAGAGGCCACAAAAAGCTTATACTCGATCGTAGCCCAATCTGAAAACACGTTGAAATTATGCAGCAGCAGGATTCCAGTCAAACCAGTGAGTTTGGCAGTATGAGACATCATCTTACAATGAAAAAAAAACTTCTTCATTTTGCCGACGCGCATGGCTACGGCGACTCGCACGCATACCAGAAACCGGAGACTTCTTTTTTTGGCCTTAGCAACACACATAGTTAATAATACAGTTAAATTACACAGACTTTTAATTTTGGAAAACATGATCAATAGAAAGACGTCACAGACACAGAATCTGTTCATTTTCTTATATGGAATTTTGCGTTGTTGGTTGTGGAGATGTACATTCAACATGAGGTTTTGCCCTACACCGATGTAAGTCCATGAGCACTGTGTACTCAGTGATTTCCGGGGACTTGCAAGAAAACATTCACACACCCAATCTGGTTTCGCGTCCCACCTGAGTGTAAGCTACCACATTTTTTCCTTTGCAAAGTCTTTGGAGAGCACCAAGTATACAGTGATTATGGGCATAGTATTAACTCTGTAAATTGGAAGTTTATAGTCTAGAGACCAACTTAAAAAAAAATCATACATTCAGCTCTGTGATTTATATGAATACTAAGGCTACGATGCCTAGAATAATATTTTAAATTTCCCAAAGCAAATCTGTTCATTTAAAAATACTGAGTGATAGTTGATGCGATAGGATAGTGCTTCCTACATTTGGCTCAGTACAAGATCATCGATCATGCCGAATGGAAGTATACGGTTATTTTTTACAAATTAACAGTGAATCACATTTGTTTTTCAGAGGCTGAACAACTTTGACAGAGGTCTCAGTCTCCTGGATCACAATGTCCATCTAATCTACTCACGGGAGGCTGGCATATGAGATCGGTGAAATCTGTCATGGAGTTCAGGCACAGGCCCTGCAGTTGCTCTGTCATGAGTGTTGCTGCGCAGTTGAAGAAGGACTCTAGCTTGCGACCATTGTGGTTGCTGGGTACCAGCTTGCGTCTGTTGCCCTGGTAGTAGATGTTCTGCACTTCGGGAAACCACCTGGTCAAGAACAAGTAATCATTTTAGATCTGTTATCTGATAACTGTATAAGATAGTTGACAACACCTGCACGGCACCTGTAAGTTCACTCAGGAGACACCTGAACTGGCTGTTACAAGACACGGCAAGCCTAGTAAAAATAGTTGATTCAGAACCCTGAAGATGGTCAGAGCATACTGACTGGAACGTCGAGTTTATACTATAGCTCTGGTTCTTTTCAGAACCATTCTCTTACTTTGAGAAATGCTTCCCACATGGTGTTTCCGCACTCCATTCATTAGTATCTCCACCTGAATCTTACTGATTCAGAACAGTATTCACTAAAAGTCTTTTCATTTTTTCATTCATGTGGCCAACACAATGGGCCGGCTTTAGCCCATTCACCAGGGTTACGAGGTAATCCTATTTCAAAATTTTGGGCCACGGTAAGACTTAACCAAGTCTAAGGTAATCCACATGTGACAGCCAGTGGGTGAGATACAAAGAGGACTATATACTGGCCCATCTGGGACTAGATATCTTCACTTCATGATGAATTATTCAACCGCCAATGAAATGTTGTCTAAGTGTGAGTTTTATTATACTGAGTCAGCTTTAGATGCCCATGTCATTCTGAACACACGCGAGGCACTTCACGTATGCCACAAGTTTCACATAAGCCTGTCATGATAAATAAAACGACTGCAATAAGATGAAATAGAAGCAGAGAAGTGTACAATGAAGAATGGCATAATAATGAAGATGTAATGAGAAAAGGAGTTACTTACTTCTTGAGTAGTTTTTCTTTGGCGGCATCAATGTGCCTCATGACAAGATTCTGGAAGATGGCAAGCTCCATAGACTCCGTCTTCTGGTGAAACTCTGTCACATCCACCAGCCGAAGATTTCTAAGAAAATAAACAAGAAGGTGTGGAATATTATTTCATGTAAATCTATTAAACCCGTTGAAGTTTTAGCATAAGTGGACAATATTCAAAATGAGAAAGTAGAGAAAACATATGCACAATTGTTGTCTTCGTAACTTGATTCTGCTGCTATTGCACGTAAAAAGAAGTGCCCGCGGAAAACCTATTCTGAATTCGAAACCTTTTTCAATGTTAGTTTTTCTACCAAAAGATACCATTTCAGGCGCAGGCGACATAATTTCACAGGGTATTAGACAACAGTCCTATCTCCACCTTGAGCAAGGTTTTTGTCACTAAAGGGAATATACATCATTTGCTTTTACTGTAATTTTCAGAAATGGATGGAATTGGGGGGTTGGAAATATATAGCAAATATAGTTACACTGACTTTTTTGAGGTTTTGGGTTCGAAAGAAACACAATCATTTTCCTGTAGTCTGGTTCCCCGACTCCATAAAAGAAGAAACAGAGCAGTTTACATACATTGGGGAATTGTAAGGTCAGGGAACCAGTCTAGCTGGCTTGTACCCGTTCATAGGTGTGTAATCAATTGCAAACAAGTGCGATGGTCAATTGGGGCCAGTATTTGAAAAAAGCCAGTTTTTTCCAACGCTGGTCGGCTGACCAGCGTTGGAAATTGATACAAAAATACCACTTTTCTTGAAAATGACAGTATACCAGGTGACATGATTTTACAGGATGCTTTACACTGTCATTACTAACAGTCCAGCAAGGTATTTCAAAATGATTTGGTAGTTTTATTTTTTGATGTTTGCAAATGTTGTATTTTCCCTTTAAATCAGTAGGTACCTTTTCAGGTAATTGCCAATTATCCTATGTTGCTTATCTTAGCTTCTACGACCTACCCAAATGACACATGCCACAGCTCCAGTACTTGAAGCATGGTAGGGTTGGTGATATTCAGGTCCTGGTTCATGGACGTCTGTGATGCCAGGAAGGATTTGTACCATGGCTTAGGCACCACGGACAGCTCGGTACGGTGAGGCGGCTTGGACTCTGCTTTGTCTTCTTCCTTCTCACGGGGATCGCGAAGCACAAAGTCCACTGATGAAAGGCAGGTAAATCAAAACAGATGTTAGCTCTCTATGTGTCTAGCCAGGAAACCTTTTGACACCAAGGTTGATTTCAAAGAACTCATTTTAATTTCAGATCCCAAGCTAGAATTTCAGATCCCAAGCTAGGGCTGTGCATTTTCACTTTGACTTAATCAAATGTGACCTGTTCTGTTCAAATCAGACTTTTCTGGGCAGAAGGTCAAAAATGATATTTTTACATATTGTTAAAATATGTTCTTTTTCCTTTTAATAGGTGGTTTAATTTTTGAAACCGGTCATTCCTGGGCAGAGTTATGCTATTTTGAAGTTCATTGTGTCAAAAAGTAGAAAATGGAAAAAATGGCCACGAACGTCACAAAACAGTAATTTCTTTAACTGATATACCTTAACAAATCATCAAAAATAGTATATGTAGAGTTCAAATTAGGGTTTCAAACTTTTATAGTATATTTTAGACATGTTCAGGATTACAAATATGCAAAAATTTGAAAATCGATAAAAATCACCCCCACGGCGTTTTTGGCCCTATCTCAATTTCAACCTCTGCCCAGAAGCGTCTGCTTTTGACAGAACAGGTCACAAGTATTCAAATATTTGAAATGCGCTGATCAAGTTGAACATGCGCTATCCTAAAGTGGCCGACAATCGGGATTTGTGTGCCTACGCCTGTTAAAAGTTGACAAAGATCTTATTGAAGTAATGTAAAGAAGCGGGAGCAGAATGGCAGATATTTGACCGATTTTAAAGAAGAGATTTGAGCTCATTTTCCTCATGGAAGCTCTCAGATCACGTGTGAAAATATTTTGTTGACAAAAGTGTGACATTTGACAACCAACACCATGCAACTTAAATGATTAAAAGAATTCATTGATGTTTTACATCATCTCCAGGCGACTCACATTTTTCGAATATCTTAATAAAAAAGGGTACATTTGACAAAGCCCGATCCAGAATAATTATCAATCACAGCAACGACGAGTTCTGTTAATTCACATGAGCTTGAGTGGCAATCGCAGGGACTCACCAATGGCCTTCTTGACACTCAGCAAGTAATCCTCTCTCATTTCATCTGAGAGGTTCTCTATTGTCTCCGTGTGTCCTGACTTCAGGTCTTCGGACACAAGATGGAGGACGTTATCCAGCCAGGAGTCTTCCATAGGTGCAACGTGTTCTGTGTCGATCCCATTGTGGATGTAGTAATAGTAGCGCTAGAAAACAACACCAATACCAGTTTCTTCAGTAAAACCAATTTACTGTTATTACCGAGTTGTTATTGAACTATTTTCAGCTCATTTCAAATTTCCTACTTTTCTCCAAAGACGACACTCACAAATGTTGAAACCACATGTTAGCCTATGTAAGAAATTGGTATTGAGAGCTACGGCTATGTCTATTGCCAGCATGTGCCCACATAATTGTAATGGAAGAAACCCTAGGCAATAGCCCTAGACATGAGATTCAGACGCGGCTTATTTGTGTACATGAGCAATTATTTCACGATTACTGCAAAAATGGCTTGAATAACGATTCTTAGCATTTTCGTGTGATTGACTTCCCTTGGCGAATCAACAGACTTTGAAATGACTTGGTTCACAACCTTGTTGGGCAGCCTTCTGCTTTTCCCTCTATTAAAGGAATTAATGGCTTTAATCAGATGGAACTTAAACAATGTGCTTTGACGTTAAAACAGGTGTAACAGCTTGCCGAATCTAGCTGGTGGCATTTTGAGCTAAAATATTGACAAAGAGATAAATGAAACCTTCATACAGAATTGGGTAGAATTACTACCACAGAATCAGGCACGCATTTTTTGTGGTCATGAACTTTGTGACATGTTTAGTTCAGCAACTCACCAGGATGTCTTTTTCAGCAGCTGTGGGTGAGCCAGTTCTTGACAGTGGGGGGAGGTCCCCTTCAGCGACTGAGGGTGGCCTGCTGTCAGGGGTCTCTTGTTGCCTGTTACATGGTACAAAAATAAACAGAGTACAGTATGAATAACCATGGTTTTCATTATTAAGCCATGTAGCGTCATTTGCATTTACCTAGAAAAGTACCTACTTAACTCAGTTGACGACAGAAACCTCTCTTTATCTATTTATTTATTTCGTGACCAAACTCATGGCTTTGACTCCAACTTCAGTGTGAAATTTTTCTTCAGGCCTCTGCCTTGGTAAAGTCCGGATCAATATGGGTGTATGTTCTGTTTCAGGAAAATCAAATCCTATGACAAAAGGCGTAAGTTCAAGTATTGCTGGGTTTTTTTTCTTCTAAATATTTCTGGAACAGAGATGAAGTCATTGCTGGAGAAGATGTAAAGATTTTGAGAAAAAAAAAAATGGAACCTCCCGATCCTGGTGTGCATTGTCTTGATACTCACATGATGATGTTCACCAATGCATTGCGGAAACTCTCTCTGTCCTTGCGCGGATGTGAGAAGCCCTTGGTTTTGCCGGCCCCGTTCACAGCACCATTGCTCTCTGGGTCCCATGACTTGCTCCGACCGGCCTTTCCTTTTTCTTGGGTTCTCCTGCAATAGGAAAGAAAAAGTATTCAATTCTTTAAAAATGGACTGTCGGTGCAATTCTCGAGTTTAACTATGATACCTTTATTTATTTCATTTTTTTTTAAGTTGCTATTTTTGTAGCAATGCAAAACTTATTCGCATTCGAGTAAGAAACTCAACAAACGCATCGGCCCAGGGTTTATTATTGAATAATTTTGAGGCGTTCTGGCAAAAAGAGATGGAATTGACCTTTCGCCATTTGCGAGTTAGCCACATCCCTTAGACAACCCTATGGAGTTTTTGTATGCTACGTTTTGTTTGTCTCAGATTTTGCACGTCCGTGTCTATTTGTATATCATGAAATTGGACAATATTTCACAAGCTGCGTTGACGCGATTCTAACACGATTCTACCAATAGGCCAATTGGGCACAGGCCACAGTAAAAAAAAATGCCAAAAATCCAAAATTAGATATGTCTACTAATGTTCACATATTTCATGTATTTTAAAGAAATAGTGTAGAAATCATGGAATAAAAGTGTTTTTAAGGAAATACAAATGGCATCTTTCATATGAAATTCATGACTACAAAAGTAGAAACTTTAAAGGCCTTTTTCTCAGCATTTTACTTTTTGACAAGTCGATAAATGCAATCTTTAAGCAGCCATAACTTGTCAACTGAATGTCTGATTGAAGTACAACAAACAGTATTGTATTTAACAGCATGTATACTATTTTTGGATTCCATCGCGTTGATCAGGAATAGTTAGATACCTCTTTGAAATCAAAAATAGTGCAGCGACGTAGCTTTCGATGTCATCGCGACATCTTCATTCAGAGTAGTGACTTAACCCACCCAGTATTGCATTTGTAAGGAGAATTTTATTCCCTTTCCCAATACCTGCAAACCCTCATTTCAACCTCTGCCCAGTTCTGTCTCGTTGTGCCAGAACAACTCACAAAGTTACCTCCAAACTGTTTGATGCCCAACAGTTTTCAGTTCCCGCAAGGTAGGCTGGTTCCTGCCCAAATCAGAATTGATAATGTTTGGACCGGGAAGGGAACCAGTCTACTGGCACGACAAATCTGATTGTGTGCAAAAGCAACCCAGATACCATTCCCTTCCTTGTCTTGAAACATTTTTTTTTTGGCAAAGTTTTCAGACACAAATACTTTCTATTGCCATCTTACGTGTTGTAAGCTGGGCTGCCACACTGAGTTCCTCTACTTGGTCTTCTGGTGGTTTTCCCGACAATACAAAGGATGGTGGGTTGGCCTGCCATACGGGTTTACTGCGCTTCTGAATATCAAAATTAGGAAGAAACAAATCAAGACATTTTATTTTATGCTAAAATAAAGTTGAACAATTGTGCAACCTATAAACAAATAATGCTTTCAATACCACACTTTGAGATGCTATAAAAAAAAAATCAAACAGCAAGATAAATATGAAAGATAACAAGGGTGAATTGTTAATTCTCAAATTGTAGTTTTTGTTTTTGCATTAGTTTTGAAGGATTCACAAGAACAATTGATTGGGTCTGCCAAGCTTGGTGGTACCCAGATACTTTAAATATTCTTCACTGATGAGCTCCACTACTAGTACTATTACAAGTTGTGTTGACACTATAAATCACTGGGGCTGTTAATGCCCAACTATAGCATGGTCCCAACTATGGTTGGACCATCCCAAATATAGCTGGGGAAGCCCTAACTATAGTTAAGGTCATCCGAACTATACTTGGCAGTCTGTAGTTGGGAAAACCCTGTAGTCGGGGTGTAACAAGGCCGTTAACCATGAGGCAATTTACAGACAATTTGTTTCAGACAATCTCCAAGAAGACAAAAACAGGTAAATTTTATTTCCATGCCATACCCTCTGGAATTTCGGGAAACTATCGGGACACTACACTTGATTCCGGGGTTCATTTGCCTCAAAAGATTACATCTTGTGACATAGTAATCACCTTATCAATTGGAGCTGATCCATTTTGTGCTATTATTTGAATACTTACTGCTGGTAATGTAGGGAGAAATGATGCCGGTGCTGCAGGATTCTTTCCTTTGTTTTTGAACGAGGCCACATACTGCAAAAACAAATGTATGGCATATCAAAACATCGCTTGCATTGTCCACAGTGTAGTGTCATGCAATTCAGAAGGAAAATAGTTTTTTTTTTAATTGAAATGACGGGTTAAATTGGATTTTCTCTCTGATTCATTACTTTGAAGGATTTTATTAAAAAAGGGAAGTAAATTCCAAGAACCATTCATTCGGTTGACAGCTGACGCAGATGCGCGCACTGGTCGACTTCTTTTTAAAATAGTAGGGGGCCTAGGCCAAACAGCGTAAATTCTTCTACTTTGAGGTAGGCCTACTAAAAAGATCATTTGCAAATCCACCACCAGTAACTTTCTGAAAGCCAGCATGACATTATGGAATGTACCGGTACTAATGGAATGTGCTAATCATTATGGAATGGCAGTCGACCGTCTGGTTCCCTGATATGTCTAGAGTCATAGTGTTCAATATCACGATCTTTGGCTGCTGGAACCAGACTATCAACAGAATGTTCTCAGCTTTATTTCCATTTTAAATAAAATCCTCCACAGCCACTGATTACAAAGAAGAAAATAAATCCACTTAAATAAAAAGAACAATTTAATTAAAAACTTAAGAAAACTAGTATGGGTCTAGGCCCCACTATTATAAGAAAAACAAAAAAAAAGTGGGTAGCGTGGGTTTCGATCCCAGAACCCTTGGCCTTGCAGCTTAAACTTGTTGTTATGTGCCGATCAAAATCCTCGCATGGGGCATAAAAAACGTGACCAAACCCAGACCTGTTGGGGTAGCGGGGGGAGGGGGGGGGGACCGATTTGATACTAGCCAGGAATCTAGCCCAAGTAACTGGGACCCAACTTATCGCCTTTTTAACTTGAACTGGTTTCTGTCCATAAAATCTACCCTACTAAGTACTGTTCCCTACTCCCAATATTATCGTTCGAAATGCACTTGTGTTTACAAACATGATCCAGTCTACTCATTATCATAATCGATGCATTGCGCGCACTCGATAACGGAATCGCACTCGGGATACGGGGACCATCGAATGAACGCTGGGCATGAAGACCACATCGCATCGTTCAAACATTGACGGGCAGTTATAAAATGTGATATAGATTTCACAATCATGACGATGGTGTTTTTGTAATGCCGCACGATAGCAGTTGAAAATTGCGTTACGGCTGCCGTAACGATAGAACACAATGTAGGAGTAGCCACTACGCATTGATTACCTGAACGTCGGCCATTTTGAATGCTTGACGTTATGAAAGTTGTCAATCTGTAGCCTACTGCTTCGTCTATTTCTGACGTTAATTTACATAATTCTAACGATCACTGATAATTATGCTACAATGCTCTTAATGTATCGTCTACATAAAGCAGACGATGGACGATTTAAGGCCGCATTATCTCTTCAAAATGAAATGAAACGAGCAAGAAGTTTACAAATTCCATCAAACTTTCAAAGTCCATTCGCTGTCGGCTTTTCGTGTTGCTACGTTACGTCGTCGAGCTGTCCGGCAGCCTCGAACATTTCGAATATTGAATACATAAAATATAAATCAAAGTGACTTCAAATATTAAACTTTATATAAGAGATAATTAAATATTAATTTTAAAATATTTAATTCAAAACTGTATGAAATTAAAAATAGACTGTTTGTTAAAAATTAAACAATCATTTTTGGCTGCCCAAGTCGAAAATTGGCAAAGGTCAGGCTGCATCCGAATCAGTTGTCTAGAGCTAGGTCTAGGTCTGCGCCCATTGAAAATACGCGGGGACGCGCTGACAATAGACGTAGCCGTAGCTCTGGAAGCCCGTTTCGGACACGGCCTCACAGAGGGTTAACGAATCAGTCTGGTTCTGATATCTTGGCACATTATTAAATACCCATTTCGTTATCATACGCAGGGTACCCTTCTCGACACACTAGGCATTCGTCTGCCCCGTTTTACAAATGTTTTACATGCTTTATTCGCGTTCGCAATCCTATTCTGTTCATTGCTCTATGGTTGCACGATATAGCCCTACAAAGTGAACGCCGAGTTAGCGGGTATATATTCACAAAGGACAGGCATTACTTGCTGATTTTAAGCCTTTGTTGTTCACGCTTTTCACGGCGCGGCACTTGCTTTAAATTGGGCAAGTTGGGGGGGGGGGGGGGGGGGGGGGGTCGGGGGAGGTGCTCGTACCATACTTTAAATAGGGGGCGCTGTTCAAAGCCGACGATTTTTAACACTATCGTCCATGATGATGTGTTATAGTGTACAAATACCCCCTTATCAAGCTGGTTCTGTATTTTGTATCAGGTATCAGAGCAGGGGGGGGGGGGAGTCGCATTATAAATATTTTTACTGAATTACTATCGCTATGAAAAAAATGGGTTTTTTTGACAGAGCTAGCTTGGGGGGAGTGCTCCCCCATTGTGTCCCCCCCCCCCCCCCCCCCCCTCTATATCTGCGCCTGGTTTGTTGTCCATGCAACTCTATTTACCCTATTTTATTTATTTCCCATTCAGCAACTCACAAATGTAACCTGGTAATTTGGCCTGCCCAGGGTCATGTTCGAGGGTTCAACATTATCCCTTCAGTTTGAAACTAAACAAACACCCTACCCCTTGCCACCATTTTAAAACTTGTGTCCTAAATTTGAAGGTCTTGGTCCCTAGGCCATGTAGGCAGGGATTTTTTTCCCCCATTCTACAGGGAGCTGAGCAGGGAAAAGCTGGAACATCCCAGATTGTACCAAGTCTAGACACAAACTGCCAATTTGTTTCTATTTTAATAGCTGGATTTAATTGCCATGTGAACACAGATATAGGTTCAGTTTCTAATCATGTTCATTACTGAAAGAGGCTTAAACAGCAATTATTGGTTAATGTTTAAAAGGGATACGTGCCTTAACGGTTTTGCCAATCACACAGTTTCAGGATATAACAAAATGCATGTACGTCATTTCATATTTCTGCATTTCATGAACCGACTGGCATAATTTTCTTTTGTAAAATCACAAGCTACAGATAGACCCAAAATTAGATTAACGGTCAAGACATTAGGAAGCGCATGGGATTTCTGCATGAAGTAGAGCGAAGTAAATGCCATTTTCTAATTTTCTAGATTTAAGTGGAAAAATACTTGATTCTTAAGTGATAATGTGAGCTTACTGTTGGCGACTGTGATACGTCATACATGTATGCTTCGATTATCCTGATTATCCTGATATCTTTAGATTCTTGTTTTCTTGCAGATTGCCAATGTGTGCACTGCACAATCATCAGTGGTGACAGGTATTTCTAAGGCAGTTGATTGGTCCCACACAATGAGTTTGCCTACTCTCAAGAAGATTGCAGCATATGGTGGGGTGTTGTCTGTTCTAGGAGCCGGGTATTTCTTCAAGAAAATTCAAGGTAAACAACAAGACAAGTATAGATGGTCCAAGATACACAGTTTTGTTCACTGGGTTCAGAATATATGGCTTTTCACTGGAAGTCTTTTCATGCATAAAAAGTCTCCCAGCCATGACCTGACCTCCTGACTGGTCCTGGCCTCATGAAATAACTAAGGATTTCTTAGTTGGACCAGAGAGGCTTACAGGGGGAGGGGGACCCCGTAGTTGTTCTTGGTTCTTTCGAGTGCACTGATGATCGTAGCACATGGACCTCAAGCCAGATGACCTACCCTTCAGATCAAACATGGTCTGTTATGCCTCTAGACAAATGCACTCTACCACTTTCTACAATACTGTGTGTCAGGCACATATACAGGGTGTTTAAAAAAAAAAGGAAACCCAACTTCAAAGAATGAGTATGGACAGACGATATGTTTACTGGCTATAAAACTGGTATCATCTGAAAGCGTAATCTCTATGCTTTTAGCATCATTGTCTTGAAAACTGGATTAAAAAATGCAGTTGGTTCACTTTCATAAAAAAAAAACACCACTGGGCACGGTGTGCCTATTACGGAAATGTCTGTGAAATGGCTTGAATGTTAATCCTCGGGAAAATGGCACATTGTTTTGAACGTGGCTTGGTCAAAACGAGAAATTCATGACAAATAATAAAATCCAGTTTTGAAACCAACCTGACTTGTTTTTTTGGTTTCATTTTATGCACTCGTGTCTTCTTGGATACTTATTCTCATGCACACCATGCCTATTGTATTTGACATGAAAGTGAACCAACTGCAGTTTTGCATCAAAATCTCATGACAGTGGCGCTCAGTGATGCATGACCCTGGAAATGTAAACATGGTATCATTGAAAAGCATAAAGATTACGCTTTCAGATGATACCAGTTGTATAGCCAGTAAACATTTAGTCTGTCCGTACTACTGGTTCTTCAAAGTTGGGTTTCCTTTTTATTGAAACGCCCTGTACAAGCAATGCATGGTGTGGTCTCTCATCCAGGTATTTTCCAAGGTCGCCAATTCCAAGCTTGTATGCCACTTGCTCCTCCACCAATTGAGCTAATGTGTTATGTTGGTTTTTAGATGGACTTGCTGCTGGTTCCTACTACTCACAATCCATGACAATCCTCAGAGAACATCCAGGAGCATCAGAGGTTCTGGGCCACCCCATCCGAAGCAAGTTTCTCAATCTCGGAGACTCTTTCAATGTTGTCAACGCAGCTGAAGCCAAGGTATGTTCAGTTTCTGAATTTTGTTTCCACTGCATTTTACAGTTGGGAAAGTTGACACGGCCTGACTTCTGATGGAGTTTTTTTAATGAAAAATTCAAACCAAAAACCATTACATGTAATTTGGTTATTGTTTGATTAAATTATCATCCCCAAGTCAAATTCGTTGACCAATTGGTAAGAGGGAGGTAGTCTGTTCAAGCCCTGATTGTGAAGTTTTTGTCATAGTTTGCACTAAGACAACTCTGCTTATTACATTATTCAACTGAAGGAAATAATAGTGACAGTTTCATGGCTTGTTGGTAAATCTTGTTTGCGCTCACACTTGATTCTTGTTTCCAGAAGGAATGTTACTACCGGTACATGAAATTGAATGGGAGCATTCTCAATTACTTCAGACACACTGCCTATTGACAATCTAGATCCTGCAGTAATGCAACAATTCATAGTGGTTTAATTGTCACATGAGTGTAATATGTTTTCTTAATTCAGCTTGCCATACCTGTGAAAGGAAGTAAGCGAAGAGGAACACTGTACACGTGGTCTGACAGACAAGGGCAGGGGTAAGATTATTAATCGACTTGTGTACAGATTTGTTGTAAAGAAAATTGACTGTAGTCAGATTCAACCTGTGAGGGCTCTCTCTAAGTGAGCTCACCAGCAATCGTGGACTAGGGACAAAAGGGTTAGGGCACAAACAATGGGTCCACATTGACCGATAGTCCACGATTGAAATTCGTGTTCAAAACCAATGAGAGCTGTTGCTAAAAAGTTAATGTACAAACAAAGGAATGAGGGTTGGGGACAATTAGAGGGTCCACGATTGCCGGTGTTTGCAAAGACCTGTGCAGTGCATGCGTGTTCCACTTCCACAATTCAGACTTCTTTCTTTCTGTTGCTCACTCTTTGAAAAATGTGTTACTATATAGTTGGAGGATCAGACGTTCATATGTGCAGACCCACACTACATTTGTGTACAAACATCACATATATGTTAATTTTATGCGACTCCGCACGCTAGCCAATCGGAGCTGCCTTTAGAAGTTGTGACTTTACTTGGAGCAGAAATTTGGCCAAAGCTGTTGATTGGTCAATATAGCTGCCATGTTTTTGTCATATAACATTGGGTTGTCGAAGACACAATAGAAGGCGCCCGCTGAATGGTCCGAATCTGGAGGTCAAGATGCATATTTTGCAAGCATAACACAGACGCTTGCCATCTATTCCAAAGACTATACTTTAACAGCTGTTTGGTGTTTGCTTGTTGAATGAAATAGGTGGGAAGTCAAGAAGTTGCAGCTTCAGTTGAGAGACACAAAGAGGAAGGTGACTATCTATGCGATCGGGGCAAAGTCAGAAGAAGGTGATATGGACAATCAGGATGCTGCAGAGGTAGTGGATGACTGAATCCTGGCAAGGAAAGGGTACCCATGTGATGGTGAGACCAAATTATTTTTTTAAGGGGGGGGGGGGAGAAGTCTGCAACGAGGTTCTTATTTGGCTCCTTATAAAGTCAATGGCATGTTATTCGGAAGTCAATCAAATGTCAACAGGGATTAATGAAGGTTGTTTTAGTAACTTCATGAAGCAAAGTTGGAATGAAGTCAATCACCCTGTCATCTTACGAGTCAGTCACAAGTCTGATCACAAGTCAGATCACAAGTAGGATCACAAGTCATCACAAATCGTCACCGACACCACGAAGTGACCTTAACGCCCGTGAAGTGAAAAATGTGTGTTTCGAGATACAAGCGATTTAAGTTGGCGATGTTTTGAAACGGTGATCTGAACATCGTTTTAGCCTCAAAATTCATATTTTTTTTACATTGTCTGAACATGCTGAAAGCTGGGATCTTGAATGTCACGTTAATGTATGATTTTTATTGAAAACAAATAATATTAATGAGTTATCAAACTAATTAACCATAAGGTCACTTCGTGAAAACTCAAAATTCAGATTACGCTGTGTTCGAGTTTTCACGAAGTGACGCTAACCATGTGTATAAATGGGTAAGTGCTACTTCGTGATAACGCCAGAAGTGAGTCGTGTGTATCACATGACATTTGTGTCACTTCATGAAAACGCAAAACCTGTTTTTGACGCGTAGTGTGCAGGCACTTTACACGCGAAAGAATGGTATTACACTTCGTGAAAACGCATTTTCCGGTTTTGACCCATTAAGTTGCGAACGTTCATTAATGTTAATTAATGTTTCGACAAAACTAATTAACTATGTGTTTAGTAACTTCTTGAGGTGATAGATTATGTGTAATTAATCACAAATCAGGAAAAAAAAAATCGAAATCGTAAAATATCGATTTTTCGATGTTAGTGTCACTTCGTGGTGACGGTGACGAAATGACAGGGGATCATGAACAATGAGAAAGGAATATCTTTGTCACAGTTGATTTGAATAGACCGTGACGTGACTTGAGACTCGATGACTTGGGATGACGTGTGGTGGACTTGTGATGGACTTGCGATGACTTGATGAAGAGTGCCGGACCTATGTAGAAGCTGTGTTGGACACAGAGATTTTGTGAGTGTAAGAGTGCATCGATAACAATGTTTTGTATTTTTAAATCCGAGGGTGAAGTTGACATGTTATGCACAGGCTCCAATATAATTTCCTCAAGCTTTCGCAGATTTTTCTCTCAAACATTCAAAGTACCATATTTCACTACTGCTGACGAATCCTCAAATGAAGTTGTTAAATTCAGGCAGTTTTGCCTGCCTGAAACCATGGGCACAGACCGCATACTTATTCATCCTGCTGAATGACAGGTAGCACAATCTTCATAGTAGCATCATAGCTTGTCATATGGCAAAGGCATTTGTTAAGGTGATAGTAAATTGTACCCAATTTTAGAGGCTCGCTGTCTGTAAAACTTGAGCAGTTTACAGCAGTTTTGATTTTTACCATGTCAAGTCATTGGTCCAAATTCCAATACTGGAAAAATGTTAATAATAATAAGAACTGGTAGTTGTAAAGCGCTTTTGCCAAAGGATACTAATTATTGTCCCTGTTTATCATCATTCTTCTGGAGCAGCTTGAGGTGCGGCACAATCTGGTCTCTAGAGAGGCAATTGTGGTAAAGTGTCTTGCCCAAGAACACAAGCACCATGTTCCCTGTCAGGGTTCAAACCCACCTACTGCGGCACATGAGTCTAACACTGTAACCATCGGACCACAGTGCTCCACCAAATGTTTTAAGCAGCAGTCCTTTTTATTTGCAAATCTGGAAATGATTGAAAGGGGGAAAAAAGTGAATCTCAAGAGATAGATTCAGGACATCATCTTTTATTGAGATATTCGTACACTCTTAGTAAAACACTTCACACATAAACTCACAACTGTGCTCAACCAACCACCTTAATACCTTTAATATTATACAAGAGTTTACATCCACACATGCAATGTGCAATAATCAATGTCAACCCTGGGGCCATGTTGAATTCTCAATGCGCCTCTGCAGACTACGTTGTCTGGCATTCATACCAGTTGATACATAGCACATGTACATGTGAATGGTTATTACGTGGCAAGAATATATCCGCCTATGAAAGAGCGACGACACTCTGCGCGTGAGTCAAGAGAAAAACTAATGATGTTCCATTTTTTAAGTAAAATAAATTGGAACAATACATTTTATAGTATACAAATACCGACTCCTGTGAGTGGTATATAGTAAGACTATCCTCCCGATGTGACTATCCTCCCGATGTGATCCATGGAGCATTCTATTTTCCTCAGTCAATATTTGTTTTATAACACCTCACCTACATATTCTGCCATTTTTTTTTTTGCTAAAAATTAAACCAAAACCCAATACAAATGAACTTCTATTTAATTTGAAATTTATTGAAAAAAATACCTATTTATTTTTTAATGTGAACAAAATTGCAGAAAGTTTTGCTAAATTGTAAAATACGTGCGAGTATCAATAAAAAGATCATATTTAGTGAGGTAAATCTAAAAAAAGAAATAAAATGGCTCTTCACTGTGAAACAAAACAGGGCATTTTTTCCTTTGAACATGTACATTGCTTTGCAAACCTCTCCCCATTGTGCTGCACATACACTGTACAGTACATTTACAAAAAAATCTCGAGTTCAGGTCAGAAATGTGAATGTGCACATTCATGCTCATGTATCTACATAAACATGTACTATTCGGTATGCGTGTACTTTTACCACACGTTCTCTTTCAGTGTTAGCCCCGGGGCTGAATCCTGCATCTCCCAAATATACTGCATACAAATCTAACCCTAACATTATTAAAGTGAGATCTTTCCCAAAAATACATAGCTTTGTACACAATACCTTGCATAATATACATGGATTATATATTATCACACATGCATTTTAGTATTTCCATAATATGTACAGTGTGACAGTGTCACAACTCTCCTCTGTATCAAATATGATTTACTTTACACCCCTTTTCGCTCTTTTCACGCTCCGCCATGGGCGAGCAGAGCCTCGATCTGGCAACTTTACACAATAAGAATAGCCGGTTCAGTGATCTGAACCCCGACACGGGAATCACTGAACCGGCTATATTCATTGTGTAAAGTTGCCAGATCGAGGCTCTGCATGCCCATGGCGGAAGTGTGAAAAGAGCGAATTGAAACTTTGCAGACAAAGTTCAATTTTTATAAATTTTACTAGCTACCTGTACTATTCAGAAGCAATAATAAATCATGAGGTTTTACATATTTCAATTGTAAAGCCCAAAACATTAATCAGAGATATGATTTAAGTGGTTTTTTTTTTCCTGAAAGAAACATTAAATCGCACAATTTATACACTGAAAGTAGACACGGCAATAATGTGAAAATACCGTCTTGATAAAAACAATGTAAAATATGTTGTATTTGCTTGGAATCAAGTCTTAAATATCAGTATTCTTTTGTCCCTTATGAATTCATTCCTCCGTGCTATTTTCGAGTCTCACACCCCCTCCCCCCCAAAAATAGTTTGTTTTTAAATTGTTATATTTCTAGCAATATGAAAGTTATTCCATTTTGAATGAAACATCGAGCACAAAAAATGTGCCAATGTTTCGTTATGAAAACAATTACGTTACAAATTTCAAAGAGTTCACGGCCCGACAGTAATTGCAAAAGCAACCAAAAGAAAAGCACATTTTCAAAACTAAAAAAGAGCTTTTTCTTTTAAAGAAAACATTCAAATTGAAACATAATTCCGATATTTATTTTCCGAAAGTAACATGAACTCTAACTCCCTAGCATGATTTACCAGGAACCACACCCATCCGGGCAAATTCCAACACCATATGGGAAACCCCACACACATATTTCTGACTTTGGTTCTGGAGGTGTGCCAACCCAATGTAAAAGACTGTCAGTTTAGGGGTACTGTATCCATCCTGACATATTCCAACAAAACATGCTGGGTTGAGTTCTGTTAGGGTTAAAGGAAATATACAACCTTTGCAAAAATCAAAAAAGAAAACTACCAAGTTATTATTAAACACCTTACTAGACTGTGAATACTTGTAGTAGTCTCAACCATCCTGAGAAGTGGAATTTTCGATTTCCAACAATGGTCGTCCAACCATCGTTGGAAAAAAACTGACTTTTTACAAATACTGCCCCTATTTTACCGAATTTAGTTAGTTCACATTTGTTTGCAATCAGTTACACATCTGCGAACGGGTGCAAGCCAGCTAGTCTGATTCGTTAACCTGACAATTCCTTGACGTCTACAAATTGCCCTGTTTTGTCCGAAGTATAGGATCAGGGAACCAGGCTACAAGAACAGCATTTTTTTTAAAAAAATTCCCCAGCATCTATGAGCACAAAAGTTTAGAAAGGTTGGTATACACTATTTGGTATAAAACACTAACCCCCAAATCATCCATTTCTGAGAATTAAAGCAAAAGCAAATGTTGTATATTCCCTTTAAAGCAATGCTAAAGAACGTTAAGCACACAAAGTGTTTTTCCTTTTAAATTAAACAGTCAAACTGAAAAGTTGTTGGGAGAAAACAATTGAGTATGCTAAAGAGCATGGGTACAGCAACTTTGAAAGGACTGCACACCATTGTTATTAACTAGTGTAGCTTGGTTCATTTTGTACAATCTACATTAGAACAATTTAATTCTTAGACCAAACTTTAAACTGAAATGGTACACTCTACTGTGTGATAACATTTGTTATCGACTTTTATTTTTAAAATTGAAGCTTTTTTCTTTTCGAAGTTACTGAATGATTACACCGTAAATTATGCTGGGGTTCGTTTAAATCAGTTAGGACAATGAAGGAAGATGTGTAATAATAATGACATAATATGAAATATTTAACACTCTACAGTTATAGAAAATTGTAACACTGAACAAATAGATATGAGACAATTTAAATGAAAATGTAGCGTGCACCCTTAAAATTGTGAAGGCGTCTGTTCATTAAACCATTCCCTTATTAATGCTTTGGTGGTTATGAAAATTAACTCGGTGATGCATCTTCGTCAATTCAGACTAGTCGTGCCGTCCAATTCCTTGGGGAATCAAGTGAAGGAAGCATTATTACTAAATGGAAAAAGGAGTACTAGAATGTAATATGTACATTTACATGTGCAAGTTTTGAATTGAAATATATTCTAGCAGCATGTTGTTGCTGTTGTTGAAGTGATACATAAGATATACAGATGTTTATTTCATATCTATGTGAAATAAACAACATGAAATTTTAATCTGTTTTTCATAAGGAGCAATTTTACAGTCAACAATTCTGTGTAAAGTATTCACTTTTCAGGCTGTGATGCGATGAGCCAAGGTTTCTTGGTAAGAAGAGCCTAGAAATCAAAGTTAATTGAGGAGAGATTTGGTACGGAAATATTTCACTATCACAGTTTCCATGCATACAATGTACAGCCTACCTAAAAGTGCCCTACATTGTTTAGAGTATTAAAATATACGGTAGGGAAAGATCCTCAACTGACGATTTTGTTTTAAAGCATACATGCAAGCCACATGAATGGAATTCTATTATATGGTGGTGTTACAGTACATGTATGTACATGTACAAAGTACATGTACATGTAATTGCATACCATTTGTTCAAATACACGTAGCTTGTACTGGTACTGGTGGACAGATAATTTACCAAAACAAGAGACTCTACAAAATACATATGTTTAGCATTTTAAACACCAGTCATGCCAGTTAAAGTTTGGTTGAAAAAAAAAAAACCTCTTAAATTTTAACTGGCACCAGCACGCATGTTTTAATTACCGGATTACAAAGAGGTCGTTATGCAAAACATGCACATTAAACATGCGCATAGTTGAAATTAATGATCTGTATCATCCTGTTTACATATACATGTTCTAAATTTTAAAAATTGTAATATAAATGAAGCGCTTCAATGTAAAGAACATGTACATTAAACCTGTACATGTATCTAAACTGTACATAAACATTTGCTTATTAGTTCTTAAGATTTTCATACCCAGATTTCCGCTTCCAAGTCATTTTTTGGTTATCAAAAATCTAGTTATGCATTATCACAAGTGCGCATTGTTGTACACAGTGTTGTAGTGTTTCCAAGTCCCCGAATATCATGAAATGAAATGTTGAACAGGAAGCAAGCCACAGCACACTGTTTGTGCTGACTGATTGAATGTGTAAGAACGCGAGGGTCTGGACCAGTGTTGTAGGACTCAAGTCCAGGACTTGGACTCCAGACAGTCTCAAGTCACTATTTCCGTGACTCAGACTCGACTTGAGTCACATTGGTAAAAGACTCGGACTCAGACTCGGACTTGACCATCATGACCTGGACTTGACGCAAATGACTCGTGACTCGGGTATTTTTTAACCAAAAAAATTCCTTTAAAAAATATAATTGCGATGTTTATTTTCCAAAAGTAACGTTAAGCAATGCTGAAGAATGTTGAGCAGACGAACCGTACCTCACCAATCTCCAGGTGCATCACTTACATGTACATGATGTATATCACTTGCATGTGTCCACGTCCATGCACATCCATTTCGTACAAATTGTGACTCGGAATTGGACTTGAACCAAATGACTCAAGACTCAGACTTTATCCAAATGACTCAAAACTCGGACTCTACCAAAGTGACTTGAGACTCTGACTCGAACTCGACTCAAGTGAATCGACTACAACTCTGGTCTGGAAACACAATTGACATAGATACTCACGTAATAATGCTAGAAATGTACAATGTAGGTATGTAAAATGTATTATAATGTGTAAAAAAGGACTCACTTACTCTAGTTTTTATATTGGTAAATCGAATGACTGATGTGTTAGGCCTACTGCTTGCAAAAGTTCTTGGCCAGCAAACTGTGAAGTTTACAATGTTGGATGTAGGGTCTGACATTGAAATAAAGCTATATGTTACTCCTAAAATGTAAACCCAAAAACAATTTAGGTGAAGTTAGCAAACTGAAGTAGAATTTAAAACTACGTAGCCTTCTGAAGTTCATCATGCTATTATTTACACATAGATGTCTGCTAACTTACATATCTTTACATTCTTACACTGAGTGCACTGTGAGTCCCTGTCATTGTTGACAGAGCCACTTTTGGCTGCTGCAGTGTGATTGGTCGGTCGGGTCCACATGATTCACCCGGTAGTCGTGCAGCTCCACGGCTTTTCCCAGGCTCTCGTTGCTCCGGGCGATCTCAGAAGACCGCTCACTCTCGGAGTGGCCGCTGTGGGTGCGCAGGCTGTAGCCGCGCGAGAAACGACGCGGTGCCCGCCACTTGGAGACGTTGCTTTTCTTCTTGGACGGCAAGTGAGGGTTGTCAATGCGTAACGACTTGGTCTTGTAGACCTCAAGTTGTGTGTAAAGTCGTTTCAGCTCCTCCTGCAAAGACCAAGTACAGTGTACCTCTGTGAACTCTTGAGGCAAGAACATGGATGACTTTTTTTAAAGGCACCTGCATCTCTGATGGTTATTTTATGATATGAATTTTAATCTTTAACTCTCCTAAACTATTCAGAATCCAGTTGGTCTTGGGAGTTTTTGCCCATCTAGGCAGCCACTTTTGACTTCATTGGCTTGGTGAATTGTGTATTGGAATGTGACTTTGGTTATCTGCACTGTGGTAGATAATGGAGGACTCATGAAGATTTCAAGCAAAATGCCTGAAGAGGGACTGAGGGTAAACATGGTAAAGGCGCTTTGGTTAAATTATCTATAAATGTTACTTAAATTCTCTAAATCATTTACAAATGCCAACTTGTGATGTTCAGTTAAACATTAGTATTTCCTCACATTGTGTGAACCCTTAGTTGTAGTGGTTTTTCCAAAGATAACTCTTTATATATTTTATTATTGTAACGGAGACCCCCTTATGGAGGCCACGCCCACCAGTGAATTGACACAAACTCAAAATAAATCAAACACGACACAAGAAATTTTGGTCATTTTGAGAGGATTAAAACAAGAAAAGATCCTCAATGGCTTAGCACTGTGAGCCTCAATTTCAGTGCTAATTTGAATTCGTCTATAGGGCGACCTCATGTAAAGAGCAAACAAGGAATGCATTCAATTCACTGAACATATTGCAACCAAGTTTGTGGGAAATGAACAAGTCTAAGACTTGACAATAATTATTAAGTTGAACTAGGAAATTGACTGGAGTGAGATTACAACCTGGGACCGCCAGATCACTGTACAGGCACGTTACCAATTGAGCTATATTTAGCCCTAGGTTGGCAGTTTTTCCCAATTGTCAATATTTGTGTTCAAGGGCACTAAACAGAAGCCAAAAACTGGTGCAAATCTTAATACTTGAGTCAACCTACCCTTACCCTGACATCTTCTGGATTGAAGTTGTGGTCATTGTTGACATTGGAGGAGCTGGAGTTGGGCCGGCGGAAGGAGTTGTGCCACTTGCCATCGTACACCACTCGTGAGTTGACACGTTCCCGAAACGACTCGTCGTGCAGTAGCTTGTGTATGACTTTGAGCTGGGATTTAGCAAAATGAAACAATGTGGGAAGATCATATGGGCTCCACATAACTGCTACTTGTTGTAGAATCATACAACTTTTATCCCAAGGCACATGAACAACTTTGGTCCATGTAGATGTCTATTCTGATAATGCTCAACGTACATTCTGTGTCAAGTTTCTAAATCTCAAATCACATGATACATGTTTGTTTCATGCATGCTTATTAAGGTAAATGACTTTACTTGGCTGCAGAAGAAAAATTTGCTGCCCTTGCCGTTTTACTGTCCGGGGCTGTTTGCACTGGACTTCTCATCTCGGGTAAATTGACCTGGTCAGCGGTTACTTTTCCTGGGCAAAAGTTGGCCGGTAAAAGTACAAGTAACCACTGGACTCGGGGGGGGGGGGGGGGGGGGAAGCAATCGAGAGGAAAATTTCTGGGCTGTTTGCACTGGACTCGAAATGGCAAAAGTAACAATTGTCTCTCGAGTTTTTCAAAACAAGGTCAATGCTGATACAGCTTATGCCGAAGCGTCACATACCTTTGGAATAAAGATAAGTGCTAGCATCACAGTAGTTGTGAGTTGTGATCGAAGGAAGTACATCAGATATATCCAATCGGGAGCTACCTTGCCCCATATGAAGTGTCTGTGAATGATAAACATTAATTTGAACTCGGGCGAAAGAATGTAAAGTTACCTTTAACAAAATGAATTTCAATAACTTTTAAAACCAAACTTATAAGCAGACAAGAATATGCAACAAATGTTGGTGAAGTATTTTTAACACAGTACATAGAGCAAATAATGCATGCATGTTTTTCCTTTAAAGGCCAAGACAAAAGTTACAGCAATGTTCACCTTTTCGCCTAAAGTAAAGTTTCTAGGTGCCAAGAAGCACACTTTCCATTGGCTCACAGCCAGGCTTTACCAAGTATTTTAGAACAGAAACATTGATTGGCTGGTTAATCCTTTAATCCTTGTCAGCCATTGGTTTAAAAATCTGGTATCTGATTGGCTAATTGTATAGGCACTGGATCCTTCGTATGTCTCAAAATTGTTTATGGGATTTAATGAGTGAAATAAAATTTACATAAGAAAAGCGTCGCTAGAGCTCAGAGCTGGCTGCTGTGACATAGTGAAATTGTTCTCTCAGTATAAAAATAAGGGGATAACCAGTTGCACAATGCGCTTTTCATGATAATTTGCTAGATAGCAGTAAACCATACAGGCATAAGAACATAAAATAAAAATTGAATTTCTTAAAAGATAAAACTTTTTTCACCAACTACATGTAGAGTAGCCTTGAGGTTTGAATGACATGGTCATGCAAGATGAAACTGTTAAGGAAACATTTTTCAAGCTACTGCTGGCAGGAAGTAACAGACAAATTGACCCCAAAAATGTATTGCATTGCAGGTGTGTTTAATTTTGGCTTCTATATGCGTAGATCACAACAGTCAAGTCACAGAGATACGTTAGTCATTTCTGGTCAACAATAAACGCATCTCTCTTGTTTTTATTTGGTAAAAATTTAAAACAAAATAACTTTCGGACTCTTTGATTTCCTTTCTCAATGTAGTGCATACCATTTACTGCCAGGTATTGAATAATAGTGATTTGTTTTACTTGATTTTGTCCGCTCTTTCTGTCTTTTTATATTATTGTGTGTTTAACATAAGAGTAGAAATATTGTACCAACCTAGAAATGTAAAGAAAAGTGGAGAAGATTGTCTCGTTATAAATGGCTACGCTGATGTAACGTGTCTCATGAAATTCACTTGGGGCAGCACGGACCGAGTAGCACAGGTAGATGCCGAACAGCAAAAACAGGAACTCAACTGGAAATGGAAGAAATGATTCAATCATTAGAATGCGCCCAATTGGAGGAAAAGTTCAGATAAGAAATATTAACTCTTTGGTCCTTACACAGGTAAATTTAGTTTACCACTGAGGTAATATTAATTGATATACACGTAGAGAAAAATGGAATGGAGCCCGTTCCAACTAAATGATTCCCCTACTCTCCTCTGAGTGAAAAAAAATAAATACATGTATTCTGAATCGCCACAATTGACAATTTTCAATTGGCAGCTTGGGGAAAATTCTGCAGATACACCATGTGAAGGGACTATAATAGAAGAGAAGTGTAGTTCTGAGAAGATCCAGAGGTATACACTGTTTTTAAAGTTCAGAGACACTTCGCAGGGTGTCTCAACAAACTTTCCAAGATGTTATCCCGAATTTGCAAATCCTGAAGTCATTTTCACTCAATGCCAATGTACCAAGGGGTACCAAGGAGTAAATATAAGCTTGGTGCACAACATCAGCTCAATAGCATAACCAGCGTTTGGGTCCATGGGGGAAGTGCGGGGGACAAAATGGGTATTTAGTACTAGTGGTTGAGAGGTGGAGGAGCTTGCATTTCCTTTTAAAAAAAAAAGGGGGGGGAAGTTTCCCCAGGAGTGGGATGCACACTTGCTAAGACTTACTTATTTCAATAACGTAATCCCACCACTCCATCATACACATGCTGAACTTCATGCCAGTGTCGGTGAAGCCGATGGTCACAATGTCCACCTTGCAGTTCCTCATGCTCTGCACGGAGAATGCAGTCCAGGCTGCCAGGTAGCCGGTCAGCACGATGACTATAAGCACCAGCCACTTCAAGACGTCCCGGTCACGCACCAGGACACGTGTGGCTGATCGAGTCTGGAAGATGGCAAGTTTTCTGAAGAAGACAAGACGTGGGGAAGAGAAACATTGATCAGAAATACATCTATTGGTTTAACAACAAACCCCTGTTTCAGTTTTTTCATCTGTTCTCATTGATATGTTTGTGTCAGACTGCTGCAGTGGTTCCTTCTGCACCTTCCACCTCTGTGGTCTGGATTCCTGCCTTGGCCCACATGGGCATGAATGGGTGTTCAGTCTCTGATTACGTGGATTTTCCCTTGAACATCATTCTGGGGTTTTCTCCCACCTCTAAACCTGTAATTTCTTCACAGTGCTTTCTCTCTACATGTTTCTTCATGCTTGCAAGCTGCATTGCCTGTGACACTTTTGAGGAATCCATGGTTTCATTATTATTAATACTAATAGTCAATTCCAAGGCAATTTTTACTATTCATTTTGATAATTGCATGGCACTTTTTGGTATTTGTATTTTGTCTTAAATGATGATCACCGCCTATTTCACAGCCTATTTCACAGCAAATTTTGAGAAAACGAAATCAGTTCCATGACAAACTACTTACACAGGCAATAAACATCAAGTACAATTTTGGCTGACACATTTTTATTATGCCATTTTCGAAGCGAACAGTTTTGTTTTATGTTGTTATTCAAGCAGCTCCGTGCCTGATGGATTAACCTTTCTTGTGTGGTTATGGAGCCACAAAAAAAAGTACACCAATCAGCAGGGTGACCCCACAAAATGCAACCCTGAAACATTTAGTTTTTTTTTCTCAAAAACTTGATCTGTGAATTTTTATGTTTTGGATATCAGATGAAAGTTAGGAGTTTTTTCTTTCAAATACTGAAAAAAAACCCCATGAAAACAGCACATTGGGTTGCTGAGAAAATGCCAATTATGTATCAACTCATTTTTGGTCACTTCAAATGGCATTACCACAGTTAAGGGATTTACACTGTACCTATTTGTGCATGAAATGCATGTAGCACATTGTGTTGTAATCCTTACAAACTACACGGCACATAATATGACTAGTACAAATGAATTTGATGGAAATACCTTTTATTTTTCACCTGAACATGCATCTTATCCTTTTTAGTCCTATTTTAAACCTTTTCGGCATGATAAGTATGTCAGAACAATAAAGAAATTGCACAAATGAAAGACAACTGCACAGTGGGCTTACAGTAACATGCTTCACTGTTTGAAGCACCATTGGGAAAGATGAGAAATCACTTCTTTTGCATAATGGCATTTTCTCAGCAACCCAATGTGCTGTTTCATGATTTTTTGGTATTTGAAAGGAAAACACCCCCAGTTTTATCTGATATCCACAACACAAAAATTCACCGATTACGTTTTTGAAAAAAGGCAAATGTTTCAGGGTTGCGGGTTTTTTTTGGGTCACCCTGAACAGTGATTCAATCAATCAATCAATCAATCAATCAATCAAAAGAAATTTATAATTCATATAATCTGTGATTTCTTCAATCGGAGATCACCCTCTGTAAAATGTGAACGACAGCACCGTCCCCAATTGATGCAGTAAATCCCACTCCTGTCCAACACAACCTCTAAAATGTCGGAGGGTAAATTGGATGTGCATACATCTTGAATCGATTTGGTTGGTCTTACAATGTAGGACATCAAAATGTCACAAGAGACTAGTGTTACTTGATGCACAGGGAATGCATTTACCATGTTTACGGCAATTCTCCTTCTTTCTCCAAGGGTTGTGGTATTTTATATATCGATTGATATTGTTGGACGTATTATCGTACATGCATTAGGCCCTAATATCTAAGAATTTCACAAATTACAAATACAAAAGGGTACTACTTTATGTTAATGTAATATGAATGTAATGTGAATTTATTTTTTAGCATTCAGGTCTTTGTATTAGCATGCAGATTTGTGAAACTTGTGAAAAAAAATCTATGAAAACCATCACATTATTTGTGTCATTTGATATGGTTGCAGAATTAGAACCAATGCTGGTAGGATTTGCCACTTGAATTTACATTGTGGTTTAAGTTAGCAACCCTTAGATATGCATTCGCCGTGCTATTTTCGAGCTTCGTTTCACCTAAAAAAATTGTTTTTTTCAATTGCTATTTTCCTGGCAATGTAAACGTTATTCACTTTTGAATGAGCCATTGAACAGGAGAACATTCCACCGACAGTTAGTTATTGAATAATTTCTTCACAAAATTTGAATTATTGGATGCCAGACAATAAATCGGCTCTTGCAGGGCGGGTTCATTGGTGCACAAAATGAAATTCCTTTTTCAGAGGCTTGCAGACGCCCAAAATCTTAGAAAAGTACCTTTTTTTCCCTATATAACAAAACATACAAATTGAACATTCGTTACGGGAGAAAAAAAAATCAATTTTGAAGAGCATAGGCATCCGTCTTTAATAATGAGTGTGTACATCAGTATCTTCAGTTGTAGGCCTACAAAATGTACACACAGGCATACTTGGCATTTCATTTGCCTCAATTTGGGAAGCCTGTTGACATTAGTAAGTGCTTGAGTGCTGCCCTGGATTCCGTGCACAAAATACCAACAGAGAAATATTATCAGTTGAGTCACTTTAAAGTAAAGTCACATTCGGTCTTCAACATCAGGTCAATAAAAGAATCTGTCAGTACTCTAAGAGTGAAAAAAAATATGGTGCTCGTGCACATAGTCACAAATATTTGGGGTAGTTGAATGTCATTTGTGGTAATTGAATGAACGTATGTGCAATTGAGTACTTGGTTGACCATGAATCTGTCATGGGCATCATATTTTAAAGGCCAATGGCTTGTACATGTAGCACTAATAGAGCGATGCATTGTATGTAGTGTTCTGCAGGGCAAGAGAGAGGTACCCCACATTTTTTGACGTGGAGTTGAAAACTAATATATCACAAAATACGCTTAAAGTCACACCCTGCGCAAAAACAGTGTCATACTTTTTTGAAAATTGTATTTTAAGGTTTCAAGTAAAGAACCTTATTTTCTCAGAATTTTCTCTTCACGCTATACCTCCTAATTCCATTATGCCACTGCATCCCCCCCCCCCAAGCTTTGCACATTTTGTCACCGTAAGAGAAATAAAACCACAGAAATAACGCTGTTGCAAGAAATTCACCAGACATTTCTTAACCAGCCATCATACAAGTCATGAAAATAGTTCACGGTCATGCCGTCACACAAGAACATTTTCACCATCGAGAACTCTTTCACCACAGTAACAGTAAACATATCAATATGAAATGTATTTAGTCATGTTTTGTTAATATTTATCACAGTTAATTAGTGGATATGAATTTATTGTATAATCTGTTGTCTTTGCCAAAATTAGATTCCTTTACACAAGATCTGGATGTTGTCCAGACATAAAATTCCCACTGAAAATTATAGGTATATCGTACATGTGGGGTTACACAACCATAAGAACAAGTTTAATTGCTGGATAAAATACAAGGAAATATTTCAACACACGTATTCACTTGTTATTGATTTACAGACAGCAATATTGCATTGAAATTGAAGTTGCATGCAGCATTAGGCCATTTGTTCATACTACCCATGCTCGCTCGCTTAATTAATGAATTCCTGTTCGTTCAACGCGCGACTATAAAGGAATCTCACTATGGGAAATCGTGCAGGAGTGAAAGTGATTTCCTAGCGTAATAAATCATGTCCATGTTGTGCACATGGGCCTACAGCCCCAGGCAGTTTGTGAAATCAAAAAGCTAATTTAATTGTGTCCTTGGAAGAGAAGGATCACTCATTTGGAAGTGTAATTGACAGCCACATTGAGGATGTCCATGGCTTTTGGAACCATTGGAGTGTTGATGCACTTGGGCAGAAATTATTGAAAAGGATTTACAAAGAATACTATAATGAAGCTTGCAGCGTACATCGACATGTGCACACCTATTGTTTGTACAATATGTATACATGTAATTGCCGGCGATGTAGAGTGTACACGCACAATTCCCGTACATATAATTTTAATGTAAAGCTTTAATCCAGCTGAAGCTGACATATTCACTGTCCAGGACAAAATGATCAAGCCATCTGGTTTGATTTTCTTTTAATATACAGTTTATGATAAATGATAGAAACAAAATACCATTGCCGCATAAACAACATATTGATCGTATTTCTTGTCTTTGGTTTCTGTTTATTTTTTTTTCCGCCTATACAGTTGTCTATTTCCCCAGCAGCTGCTGGTGAGACTGTACTTTTTCAAACATGTCACTTACACATTTCCATGGCACGCAATGGACCCATTTTAACAACCGCGAAAACAAATATAATGAGACTTGCATCTTCGTTCTGGGAATAACACACTCCACAGGGCTCGCTCAATTAACAAAAGAGGAAACTTATTTATTGAATAGTGCTGAGTGATCAGTAGCAGAAGATGGCAAAAGGAGATGGTAAACCATCTTTATTAAATCTAAGGAGTTTCTTGTTCTGTGTATACTGTCTTGAAATACAATATGTAGCTTATCACTGAGGCAGATCATTAGAAACAAGTTGGGGCCTATAAAAAAGTATTACATCACTCAGGAGTTGTCTGATTAAATATCCAGAAAAAAGTTATGGGAAAATAATACCCACGATGGACCCATTGCATCGGGTTTGGTCTCAGAATTCAGAAGGGCAATTCCACGGTTACTCACGTTACATTTTTGATGTACTCCAGAGTTTCCTTGGGCTGTAATTACCTTACTGAAAAGGTTAAATAACTGTTATCCCCATGGTAGATAGAGTAGACCTAGACCTACCTAAGAACCAAAGATGACATCCAGAAAAATGTGTTATGTATGATAAACAAGACGCAAAAAATCGGTTACTCACATTACGAAAATGTAACGTGAGTAACCGTGGAATTGCCCAGAACAACATCCCAGAACGTCTGCAAGGAAGGTATTAGATTGGAAAGTATGCCGAGAACATCATCACAGGAGGGTTCCGAGAAAGTTGTTCAGAATTCTGCAACTCGCACTCTATACATAAACCTACTGTGGTTAAACTTGTTCGCACTTATCCTCGATAATGAGATTACCCCTCAAGGATATTGAACCAAGATGCACACGTCAATCAAGTGTATTACTTCCAAACTGCACGCACACTGCATTTTTAAACCGATCCTGACATCTTTCCGCTCAGTAATATTTTACAAACTAGACTTACAATGCATGATTGATTTTAGTTTTTGTGAGATGTACAGAAAGTGAAAGCAGAATGACTGATATTTGTAGGGATGAGAATGCGAGAGTATGCGACACTTATATTTTATTTGTAATGTTAGTATCCCATGAGAATTGTGTGTATTCGTGCCAGAGTGGGTCATTGTTTGGAATTCATTTTATGAAAGCAAAAAACACACATTTAGGGGCAAGGACGAAGTATGGAAATTAGATTTTTGTGTGTGTCCAAGTTGAAAAAAAAACCCTGCACGACAGATGAATTTCCATGGCAACTTCGGCATGATTGCTCAGTGTCGGATGTTTTAGTCTACTCATACACCCACGCACAGTGCTCTGAAATGAATAACTAGCCTATATAACATGAATTCAAAACTTAAATGTTTGTACAAAGTGGGAAAATGGGAAAAAAGAAGTTATACAATGCACCCCGGATTAACGTGCAGTTGTCAACAGTAATAGTTATCTAATTTGTGCAGTTTATCCAAATTAGTAAGGTGCTTACATTTTCCTGGGTCTTTTGTGCAAAGGCCATGACATTAGTTTTGTTTGTGTAAGCTGTATAAGTGCTTATTCAAGATGCATCGTTTTAAAGATGTTGGTTCTAACAGTTAGGTAACCTTTAACCAAAAGATGGAATTGCACTGTCAAACACTCAGAGGAATCTAAGTGGAGTTAATACCAACATTGCCCAGAGGACTGCAAGTGCATAATTGTCTGTCTGGGACATTCTATAATTTGGGGGTCATTTTTTTTCCTGCCCCTGTTCGATCTTACATATATACATTTGTAAATGCAGGATGCACTCCATAATGACTTGTTATATAAACCATACTACCTACCAAACAAATAAAACATAGTTTGAAGTCATTCTTAACGATACTTGAGAGGCAGATTAAGCCGTTCAGAGGTAACAGCTCGCTAGGGACAGGAACAGTTCACACTTTGGACGCTAGATTTATAGCACGACCTTTATAATGCACGGTCAACTTCATGTAAATTAATGGGTTTATGTACACTGGAGACGTAAGCCAGTCCCGGACAGCAGATTCATTAAGGCGCATCAGTAACCAAAACAATTGTACTAAGCTTTTCAATAGAGGAATTGCTTGTCCTCATGAGCAGTTTTGGAGGTCAAGTCTCTGTAGTCCTCAATATTAGCTGTCACTTTTGTTGCATTACCCTGCACTTAAGCCCATGTGGGTGTCACGAGGCATTACAGGGTCATGATACTCGTTCATGCCCGGCTATATTGGTAAAGCCTGTCCGTACTTCTAACACTATGCCAACCAATTTTGTTTTTGTTTATACCTGTATATTTTCAGGACCAGCATGCCGTAAGCTATGGCGAAGCCCCATCCACGTAGCCAGCGCTGCATGAAGCATACCAGGACAGTGGGGTGGAAGAACATGGCCACTAGCTCACAGTACAGGAGGAATGCCCCAAGGAGAACCACAATCAGCATCCAAGGACTGTCGCAGTTGATCACCTGCAAGGCCAACAGATACATTTAGCAAGCATTAGCCCTTTTCACACTAGAGCCTCTCAACCCGGGTAGAACTCAACCCTGGGCGAACCCAGTGCCGCCCCGGGTTGAGTTCTTGATGTTTCAACCCCGCGTTCAACCCCGCATCGTTTCACACTTGTTTCATGCAAATCAAGCTTATCATGCTCAGTTACTACTGTTTTGAACCCTGACAAGAATTTCAACCCGGGTTGAAAATCTCAACCCTGGTCTGGAGCAGGGTTGAGTTCAACCCGGGGCGAAATCAATCTCGGGGTTGACGCAGGGTTGACACAGGGTTGAAATTCTTCAAGTGTGAAACGCTGCATGTTTTCAACCCTCCGCCAACCACGCGTCAATCCTGATTTGTCTAGTGTGAAAAGGGTTATATTGATGTGGTCTTGGGAGCAACTGTCATTGGTGGATCCGGGTCTATCATGATTAGTTCAAAATGCACTCGAGAGGGGATAACAATGTCGCAAGTTCTTGAACAGCGCTATCATGGTGTTCATGACATTATGTTGCTGAAGGGGAAAAATATGTAATATTGAATTAAAATATTAACAGAAGAATGGCTTTGGACATGACTTTAGACTAGGTGACTTGTGATTCCCTTCTGGAGGGATTGTGAGGACCTATGAACTTGACTAGAACACTTACTAACAGTTGTATCTTAAAACTATTAGATGGACATGGTTAATACCAAAAAAATGGCCGAGCACAAAAAAAATTTGCTTCAAGGATTCTTGGCATGTTGTGACAAGATGGAAATAATGTGAGGGGATATTTGAGTTTTGTTCTTCCTGAAAAGTTTTAAATACCTGTAACTATGAAACCTTTGTGTTCATATATATATGTACAAACATCATAGCATGAATAGGTCAGTCAAGATGTCACTCAATAAAATGAAGATGGTGATTTAAAGAGGTCTTCTTTCAAACGACTTGCGAAGAAATTATTCTAAATAATGGGAATTTAAAAGTTCACTCCTTTTTCATTTAAACACCTCACTTTTTTTAACATGATTACCAGTTAGGCCGAATTCAGTGTTTTTTCTAAGGGTATTTCTCTTCCTTTATTCATGTCACCAACATTCTTCGAAGTTTAAACTGAATCCAATTGCAAATACGCATAAGGTCAGTTTGGATGATCTAGAAATTTGAGTTCAGTGGATTTTCAAGTGCAAATTAAAACACGTTATTTTGGTCATGCAAGAACTTCCTTCCAAGCAGCAGTAAACACGGCAAGACCATGCTGTTAATCTTCAAAGCAGATCTTAGTTAAAAAAAAAAATAGACCTGAGACAAATGAAGTCACGCTCTGTTTACATGTGCGCTTTATTATGGCAGCTTGTGGCTGTCGTCCCCAGCATGCTTTCCATAAGCAACACATGTAAACAAAGCGTGACGTCATTATGTTGTAGGGCAAATGAAAAGTGAAGTTGGATCGAATGTGTACCCCGCGTCGCACCAGATAACCCCTCACCTTCAAGTTCTTGTACTTGAACACCACCGCTATCAGCACCCCCGTCAGGAAGATACAGATGCCCTGGACAGACAGAATGAGAATCCTGAGCAGGATGTCATTCTCCAAGAAGCAGGGCGAGTCATCCAAGCATGTCTCGCAGCCCTCTCGACACGGCAGGCAGGCGAAACCCTCCTCGTACCGGTTGGGCTGGCCCATTTGCAGCAGGTGATACTCGCGTTCCACATCGGCGCCCTCAAAGTGCCCCCCTGACTGTTCCCCCTGGTGCGGGAAGTAGAAGCTGTCTCGGCAGACGCACCGGTAGGTTCCACTCTGAAATCCCATGCCTGGGACGTGCACGCACTGTTGGGAACGAGGTGTAACATGGGTTATTGGTTTCGCACATTATAGAGAGTATCGTAATAACTTACACTGAAAACTTAAAGGCTTTTGACCACGGCCCCTGGAAATGAAATAAAACGTTCACAGTTTGGAAAAGAGTCAACTCGGCTTTTAATAGGGCCTACTGCTCCGTTTGGTGTAGCAATAATACCCGATTCTAAATTTTGCAGGTTGGAATCCCGATGCGAATTTGTTTGTTCAAGAAATTTGTTTAAAAAATGATGACCTCTTAGATGTCGTTCCAAGTTTTATCAGAATAGCAAACGAACATCCTTGGGTCTGTTCAATCAGTGCCTCGAAAAAAGAACGATTTCATATCCCGTCATCTCCACATTGTCCAAAAGTTGATGAATTTTTTTTCTCGATACTCATTAACTCGATTGAAATTGTCTCCGTCGTGAATTTGTGCTTTCTCCCCCTCTCCCTCGCAGTTTCTCTTGACTGGTTGCTTAGTTACAGACCTCGGATGTAGGACAGGTTATGAAGGCACGCACTTTATGTGCTCCCAGCACATTCGCGCGCTGTGCCGGACTGAGTTTTTCTTTATGTATCGTATTTATATCGGTTGAGAACTGTTGGTTACATGCAAATAATGTCTGACCATCGTTTTGCCCTGAAGACTTCTGAAGTATCAGAGGTCTTGAGTGTTTTGCTCTCTGTGGTCTGCTACGCTGCATTAAGATTGAGATCATGGACTTTGCTTTGCCCACGGACCTTTTCCCCCTTTTTCAACGAGCAACACAATGGGCTTGGTTGTTTTGATACTTAAAATGTGTCACTTCAGTTTTCTAATTTTTGTCCTATGGGCATGGCGCTGACGTGCAATTTTTCTTTTTTTGTCAAGAATACGTCATTTTCGATTTTTTTTTAAACGGGAAAAAATGTGGGTCGTGCACATCGTCAGTGTTTACTTGAGCTAGGCAACTTGTAAATTTGCTCGTCAAGATGAAAGCAAGGTACTTTTCCCCGCTGTATGTGTCGTGGTACCACACGATGTCGCCCTACTTTAATCTGGATGTAAATATCCCATCAACAGTAGGTCTAGTACATCCAGATTCGCCTCACCGATAAGTGATGAAGGGGAATGCATCATCTGCCGTCAATTTCAAGCGCGGATACCTTGGTAAACACGTCACGAAAGCCCCACTTAAAAGGAACTGTGAACAGTTGCATGCATAGGTATAATTGTCGAATCTGATTATACACTCTTTCTTCAGCCTGTGACTCGTGTAAAAAATTTCCTCACTACCTGGTATACGGTATATATCTGCGCCTGAATAACTTCTCTTGGGCGCAATCTGACCGAAAGTCGCTCCCTCGGCCGTCGGTTATTAGCCAAGAGTGAAGTACAATTACATACATCCTTGGAAGCCTCTGAATGTTATTTCGAGGGAAGTAATCGTATTTGACGCATGGTTACGACTGTAACTTAATAGACTATGCGATTTGAATGGAGTGTTGTTATATATGCTCAGACGAATATCTACTCGAACGGCTTACTACCAGCTCGTATACTGTTGGTATTGAATCAAATTTTTTTTTTTTAACTCATATAATGTATGATTTGGAACGGTGAATTGAGGAATCACATATAAAAAGTATATTGTTTTTATTTTTATGTATGCTGAATGAAACCTGCAGTTCCTTTCAGATGAAAACTATCAGTAAATTTGTTTAAGCGATGCATTATTTTACTTGGCGAGCTGCAAAGCAGATGCGAGTCTATGTAATACCGATACCCGTTTGTCCGTCCGGACGATACGGGCGGGCGTCCGGCCGTCTGCATTCAGATTAAAATGTTAAAGTGTTTTGCTTCTGGAAAAATTAGTTTAAAAAGAAAAGAAATGCAGTGTATTAGCTCTACAACTTCCATTCATTGCCTTGGAGTAAATGATTTTGTTGAGGAACTTTATTTAAAAAACAAATGTTAAAAGTTTTTGATTGTTACATCTATATAATGTATACCGGTATAATGTACATGTACACATACACATGTTTTTTTTCTGTATCTTTAAGTTAGTAGGGTTGGGGTGTTGTGGGGGTAGGGGTGGGGATGGAGTAGGGGGAGGCTGGTGGGGGGGGGGATCAGGGGCAGTGGCATGTATGTGTTTGCGACATGGAAAGCATTTTTTTTTTTAATAATTCATATTATTATTATTACGTATGGGGGAGGTGGTAAGGGTTGGGGTGGGAAGAATGGTGATGGTAGTGGCGTGGTATCGTCAGACCCTTAAAATGTACGCGATCTTATTTCTACGCACTCGCCTTTAATTTGCGTTTGGCAACGCGCGCGTTGCAAAGTTTTAATTGCGCAGAGTTAGGAGGATCGAGGATACTGAACTCTAACAACATTAGTTGAGTTTTATGTTGGCATTTAAAATGCTGACCCCTATACATTGGTACACCACCCTGAATCATGATCCCCTGCCATCATGCCCATCCCGCATCCCACCTCAGCTTCCCTTCTTGCCCCCTCAGCAGCGAGCCATGGCGGCTTCGCTGTTTTAGTTTATGAGTGAGATCGGTTCGATGTAACTTACAGTGGCAAAACGGTAGAAACTGAAGCTCCCCGAATTACGCATAATAGGCGCTGTTGTTTAGCCTTATCAATACTGTTTTGGGATCATACTGTCTAGGGCTCGGACCCAGCTCGACGGTCCGATTTTGAACACATTACGCTTTATTCACCTCGACAGCGTTTGATCACCTGTACGCAAACGTGACAAGTATATTCGTGACCGATTTTAATTTATTTTTATGGCAGCCTGTCTTTGGTGTGACCATGCAAGGACGGGCTGGATCATAAAAAATTGCGATCGCAGAACATCTAAAAAATATATGGAATACCACTGGAGGATGCTTTATCCGATTTCCCTACGCACAATTGGAGCAGCCTCTTTATTAAATCAAACTGACTGCGAGTCAGTGACAACTTGTGCAGGCGATTGGCCATGACATGCATGATCCTGCATGCAAAATACCGCGCTAGCAGCTACCGTCATCAACTCGAGCGGGGATCCTTCCGCGCAGGGCGCCCGTCCCGTGCCGTGCACCTGCAGGGGGGTTAAGCTGCACCGGGCGGTGCACCTGCCCGCCTTGCTCGTATTCATTACCCGTCATGTCCGCTGGTGATTTCACTCTGAATGGGGACTGTTGTGTGAGTTATCAAAAACAGATCTGTTAGCTCCTGTCGGGGGGGGGGGGGGGGGGCATAGCAGTGAGATCAGCATGATGAGTTGCGTCCAACATAATCCTGGATCACGCAGTCCAACCCTGGAGCAATGCATGCTCTCCTAAAAACGAAGAGACTTCTTGCATAGACTCTTTTTAATGATGGAACGAAAATGCGTCTAATTCATTACACATTATAATGTAGACCAATGCGAGGTCAGTACGCTATCCAGGGGCGTATCGGGGGGGGGGGGGGGGTGCGTGGGGGGCGAACCCCTCCCCTTTTCCTTAAAAAAACCCCAAGATGTAGAGAGGGAGAGAGACTCAATTACTTCTAATCAGAATATGTCCCCCCCCCCCCTCCCCTGGCCTTCGGCGTAGGCGCCACACTTTAATTGGTACATTTCTATGGTACATTTCACGCCCCCCCCCCCCCCCGTTTTGGAAAATCCTGGATCCGCCATTGCTATCAACAATTCTCTTACGATAAGCCCTCTCCAATGGCGAAAGCATTGTGCTACCTATTTGTTCAAATAATCCACGGACAAAGCCACGAACAGTGGCTTTGTACAACAGCGTGTACAGTGATCACGTCCCAGACTCGTCTATATGCTACGTTACATTTTTAGCTACCTATACGCGTCCCATAATGCAATGCCACATATACCTTCACCGAACATCTCCGGTCTGGTTGATATCCATAAAAAAATAAAATGGTTCGGGACCGTTTTGGCGCTTCGGTTACACTGAAATGACGTCATTGCTCCGACAACAGCTGAACTGAGACTTTGCGATCGGTTCACTTTCGTTTCAAGATGGCGGAAAGGTGAACATGTTTTATAGCAAACGAAGTTGCTTTGTAACTACAAAAGGGATTCAAACAGTGGGTTTGTACAGTCTGTTGGGTCAAGTTGATACCTTAACAATTGCTCTGCCAATACTGGAAAAGCAACGGCCCGACTTTTGCTTGTAAGTCGTGTAAAATTGACCAAATCATTCGTCTTCTCATGATGGTAATGACGGTCTGCTCACCGCCATGTTTGTTCACAAAAATGGCGTCACGAACAATTTGTTTTGGTTAGGTGTTTTCGCGATGCACTGGAAATATGTTTCACGCCATGGCTGTGACGTCAGAAACAGTTCAAGGGTCACCAAAACGCGGCCCTGTCTGAGCAGAAACTTAAAAAAAAACAATGGCGCTTGTGGCATGGTTACGAATACATAAGAGGGCCGGCCATGCGACAGGACACAAGGGCGGATCCAGGGGGGGGGGGGCCAAAGGGGGCCATGCCCCCCCCCCTAAAACGAGACCATTTTTTTAATTTTTTTTATGTGACATCGCAATAAAGGCAGGCAATGAGTACACCACCATCTTTTTCCTCAAAAAACATTGATTAAAGTGGTCAGAAATTGCCTCAGATCGCACGACAGAGCAACTAGAATCCATTTTTTTCCCGGGGCCCTTAAGCGGGCCCCGAACCCCACGCCGTAATTTTTTTGACCCACTTTTGGGGGGGTCCAAAAAATTTTTTGGCCCCTCCCAAAAATTGTGTTCTGGATCCGCCCTTGACAGGACACATGTTTGTTTCTCGAGTCAAAATTTGGAACCCTACGCAGCGAAACTTTCTCCATTACCTGATTACCTTTTACGAGTTATAATTGCGTCCTCTGCATGAGAATATTATATACCCGCATAAAAAAATGAGCTGTTGGAATCACATGACCCGCCATTTTGTTCATGTTGTCAAATACGTGGACATCTTCCATCTACCAGTAAAATAACTTTACAT